TGAGAAAAACCACATCTCTGGAACTGTTCTTGATCACAACCTGGCCCCCAACATCCCAGGTAGAAGGGAGGAACATTATCCAATATATAGAGGTAAAACATGGTAAAACTACCAGTTATTCCATGTTATTCCCTCTTGTCGCAGTATTGACTACACTTAGCTTGTCAACGAATCATCCGATGCAGATCTATTTAGCCACCATCACCATGGTGCCCGCGAGCCCGCGCGAGCCTAGCGTGGCACACCGCTTCGCGTTTTTGAAACGCGACCGATCTAACGCCCACAGAGCCGGGCTAGCGAGCGAAAAGGCAATGGTTGGTAGTTTCAAAGACATCCCAACCATTCCCAACCAATATAACCAATGCTGTTAGGGGGAAACTGATGGGCCGAAAATGGATACATTTTTTACAGTCTATTGTTCAATGAGGCTCTCCCAACATAACAAAACTCAGTGTATTCAACTGGATCTTGCCACTTCTTGAAGACAGATTGTCAAAATTGTGCATGGCCGGTAGCTTTAAACCGATCCCAAAAATGTTACAGTAGCCGGTCAGTCATCTGATGTCCTGTCGCCAAATCAGAAAAGGGGAATTACATGAAATCAAGAGTAAAGCCACCAAGGTGGCAAATGAGCATTGGTAAGTGTTGTTAAACATCGAATTTTGCCGTGATCGACAAGCACTTCTTCATTGGCACATCATCTTCCATGGCTGGCCAAAGAAACACATCAGGCCTACCTCCAAAAAGAACAATAATTACAAACTTTGGTTTCATTTATTTTGGCCGAATAATATATTTTTTTATTTTTTTTCCCATTTTTTTTTGGGAGAGGTTGCTAAAGAAGAACTGAAGTGCCGGTCCAAGGATCCATGGCGCAAAGCGCGCAGAAATGCGCAGCCTTGGCGGCATCACTCAAACCTCGGCTTTTGAAGCCGAAATGGGGTACCATTGGACCCACAGAATTAAGATCATATCAATGGCCATGCAACAGGAACCGATTTATGGGAGGTAGCTACCATATACAACGCCTATTTTTTCTGGCCTAAATTTCAGGGAATATCCCCATTGATATGGTCTTATATGGTCCTGAAATTCCCATGCATTGATCATATGTTAAGAATTCTTTCGATATCAGATATCTACCTTCTCATTTCACATAGCTATTGCTATTATATCGCTATCATGGCCCATGTATAGTTGAATTTTCCGAAAGAATGGTGGTTTTCAAAGAAGCCTGAGTATCTAAGTTTTTTCCCGACTTTGGCTATCAAATTTGGGTTTTTTTACTGAGCCTTGACACCTAAAACGTAGCTACCAATTGATCAATTGGTCAGGAAGGATGGGGCATAACGGCATAACCAAACCATCTGGTTACTTAACGAAGCTATGGAAGCCATGGCCCATAGAAACAGATCATTTCTGATGATTCCCCTATGAAAACAAGTAGTGCCATCACCAGTCAGTCCATCCTCTCCGCTTTCAATTCGGATTCATTGATCCAGAATTCTCAGCGAATCTTCTCAGCGAAAAGTGGATTTCAAATCAGATATCATCTATTCTTTCATATAGTGGTTAATACTGATTAATAGTGATTGATAGTGGTTAATAGTGGTTGATAGTGATTAATAGTGATAAATATATGTAAGTATACTCTATACTATGTCTGGTTGGTGGTTGACCTACCCCTCTGAAACATATGAGTTCGTCAGTTGGGATGATGACATTCCCAGCTGAATGGAAAATAATCCAAATGTTCCAAACCACCAACCAGTTAATGTCTGTGAGACCCGACCACTCATCTGAAATGCGCCGGTCTGCCAAGTCTCAAGTTAAATCATGCTAAATCCCCGTTGTGGCGGATAGAATTCCGCATGTTTGCCTTATTTTGTCTTTACACTTCTCAATGAAACCACTAAACCAAGGTAGGTCAGTACATTATAGCGAACCTTAGAGACTTGATAGCCTGCAACACAACCAACACAACGCAAGTTTTAGATGGTTCCGGCATTCTTTCATAGTATGGACTGATCGAAACCGATTGAAGGGCCAATCTGCAAGAACGCGGTGTTTTCACCACATTGACTGGGTTTTCCTGTAGATTTTTCCTTATCCCAATTCTGGATCATATTGTTATGCATGCCATATTCTGCCAGTATATTATGATATTTCCATTACACCCCCATAATTAACATTAATTAACCATATAAATATCATATAATTCCTGGTATTTTCTTGGTGAATCTATATACTGCTTTTCGAGGTTTCATCGTTCAAAAATCCACCTGGGCGTGCGCGCTGAGCCGTCTCTCAAGGACCTCAGGAAAGTCATAAAAGCCATGGCCCCCAAAGCACCAACCATTGATTAACCATCATTAACCATCATTGACCATCATTAACCATCATTACCCCAACCAGTCAACATGTGCATATGAAGGTATGTGCCACAACATGGTCATATGTCAATATATATATATATATATATCATAATGTATCTATGAGATGTGTGCGTCGATCAAACACATGCAACCATTGCGTCCTGGTTGGCAGCCACTGGCAGAGACTCTCCGGGATTTTAACAGCTGCAGGTTGTCTCACCATCTGACACGACACATCTATATGCAGCGTTCTTTTTTTCCATAAAGATCAAAACATGAAAGATTAAGAAGCTACCAGCAGCTTTGCAACGTGCCAATCTTCTGCTGCCTTCCAATGATTTTCTGGTTGGTGGTTGAGCCACCGATCTGAAACACATCAGTAAATTGGGATCATGATAAAAACATCCAATGAAAAACATCATACATTGGGATCATGATAACACATTTACATACCCTTTGGTAGGGTTTTTCACATGTAGAACATCCAAAGCCACCAGGCGCAGATCTGAAGCTACTGATGGCTCAAGGCACCAAGGCAACTGCTTGGGAGCCTGGAAATGGCTGAAGAAAAATATGAGAAAATCATTGAAGCAAATGGTTTTCCCAATGTTTTCCAGCAAGCCATGTCTGATTATTATTGATTATTGGAAAATGATTATTGATTATTGAATATGATTGATTATAATCAAACTATTGATAGTTCTTGATTATTCTGATTGCCGGAGGGTAATTTGATCAACCCTGAACCATCAAACGAGCCCATCTTGGGGCCGAGTGTTCGTGGCAGTTTTCCCGTGAGCCCAGTGGCAGCCTTTTCGCGCATTTTTTTTCGCGCGCCATGCAACGGCATGGCGGGCAGGTTTACCGACTCGACATCTGAGAAAGACTTGGTTTCTTGATCCCCTAGCAACCTGAAAGTGAAAGCGTGTGGCTACATACTAAGAACATCTAAGAATCAATTCAAAGAAAATACCACAAAAAATAGGTTCAACCCTGGCCGCCGAAGGGAAATCACCTGCATAAAAAATTCGATGTGACAGCAAATGAACCAGGTACCAAGCTACCAAGCTCGTGATCCATATCCATGGCCATTTGGGGGCATAAATCGCATAAATGAAGGTAGCCTAAAATTGGATGGTCTATAGTGAACCCGAAAATAAAATGGATGATGACTGGGGGTAGCCCCATTTTAGGAGACCTGAACATTTCAGAGTAACACTTACATATGTTGACATTCTGACATGACCATGTACTAATAGTTCTTTTGAGTGTTCTTATCTGTCACTTTGTTTTGTTGATTTTGAGTTGCCCTCTCGCAAATTAACATAGACCCTGGCAGATAGGAGTTGGAAGATTAGTTTATAGTCTCCACTAAAAGTTGATTATTTTGCGGGGTCTATGTTAATTTACAAAAGGGCAGTTGTTAGTAATCATCAAATTGGATGTAGGGATAGTTGGATGTAACATGACTCCTTACTCAGGGGTCATCTTGGGGACGATCCTCCGTCCAAACTAGCTTCTGCTACTTTGACTTTGCCAGATTGCGTCATGGAAAATCACCATTTTCCATAGATTCATAATCTAAGAATGGGCCATCTATACCATTACAAACTCTTAGTTTACTCAAAAGTGATGGATAGTGATGGTGATATCTTATCACCCGGTGATGATACCATATACCCCAGCAATGGGTGACCACTTCCCAGCAATGGATATCTTGGATGCATGGGCCCCACAAATAGCTAGGCAGCTAAGTGCAGTATAAGTTAACTATGGATTTATGGTAAATGTATCTGTAGTAAAAAAAACTTATAAACCAACATTCACATCACTGGAAAACAGGACCGTCGCTGGGTAACCATCATCATTTCATCACCTCAGCAATGACGTCCTGGTCATCTGCAAGCGCTGCGGCTTCGCCGACACGCTTCAATATTCAATGTAGTTCAACTACTTCCGCGGCGTGTCTGGGCTGGCTGAAGACTTCATGACAGAAGATTGCCCTGAAACAATCCCAACATATTAATATCAAATTTGTATCATTGAGTCATGTGGTAGTTATTTTTGCGGAAAACAACAACTAAGAACTACTTATCATTATGGTACATCAAAATCTCTGAATCACGTCCAGCCAAAAAAATCGCCTCATCCGTGTCTCTGTGCCTGTTCTGATAACTTCAGTGGTGAACTTCAAAGACCCTCTTGGTTTGTTTCCCCCGTTGAAACTGGAAAACTCCTGGATAGAAGGAAGTCTATAGCTGGGAAATTCCTCTGTAAGTGTTTTTTTTCAATTACTTTGTTTGATTACCGGGAAAATCATCTTAGTCTATGCGGTTGTCTTCTCGATCCAAGAAACCATCCAGGGTGACCTTCGTCATCTTTTCGTATGAAAACCCAAAATGCAAAATCGGTGAACATGTGCATTTCAAGCGGGCTCAATGAATTTCAACTTGCCATTTTTCTCATGTAAGAATCTGCGAATAACCACCATTTTAAGATCAAACCTCCCATGTCCAATGAAAAACCATAATCGTAGGACATAATAGTTTTCGCATGCCTTCGCTGGTTAGTAATAGTAGGTATGCCCATCTAGATCGCAATAGATTTGGTGCTAAAGTTCCCTACGGGCACACCTAGCTTCAGCCACAGCTGCTTGGCAGCGGCATGTCGCGGCTAAACCATGTGGGCTCTCAGGGGTGTCCTTCGCCCATGAGGTTCGCCAGATCTGCTTTCACCTGCAACTGAGAAGCATACCTACAGTAGATGGACAAAAAAATCAAACCCTGCAACACGCGCTATGTTGAACCCCCGCACCCCCAAGTCTCAATGTTTCAGCGCGTGTGTTACTAAGAGTGATGTTAGCGTTTGATTTCTTTCGTCCATTGGGCGCATGCACTTCAGGTTACATTAACATTGAACCTTGGGGGCCAGATAGGGTTTGAATATTTCGTCCATCTACGGTACCAACTGGGGTGTGCGGCATGCCACACCCCCCAGTTGGTACTGTCTCGCTCTCTGATGTTTTCACATCTTTTGGTCTCCAAACTCTGTTGTGGAAACATCACTCTGCATGCTGCTGATCTTATTCCAAACTGCGCAAACATTGCCTTTTCATAAGTAAAGGCCTCCTGTCTGTCTCCCGTCCCATTTTGTTCTATTCCCTAATTCCCAACTTATTCCAAGCTGCAGGAAACGTTGTGTTTTCACAAGTAAGTGCAACCTTTGTGCTTCCCGTCCCATTTCTTCTGTTCCCTACTTTGCAACCTATTCCAAACTGCAAAAAACATTGTGTTTTCAAAGGTAAATGCTGCATGCGTCTCTCGTCCCATTTTTTCCCATTCCTAATTCGCAACCCATTCCAAACTGCAAAAAACATTGTGTTTTCATAAGTAAATGCTGCATGTGTCTCTCGTCCCATTTTTTCCTATTCCCTAATTCACAACCTATTCAAAAATGCGCAGAGCATTGTGTTTTCACAGGTAAACGCTGCATCTCTCCCTTGTCCCCTTTGAGACAAAAGGAAAAAGAGATACTTTTTCTTTTGAAAAGAAGCGGTACGTCACAAATGACATAATCCATTGGCAGGGCCACGTCTTTCTTAGTCATCCCTTTGCCTTTGCTGCCCTTTCGCGCATCGGCGCTTGAGCCCCGCCTACCACCAGCGGTGGTAGGCAGCGCTCGGCCTCGACGGCAATACGTCCTGCTCCAAATCCACCAAAATCCATCGGTTTGGGCTGGCTGCACCGCTGCCCAGGCCCGGCCGAAACCTCCCTTTTGGAATCAAACCCCAAAGCCTCCCATCAAGATTCACCTCTATAGAATCACAGCCTGGGAATCTGAGAATTTGAAAACAATTGCCTCTATAAAATCAAACCCCATAGGCTGATCTCCAGAATATCAGTTTCTGGGATTCAAAACGATCTGTTTGTGCAGGCCATGTAGCTTGCTTTTTAATGCTTTTTACAGAGCACCATGTGCAATTTGACAAGCTGATTATACGGCCACTACCTTCAATTTCACAGAGCACAAGGTGCACTTGGACAAGCTGATGTTAAAATAGGGATGTTGAAATCTGCGATGAGACAAGTGTGGAAAACAAGTTAAAATTATATATGTATAAAAAGCATTGTCCTGCCACGATTTTGGGTTGGCTTCAGAAGCGGATGGATGTGGCAAAAATGAAAAATGAAAAGCAGTGTAAATTTGCACGACATGACAAGCCTCCATGGGCAGAGGCCTCACACTGGGCCTTGAGTTCTTCTTGGGCTCGCTGCAACTCCTCCAGGTGCTTCTTCTTCTTCTTGTCTGCAGCCCGATGCTCTTCCCGCGCCCATAAGACTCGCTTGATAGTTGCCCAGCTCCGAGACGGTCTCCCGGACTCGATGTCAACGTCCATCTCCCCACAAGCAAAGGAAGCTAGGACCACCTCTTTCTCAGCCCCAACATCATCTGATGTTTCCAAATCAACTCAATCTTCTGAATTAAATGCAAATTGCAAAAGTTCCGGCTTCTATGGCGATAAAACATTTAAAAGCTATCAATCTCATCACCGTTTCATGATGCACGAACTTCAGAAAGCTTGAGTGACAAAATGTCGCTGGACAGTCTAACAACAATTAAATACACTTATAAACAATATAATTTCAAATCATATCAAATCTCTTTTAGTCCCGGCTGGTGAAATGATTGACGCTCTATGAAAGTTCCAAAAACTTCCTGCATATACGCCATATGGATGAACTATGATGAACTCAGTATTCCGTAGTATTCCATAGTCTTCCCACAGAATGATTTGGTGTCAAAAGCTGCGCCTCAGACAGCTTCTGTGAAGCAAGGCCATTGTCCAACCCAATGGCTTTCCCTCTCCACTCGTTCTTGAGGGGCTCTTTGGTTTGGGCCTCAACTGCTCGCACACTCATGCCTTTGTTCAGCTCGGACCCACACTTGAGTTCCAGCTCACGCATCAGCCTGTTCGTCCATGCCATCTGCGAGAACATTGTCAGGCTATCTTTCCCGCGGCCTTGACGACTCTTGGGCGCCATCAGATAGCTGCTGTCGCGAAACAGGCCCATGCTGGGTGTTGACCCGATTGCCTGGAGAAGCGAGATGACAAACGCAATCCAATCACCACCGTCTATTTTCTGTGGTAACTTTGCTAGCATCTCTAGCTCAATGTTTCTCAGACCTATGGGATCCCTCCGTCATGTCTAGTTTGTATTCAAACTCGAGCAAGTATTGTTGTTCCTCACATGGCGAAACAAAATGAAACGTCTCTTGGGCCTCCCCAGCTTGAACGATTCTGTTCAGCGACCAACACGGAAGTCGTTCAAACACGTCTTTGAAGCGATTGAAGTCCAAGCCCTTTGCGCCCAGGACCCCTGCACTGACGTGCTTTGTCAGCAATGCCCGGAACTCCTGTCAGCGCCCCCCCAACCAGTTCGATACAGGGGACGCAAATCAAACATTTAGATTGGGGTATAGTTTTTAAATGCTTATAAATGTTTGGAGCAATTTCCATTAATTTCCCAAACAGAACCTGCTTGACTTGAATGGCTCAAGAAATATAAAGAAGTCATTGTCGGGTGATTCATGGATCGAGCCTCGGCACTGATACCTTTAAGTGGCGACCGATCTCCTTGAAGCAGAAAAATGCACTGGCTCCAATCAAACGATGTCATGAGAAAGGTCGCCTCGAGCGATCTGGCCACACCCTGGATCGCTGCTTCGGCCCGGGACATTGTCTCCCAAACAATTGGAATGCGCTGAAACAATTGTCGGGCCCACCCACTTGGTCGCAAACCCTTTTCAAAACCTCAGCAATTGGCACAGCATCTGAAATTCTTAAAAAAATCCAAACCCTGACAAAACATGACAAAACACTCCGAAGTGTGCTCCAAATAAACTGCGCTGTCTTGCGAGAATGCAATGTTGGAAAAAAAGGGCTGCATGGAGGAGTAAGTATTGACATGTCAAGTTCAAAAAATGAGCTATACGTTGAGTTCGATCGAGAAACAGTACTCAAGAAATGCATGGGCTGCTGCAGCCCGCTGGTGCCCATGAACGTAGTCCAAGCCAAATGCACTACTGCTCCCGATCACAACCATATGGTTGGTGCTTTTGGGCCAGCACCTGTGCTCAGCAGAGCTCTGCAATATGCTGAATTATGCTGAAGAAGTGATGAGATGTGATGAGTGTGCCCAAAGACCAGGTGAACGCGCGACTTGGATTGGAATGGATTTGAACATAGAACTGTTGCAAGTGAGGAAGGAGCAAAGTTTCACATATATCTCCAAAGTTTCACATTGAGTTTGTGTATGGACTGCACGCGCTCGTTAGTTGAGTTTTTGACGCTGATCTTGTATGAATCGGAATTCAGAACCTGATTGTGAACGACGTTTGGAAATCTCATTTTGTGAATCCGGTCATCTGATTTTGTATCTAATTTCGAAACCGGATTTAGTAACGTAACTTGATTTTGTGATGGTTTTAAGTTTGTGAGCACGACTGTCTGCAAACAAACATGGTTGGTTGTTTCACGTTGTTTCACTGACTCGACATCACGAAGCCCCATGTGCAGCCCTCTATCAGCACAGAGACCTTGAAGCGGATTGCGGCCTTCGACAGCGCTCGCGAACCAGCCCTGTTCGTCCGGTCATTGGACAGTGCCCACAAAGGAACGTGACCCAGCTTGCTTGGGCCTGGCAGCTCCACTGGGCCTGGCGCCAGCTCCTGCAAAAACTCTCCGTATGCAGCACCATGGGGTTCGTGAAGCGTCTCTTCAAGCCATCTGTTGAACTCGTCCTCGGTCACCTTGTCCTGAGCATTTCAGAAAACGCCAGTGTTTCATGGGCTCAAGTGGAATTCCAAATTCAGTAAATTGCTCCAATATGTTTGAACCCAAATTCATTGTATTTCATTGTAATTCTATAACCCAAGAATATGGGTAAGCTGTCTACCCCCTAGCCTCATCACACATGCCACCATTGCTGTACGCCATCGCAGCCTGGCACCGGGGTCGCTGTAGTGCGTTGAATGTTAAACGATTTACAGGTAACAAATGGTAACAACAATAAGAAGACATTTGGTCAATGTCACAACACCAGAGGATACAAAGAATATACAATAATAACAAACGTTTCTACAAAACGTTGAAAAATGTTCCACATAGTCAACTGTCCACTCATTTGCATAAGAAAACAATAGAATACATTAGAATACATACATGAAGTGTCATCGCACGAAGGAGCAACATCGGTAAAGCATGGTAAAGCATTGTAAAACTCAAAAAACGAACAACTGCTATCGGAAGCCAACATTTTCCCAAAACAAGCACCTCGGACAGCTTTGGATCTGCGTTACCAGCTTCCAAGGCACAGCCTGTGAGGATTGTGCACATGAAGGATCAACATGGGCAGGAACCAATTCAACCCACATGTATGTATGCAGGTATGTATGTAGCAACATCGGTAAAGCATGGTAAAGCATTGTAAAACTCAAAAAACGAACAGCTGCTATCGGAAGCCAACATCTTCCCAAAACAAGCACCTCGGACAGCTTTGGATCTGCGCCACCAGCTTCCAAGGTCGCAGCCTGTGAGGATTGTGCACATGAAGGATCAACATGGACAGGAACCAAATCCAACCCAAATATATGGTGCAGTATTCCCCAGCCCCCCTCAGACGCCAAAGGGGTATGGGTGCTCCTGGTTCCTATGGTCCGCCCCCCTGCCCCCTGTGGCCTGTGGTGGTGGTGGTGGGTTGCTGCTCTTCTGTTTCACCCCCCTCTGCCCTGTGGCCTGTGGCGGTGGTTAGCTGTATGTGTGTGGTTTATGTATATGCACGTATGTATGCATGTATGTATGTATATGTATGTATAGGTATCTTTAGGTATCTTTAGGTATCTATATCGGCATGTATATGTATGTATATGTATGTATAGGTGTGTATAGGTATCTATATATAGGTTTGTCCAGGTATGTATGCTTAGGTATGTGTACGTGTATGTATATGATTGTACATGTATGTATATGTATGTGATCGTACGTGTGTATGTGTGGTTGTATGTCAAGTAAATGGACTGCTGCGTCCCTGAAACGGTGCAGATACGTAGCCGAACTTGTGGCTATATCTCCCAAATGAACAGATATATTCATGTACAGTTTTTTTTTAAAAAAAGCACAATATAACAAATGTATTATGATATTTTGCACTTCCTTTGGGGCGGCACACACGTTGATATCAACTGTCACCATTGGAATCCAACATCTTCCGAAAACAAGCACCTCCAGCAATCCATTGGGATTCTTGACAGCTGGTTGTCCTCAGCGATCACTTTCTCTTCTTGAAGTTCGCGGTTGTGGCTGGCCTGCTGCTCCATGCTGCTCCTCGATCTCGCCTTTCAACGTTGCTTGAAAGAACTGATTACTGTAGATTATAGATAATTATAGCATGTAAATGTATATACAATGATATACTTTAAACAGCTGATCATATATCTGATCATTCTGGTTTTTGGTTGCTGGTATAGAGCTGGTCATTTTGCTAAACCGTTGGCATACACCGGTGCCATTCTTAGAGTGGAATTGTTGGTTCCACCTCAGGTCGCAGGGGCAGCCGGCCAGCGAGGAGATTGATTGCTTTCAGTTGTTTTGAGCGAAAGCCAAAACTTGAAACATACACCATGTTTCAGCAGCTCAAATCACTGATGTCGTGTAGGTGTAAAAATCAGAAATTCGTGAATGCTCGTTGCGTCACGTTGCCGCCTCAGGTCCAGCTGAGCCGACTGAAAGAAGATCACCAAGCGGTGGAGGATGGATTCGGCATCAGAGAGTCATAAGCCGGATGTCTATGTCTCAAAATTCGGAGCCCCCAAGTGGATGGTTTATATAATATGTTTGATATTGTATGATGATTTTCAATCATTTGCTCTGTTGAAAATGACTTGTTGGTGCCCCAATATGGGGATGATATGCCCAAATCTGTTTCACAGCACGGATTTCATCATACCTGGGATGCCATACATGCATTTGTGAGCCAAACTGCTCCAGACATGCAAGCGAAATATATTTCAGAAATTCTTTCACGTACCCTCCCCTAAAATTTCAGTGGCCGAGGGGGTCCCTATGAATTAGTCGTGAATTAGGGAAAGGAAAAAAAATGGACGAGACATGCAACGTTTAGCTGTGAAAACACATTGTTTTGCGCATTTTGGAAGATGTTGTGAACTAGGGAATAGGAAAAAAAGGGGGAGAGACACATGCAGCATTTACCTGTGTAAACACAATGTTTTTTGCAGTTTGGAATAAGTTGCGAATTAGGGAACAGAAAAAATGGGACGGGAAGCACAAAGGTTGCACTTACTTGTGAAAACACAACGTTTCCTGCAGCTTGGAATAAGTTGGGATTAGGGAATAGAAAAAAATGGAACGGGAGACAGACAGGAGGCCTTTACTTATGAACAGGCAATGTTTTGCGCAGCTTGGAATAAGATCAGCAGCATGCAGAGTGATGTTTCCACAACAGCGTGGGGAGACCAAAAGATGTGAAAACATCATAGAGCGAGGGAGCAGTAGTACCTCCAAATACTCCCAAAAAGACGGGTAAAGTACTACACACACACAGATATATATATATATATATATGGGGTAAAATATTATATTGATGGATGCATACAGAAGGTCTAGGTAGTGTGTTATCACACTCAAGTGTATATTGCAGTACTTAGAATAATTAGACTGTGACGTATGCAAATCTATAATGTCTATATCTCAATAAATATATTCAGAGAGAAAGAGTCACATCTGTAACATCTATTTTCCCTGGTTGGTGGTTTTAACAATCTTGAAAAATATGTGTTCGTCAACGGGAAGGATTATCCCATATATGAAATGGAAAATAAAATTCATGTTCCAAATCACCAACCAGTTCCCAACTAAAAAACATCTATTTTCCATATCTTGTTTTCAACGCGTTCTTAAAACACATCTCCGCCTGCTGCAGGACTTGATCTGCGATGGCGTTGGGGGGAAGAATCGCCAGATTCTCCAGGGCCACCTTTCGATTCACCTCGCGCCGTCCGCGAAAAAGCGCCAAAAGAGACGATCTGCAGAGACAAAAGGAGCTATTTCGGGTGACGTTCCCTCTTGAAGCCCTTTAAAAGTGGGAAAACACATAGAAGATATATGGAACACACACACACACGTATATAATTATATAATTATATAATTAAAAACACACACACATATATATATATATATTATACATGATATATATATATATATTATAGATAATATATGGAATATAAATATATATGTGTATATTTACATACGTGTATATATACACATATCATACACACCATTCACTGTTGATTGTTTTTCAAACAAACCAAAGTAGGCAAACCAAACAACTCCTACAAACGACACACAAGATTGGAACTGTTTCTTTGAAAGAATCACACACACACAAATGCAAACCTACATTCCATTGAACTTCCAATAAGACATTGATTCATATCACATATATATATAAATAAATATGATATTACATATTATATTCCTTATTCTATCCAATCCATTCCAATCCACTTCTGTTTTCTGTTCGGACAGCGATTTTTCAACAGAATCTCCCAGACTTGGATGACTTGGATGACTTTTTTATGAACAAAGAACTACAGCAAAAGCCATGGGTTAATATACTGTTAATAATGGTTTATATTAATGGTGATTATATGGTTATTAATGGTTATTATATGGTTATTATATGGTTATTATATGGTTAATGATGGCTAATGATGGTTAATAATCTGGTTGGTGGTTGACCTAGCCCTCCAAAAAATCATAGACAACTCGTCACTTGGGATGATGACATTCCATTCCCAACTTTTCATGGAAAGTCATTCAAAATTCCATGGTTCCAGTCACCACCAACCAGATATTGCTTGATGATCGGCTGTCCAAATCTCACAACCATGGCTTTCATGCCCGGCACCGGCACCGAAAGCCAAGTGACTTGCGACGGATTTGGCGCAGCTAATGGATTCTGCAGCGGAGAAAAACAGGGGATTCCCCCAAGGATTTCTCCGAAGATGTGGCGGATTTTTAGCGCCATATGGGAAAATATGTGAACAAAAAATGGACCATTCCCACTTTTGCCGTTTTTTTTTGCGGATATTGACACACCCAACCAGACTGGATGATGTTGGATATGTACCAAGTACGTTAGGTTGTGGGACTGTGGCTGGCTGGAACATCCACCATTTCTACCATGGATTTAAGCCCGTTCAAAGCTCCATTTCTAGTTGAGTTTCCCATATTTCCCCAATTTTTTTCAATAGTTTTCCTATTTTTCAACAGTTTTCCTATGTTTTTCCTATGTTTTCCTATATTTTCCTATGTTTTTCCAATGTTTGCCACTTGCCAAGGATATTTGCCCCATATTTCCGCCATGACTTGCCGTCGTCACAAAAACCAACCGCATTTCTGGTCTCCTGGCGTTCCCGCCTTCCGTCCCTCGATGATTTCCATCTTCTCCTTCAATGCTTGAACCCGCCTTGGTTGAGATTTCACGCGCAAACATGGATTTGTCATGGTACAATATGTGTATAAATGTATACATGTATAAATGTATATATCATGGGATGATGATAGAAGGCTATGATAGAAATATATAGAAATATGGTGTTATTATATATACACACTAAATTATACCATGGGATTGTGGTATTACTTACTACATAGGTACAGGTTCTATCCCATGAAGAGACAATGACGTTGGCCAATGATGTTTGCTGAACTGCCTCAGGATGTGTAGGGCATCTTCCACTGCCATTTCAGGGGCCGATTTATTGGAGGTACCTACCCATTTATTGGAAGCCTATTTTTGTATACGGCTAAATTTCAGGGAATCTCCGCATATTCCCAGAAGATATGGCCAACAAATAGGCCATAAAGTACTGGTTGGTGGTTTCAACCCCTCTGAAAAATATGAGTTCGTCAGCTGGGATGATGACATTCCCAACTGAATGGAAAGTCATTCAAAATTCCATGGTTCCAGTCACCACCAACCAGACTATTATTAGATTCCCATCAATACCATTAACCACTGTTAATCACTATAAACCACCGTTAATCATTATTAACAATTAAGGTAACCATCATTAACCATCATTAACCATCATTAACCATCATGAACCATCATGAACCAGTCATTAATCATTAATCTATGGAGTGCTATACCTCCATTTTAGAGTTCTGAGTTTTTCCCACTGTGACCTCCAACATTACCATCCCTTCCCCCAACGCTGAAATGCGCGGCTCGGAATGTGACAGGTTGGACCATTTCCTGAAGCTGAAAGGTTGGGGATGGGAAAATGTGCCGCTTCCACCAATAGTCTATCTTATATATATATAGATAGATAGATATAGATAATGGTTTTAAAAACACACACACACAAGCTCTTGGGGTTTTCTATCATGCAAATGCCCAAAAAAGGAGGTTCCTTTTTTACATGTGGATTTCCGTCAGATGTTTCATTCAAAATGTGTGACTGAGCTGGAGGAAACTGGCACATTTTTTTTGCCATTTTTGTAAGTGAAGTAATCCCTTCCGGTGGATTTTTTGGGGATGAAACCACTAATATGACTGGGACCATTTAATTTATATAATGGGATAGGGATGTTGTTCATATTTTTATGGGGGATCGAATTCAACAAGCATGATCTTTTGCTACTGCGATGATCACCACAACTCTTCAGTGATGATTGGAGCCGGCGGAAATCCTGCCCAAACCATCGGGTACTCTTTGGATCATCGCCCCTCGAAACAAATACTAGAACATACTAGAATCTCTTAGAACTTTAAAAAAACATAGTAAAAACAATCTAAAAACTACAAAAACCAACACTTCCTGATGATATCCCCTCTGGATCCCTATTGTGAACAGGACCATTCACGTCAACCCTGGGCCCCCTGTGGGCTAAGCTTCAGCAGGGCGCAGGGACCATCTTTGCTCAACTCCAGTAGTCCTGTCGTCAGGTTTTGACAACGTGGTGACGTGGAATTCAAACAGAAAAATCAATAAGGATGGTAATAAGGATCGTAATGTTTGGAGCTTACACGAACAAATGTGGACATGCATCAAGTGGAGCGTGTCCTTTGATTTCTTAGTTTCTAGTGCTTGTGAATACTGTAATAATGTGCACCAAGCAATTTCAAAACAATTGGATGCTTGCTTCCTTACAAGACAATGCAGAAACATAACAACATATACATATACACATTCAATGTGTCTCACCTTGTCCAGACTCTCTCTCTCTCTCTCTTCATTTGAAAGTGGGTACCCTCCACAATGCTAGGGAAAGGGATCAACCGTAGGGATATATCAAGTTATAGAAAAAACAAGATTTCGTATTTAGCTTCTATTTTCCACCGTTGTGAACCATAGAAAAAAGTCATAAATAAAGTAAACACGTATCATCAATCTCATCATATCTGGTTGGTGGTATACCTACCCTCCGAAAAATATAAGTTCGTCAGTTGGGATGATTATCCCCAACTGAATGGCAAGTCATAAAATTCCATGGTTCCAGTCACCACCAACCAGATATTATCATAGTTCAAACCTATCTGAACACTAACCATCCCAGGCCCACACTTGGGATAGCACGTGGTAAAGGAGCCGCCTGGCGTCACCTTAGTATGTTGTAACTTCATGGTGACTTTGGTCACCGTGTTGGGCAACTTGCTGAGGAAGCTGAACACACCTGCGATCGGCCGCTGCGGCGTTTGAGGTACCAAGGAGATACCGAATCAGATGATTTCCCAAAAAATCACCCAACACATCACCCAAAAAAAGAAACAAAATACACCAATAACAGATCATCTGGTCATTTATAGATGGTTTACCTATTAAAAATAGTGATTTTCCATGGCAAACTGTTAAATAACTCAATACCTAACCATAACCAACCTATTTCCCAAGGAAATACCTAACCATGTCCGTTGCCTCGGTCACTGATGCTGCAGCCGGCCAGGTCCACCCCTAAAGTCTTCAGCTTTGGTGGCAGGGCCTGGCAGTGGCCATGCTACCAACAACAACTGGCTTTTAAGGATCAGTTGAGGGGAATACTAGGGGTTTTTGAAGATCAAACATAGAGGTTATAATAGGGATAATAGGGGTATACCAATGGTATAACCACCATAATAGGGATCATAGGGGTATAACCAACATAATATATATATATATAATGGAAGTATGATGTGGTGATTTATCTTTGTTCCAGCAGTAACAAACATGTTTCAGCATCAAAACATGGTGGTTTAGCCAACAGCATATGTGGAGTCAACCATGAAGAATAGGGGTAGAACCAACCATCAATGGAATAACATGTTAAACACCCAAAATCTTTGAGACCGCAAGTCATGGACTGCCAGGGTTTGGGGGTGATTCAAGGCAGTGGGATTCTAGACCTTTATAGAATCCACTTTGAAAAAAGTGGACAGTTCAAACCACACAGCTGGATAAATGAACATTGGAATACCATCTGGTTATCTCTAACAGTTTGCCATGGAAAATCTCCATGAAATTAATAGGTAAACCATCTATTTCTATGGGCCATCTATACCATGGCTATGTAAACATCGGGATCTTCACCGAAACCGGTTACACCGATTCGGATCAAGGCGCTGTGTCGGGTCGTCGGGCCATGGTCTTTCGGTTACAAAATGGCACATGTTAAGCAAACTTCCCAGACTACAGCAACATCTGATTTTCAGGATTTTCTAGAGTAGGATCGAACTTACCACGGTTTCCCCTTCGTCTCCGTGCCTTTGCCAAGCTTGAGAGGCTGGCGTCCTCCAAGTTGGTAAACCTGGGCCCGGTGAACCCGTGAACCCGGAGCTCAATGGCCATGCAACAGGAACCGATTTATTGGAGGTACCTATCATATATAAGGCCTATATAATATTAGATTATGAATGATTATATGATTATATGATTATGACATATTTACCCTCTGATTATTTAACAATCTTCAACATAGCCATGGACAATGGATGAACATGGCCCCTATATAGCTGATTTATGACGATTTACCTGTTACAAATGGTGATGTTCCATAGCTACGTTAAATAAGCAAAGGATAATTAATGATTTGCTAATGGTATGAATAGATGATAGTGAATCAAGGATTTATGATTAGTATATGATGATTTTTACTGATGGTATATAGCTGTCATGACAATCATTATTACACGTTATAATATATGTTTGCTATTCACACTTGACAGGAAACCATGATTGATAGCGCTTAGTGGTTCTCAAGGGTAAATCGTACTATCTCTTCATTCTCTAGATGGCTTCGCGTGCGGTATTTACCTTTGGTACATCATGAACATCGGAAATACATCTCTGCAATTATCTGCATAATTCTGCAGGTCTCAAATATGTTGTATGTTGATCATGAACGCATGGATGGAAAAATCTACATCTATCTGGGGACCCCTGGATACCAGTAGGTACCACTAGGTTGATTGACGTGCCAAACTGATTGACAGGCCAATCAGTTTAATTGGGATGGCCCAAACCGTTGAATGGGGCGACATGTGCACTTCTGGAACAAATTACACAAGCCTGAAACCTACTCCCCAACTCAAACTATGCAATGGCAAACCTATCATCTCTAGATTCATAGAATTGGATGATGGGCAAATTTACTGGTTTAAGCCCTATATTTGATGGTAAAAACCATGGTTTCCAGTTAAGATTTTCCCTTGAACCAACCCAATGATAGATCATTTGTTCCGGAAAAACATGGCGTTTCCGCATCTATCTTAGCAATTCGCTGGGGAAATTAAAGCCAACCTCATAGAAATACCTTCATTCTCTATCTGGCTGGTGGTGCAATGTGCCCATCTTGAAAAATGATGGAGTTCGTCAATGGGAAGGATTATATATCCCATATATGACATGGAAAATAAACAATTCATGGTTTGAAACCACCAACCAGAATACCTTCATTCTTTAAATATGACCAGCTGCCTGTGTTTTCATGTGCCTAGGCGATCCCACCGCTGCAACACCACAGCGTTTCCCTTGGGGAAATCGCCACTGCACAGCCGTTCCAAGTTGCTGCAGGTCCAGTTTCAGCCATTCCAAGTTGGACATCAAGCTCTGCCTCAGCCGAATGATGCCAGGAGTGACTTTCATTCGGCATCCCCAGCAGCCGCGATATGAAAGAACATCTCCAAAATAAAAGAATGAACATTTTCGGGGGTGTGGTTGAATTTTAATCCAAACCCACTTTGGGGGTGTGGTTGAGCCCAGTATATCCCATGTTTGTCGGTTAACTACCCATTTTAGATGGTTGAACCACCAATCAGAAAAAAAAACACACGTCGATTCGAATAACACCCCTATGGTTGATAGGTTTGACGGTTAAATATCCCACGTTGCATTGATTGCATTGATTCAATCGATTCAATCACCATTATACCAGCACTGCTCATGACTATAGTGACAATCTCATCTTTCAGAATAAATCCAAGACCTTCCAGAAAACCAAAGTCACCAATGAAAAAAATGCCATGATCATCACTGGTTGGTGGTATACCTACCCCTTCTGAAAAATATGTGTTCGTCAATGGGAAGGATGACATCCCATATATGATGGAAAATAAAATTCAGTGTGCTGTTCTATCTGGGTTTTACTATTCTTTTATGGTCAACCTCTTGTAGCAATCTGAACTCATCGTTTCCCATGAAATTTCGCCTGCCATGTTGGAGGACCACATTTCGCCGCGTACGCCGTGGCCGTGTTGTTTGCTCGGCAGGTCACATGGCCAAGTCTAAGAGCTCCTTCTTGGCCAAGTCGCAGCCGGCCAGCATCAAACCTGGGCACAGTAACCAATGTTTGGGATCTACCCTCTGGTGATGACTGTTACATAGCCATGGTATTTTCCATGGCACATAGAAATAGATGGTTTACCGAACTTAAACATGGTGATTTTCCATGGCTATGTTAAATAACCAGAGGGTAAATAAATATAGAAATTCATGGTGAATAGCACTTAGCACGTTGTTTTTCTCCTGCCAAACATCAATGAGGATATCACTCGCGAACTGCGAAGATCTTACCAATGAATAAAAACTCGCGAACTGCGATCTTGTCCATCAATACAAAAACAATAAACACATGCAAAGTGCGAAGATTTTACTGATAAAACGTGCGATGTCCCCACCATACCCAGATGCTCCATGTATGGAATATTTACCTACATTTGAGCCATTTTTGGGGTAAATGTAGGTAAATATTCCATACATGGAGCATTTGGGATATGATATTACCTATCATTGGCGATGGCAACCCAACACCCGCCCGTCTCCAGCGTCTCCAGCATCGAACCCCTCATCCCAGAAACTCAAGGAGGTTCGCCAATAATCACCTGGCTGCTGCGTTGCGAAATCTATAGATACTCTGCCAAACTTCAACGCTGTAGCTGGGTAATGCCCAAAGGTTGTAGTGGAATAGTTTTGATTTGTGTGATTTTAGTATTTTTTTAGCCCCAAAAGTAACTTGGGGTAGTATTTATGGCCAAAGATCCAACTATCTGAACTATCCATTGAGCATATCCCAAGGTTTCTGTTGGTCAAATGCCGTTCTTTGGTTAGGATGATGGTATCCTCAGCCAAACCTACCCCAGTTTTTCATTGAAATTCTCTGCTCCGAAGTGGTTTTATTTGTTTCAACTACCCGTCCCAGAAGATCAGTGAATTGGCAAAACCGTTACACTCTGATAAACCCAATAGATCAGTAAACTGTTGGTTTACCATTTTAATCCATTTTCTATACGCTCTGGTAAACTAACACTTTGCTGTTGAAAATGGTCATAGAAAGTTCGTGGATTTACCCACTCAAAAGGGTGATGTTCAACAGCTATGTTAGTTTACCAAAGGGTGTGTATATATATATATATTATTGCAGAACATAGGGTCAACTAACACCAACATATAGATATATATATATATATATATGTAATAATATAATAATATAGAATAATATATGTGTGTAATAATATATATGTATATATATATATATGTATATAATTGCAGAACATAGGGTCAAACCACCAGTCAGTGATTCATTGCTGTGAACAGTATGCAACATGTTTGCTGGTGATACTCCCATGTATCGGCGGTAATTTACTGATAAGTTGGGCTCTGGATTTAAAAAAAAACACCCATGAAACATGATGTATTCCATTCTCTTACTGGTGCTTAGTAGGGAATGGATCGGAATGGGGGAATGGGATGATTATTACTAGTGATTATGGATCATTCCCTCATTCCCTTCGTTTAGCACCACTAAGTTCTTGTTGATTAATCATGCTCGCTTTCCCTTCCAAAAGGCATGATTGATGCTCAATTGGATCACACCACCATGGCTAATCGTTGACCACTACTCGCTAAAAACTCAATTAACCCATTTACATCTATATACTCAACGGATTGGTTTGGGGGAACATTTACAGGAAAACCCAATATTTAATGGGAACATCGATGGTTTCCGGCTAAGATTTTCCCGTGAAAACCAATCCATTGATATACACATATCAATCAAATTCAATCAATCTATCCATCTATCTGGGGAAAAAACATATTTCACTAACCTGAATAGTTCAGCCAGCTATGGGGATGATTCCCCATATAAACCATGATTCCAGATCTATGTGCCTACCCCATTTCTATTAACAAAAAACATCACCAGGCGCGATGGCCCGAAGCCCTTCCACCACCACCGGCCTTGGATACCTTTGGCCATGTCAAGCAGCATCGACCTGAGCTGACATCATGGGGATATATCAACAGGGATAAATCATGATATGGGGTGATACTAATATATTTAAAAGGATATAAAATGATATATAACTAAAAAATAATATCTTATAACTAAGAATGAATATAATATTGATATATCCCAAATAATGATAAATGTATCCTCTGGTTATGGACTTTAATGTGATTTTATGGTGATTTTTAGAGGAATTGAACCCACACTTCAATAGGGATATTCATGGGAAATACCATCTGGTTATTTAACATAGCTAAGGAAAAAGGGCCCATTTATAATTATAGATGCTGAAAATGATGATTTACCTACTAAAAATGGTGATTTCCCATAGCTACGTTAACTAACCAGAGGGTAACCAAGAATTCATGATATTTGGGCGCGTCTGAAAATGGGGCAAAACCCCAATGTACGGACACTTGAACAAGGTAAAAAATATGACTATATAACCGCTGGATTTTGACTTTGGTATTATATATGTTTTTTAATTATAAGTTATGGCATGATTTTGTATGGTGCTCAATGGTTTGTTTCATGTGGCAACAGACCTGCACCCTTCATCCTGAGTTCCTAAGCCTTCCGTCTAAGCGATGGCAGGCCCATGGAATCAGCAACCAACAGCCAATGAGGTATCTGGTTGGTGGTTTCAACCATCTTGAAACATATGAAAGTCAGGTGGGATGATTATTCGCAATATATGGAACAATAAAACATGTTCAAAACCACCAACCAGTATGTAGGTTCCAGGTTGAATGGCAGCTTTTATACAGAGACCGGCTTCAATCACCCATTTTGCCACTTGGACAGTGGATGGAATCAATGTTCACTAAGTCGCGAACATTGATTCCATCGGCAAATTCATCAGTTGCCACCGTTGCATTGAAAACCTCACTGGTTGTTTTTCAAATCACATGATTTCTGGTTGCATACCCCCGATGGCTATCAATTCTTGGTTGCAAGCCCTAGCTATTTTATATATATATATAAAATAAACCCATGCATTGGGGCCTCATTTGTTCAAGCGCCTGTAAGTCTTACAGTCTGTAAGTGTTGCTACATGGGCCTCACCTAAAGTAGTTTCAAATCTTTCTTTGGCAAATATCTCCAGGCACTGGGGCTTCAGGCATGTACGCCTTATCCTGCAAGTCTGCACGGCACAGCACATGTGGCCAGAACGCCAAGAGGAGGAAGCTACGCAAACGCCTGGCGGCCAGGGCGGGCCGCGCAGCGCGCAGAATGACGGGCTCCAACCCTAGTTTAATGATTAGTAAACGTCATCAATGTGGGAAACCCAATGTCATGAGCATTTCTCTCATGTGGTTGGGAAACTCCTGGTAGCTCCTTGGCTCCCCATCGGAAATTTAGATACCCCCAGCTCCTTAACTCCTTCCTGGCCACTGGATAGGAGTCCATAAATCTCCAGTTTCCAGTTTTGCATGGTCTGGATCAACAATGCATTTCTGGTGAAATTGAGGTTGTATACTTGTTTGGGGCTACCATGGTCTAGCATTTGTTTTGGGCTCGAAACTTACCGGAAAAACCAGGTGTTTGAGAGTTGATTGTATACTAGTATACTGTACATTGTATGCTGGAGATATATCTGAAATTGTCACCAGCTGGAGCCCCCAAATATGTATCTGGGTAAATTATAATATTTCACTAACCTGAATTTTTGCGGCCATTTGGGGATAATTTCCCTTACTAACCATGATTTCCAGGGCTCGGTCGCAGTGAGGTCGTTATAATTTACCCATATATATATATACATATATATATACATATATATATAGTTCAGTTGGCTCATAACTTGGTGAACTAGGAGTCTATGGGTGATATACCCTGATAATCTGATATACATCTGGGGTACAACATATTTCACTGACCTGAATTAATTAAGGCCAGCTATGGGGATGATTCCCCATAAATACACCAACCTTCACCCAGCAGCTGGGGGTTTCCCTCAATCGAATCCCCGTTTATTGGGAACATGATGGAAATCCACATGTCTGGTGGGTTTCCCATTGGGTTAATACCCTCTGGTAAACTAACATAGCTATTGAAAATGGCCATTTATAGTGAGTTTTCCCATTAAAAATGGTGATTTTCCATAGTTATGTTAGTTTACCAGAGGGTAATAAGCCCAAAATCACCTTCAGGCAAACCCAAGAATATCCCCAAGGCCTAGTCATCCGCTGGTAGGTCTCCACCTGCTCCTCCCCCTCCAAAGGCAGAGCCATGCAACCCAACAAGCGCTGACGTTCCTCCTGCGGCTTTTTAAAGGGCTGGCGGCCCTTAAAGGGCGAATGCAGTTTTGATGGGAAATCCTGCCAGTTTTACAGGAATATATATATATATAGAGCAACATATGTGAAAACTATGTCAACATCATGTATCAAGATGGGAAAAATTGGAACATCATGGAACCTTGGACTTGATATTTAAATGAACTTCAACCACGGTGTACATATACTAGTACTCGTTTTATTTTGATGTATGAAATAAACATATACTATCATATACTTCTATCAGTGTATAAACACATATAATCAGTACTATACTTACAATGTGAGGCCCCCAAGATAGCGTTCAGTTGGTGCACATAACTCCAATGTCACTATGGTTTATGGTACTTATAACGAACTAGTTACTGGGGCTTATAAACCAACTTAGCTATCTTGGGGGCCCCACATTGTACCATAAACCATACTGAAATTGGAGTTTCTATAGATATATAAGGCTTTCCTGTAAATTTTCCCATCATCCAATTCTATGATTATAGTGGTCCATTTATAGATGATTTTCCCATTAAAACCTCCATTTAGAAGGGATTTTCCATGGCTATGTTAAATAACCAGAGGGTATAGGTAAATATGTCTTTTCCCAATTCTCCATCATCTTCCCCCAACTTCCCATGGCTGCCATGGCTTCCTCCCTTGAGGCGTGGGTCTTCTCGATGCTGAAGTCCAACGCCGCCTGCGCCCAGGGATGCCCAGGGGCTGGGCGCAAATTTTCCGAGGTATCATCATTTAATCATTTTATAAGCCATGGTTATGGTTATACCATTGGTTAATATACTGTTAATAATGGTTTATATTAATGGTGAGTATATGGTTATTATATGGTTAATGATGGTTGATAAGTGTGTATATAACTCCAATATACTCCAATAACAATGGTTTTTGGTAGATATATCTATAATATTCTATAATTACTATTCTGGTTGGTGGTTGACCTAGCCCTCTGAAAAATCATGGAGTGAAAGTCAGTTGGGATGATTATTCCATTCCCAACTGAATGGAAAAATAAAAGCATATTCCAAACCATCAATCAGATATGATAGTATATGATTATATGACTACATTTGAAGATATTTGGGTTTAGAAAACCCCAAATTCTCTATTGAAACATGATGGTTTTTGATTGCCGAGTTGTGGTTATGATTGGGGCTACAAGATGATCAGCGGTCAAAACATGTCAAAACTCCGGTTCCGCCCCCATCATGATTTACCCTCTGGTTATTTGTTACATAGCCATGGAAAATGGATGAAAATGGCCCATTTATAGATGGTTTACCTATTAAAAATGGTGATTTTCCATGGCTATGTTAAGTAACCAGAGGGTATATGGATTTATCACCTTCCCGATTTTTGATTGGAACATCCGAGGTTTTATTCCCGACCCATCGTCATATTTAACGAACACATCGACGTGGAGAATCTCGGCACACGGGTGGAGCATCTCGGCCGCCTTGGCGACTTCCAGGGGGAAGTTCCTCTCACGCTGCTGTTTCAGGTGGATTCCAACACCTGGACAATACCTCGGGCTGCACAGCACGGATCGGCACGGCACGATCTGGTTTTGAGTTCAGAAAATTTAGGAGATTTCAGATGATTCCTGGTTGGTGGGGGCTACCTACCCCTCTGAAAAATCATGGAGTGAAAGTCAGTTGGGATGATGACATTCCCAAGATATGGAAAAATAAAAAATGTTCCAAACCACCAACCAGATTCTTACTGGTGCTAAACGCAGTGAACGAGGGAATGATCCATAATTACTGATCATTTGGGCTCTGGATTAAAAAAACATGAAGCATGATGTATTCCATTCTCTTACTGGTGCTAAACGTAGGGAATGGATGGCAATGGGGGAATGGGATGATTATTACTAGTGATTATGGATCATTCCCTGGTTGAGTGAAAATTTGAGATTTCAGATGATTTAAGCCACAACAATGGGGATTTCAATGGAAATTCCCCTGATAGATGTGCATAAGCCAAAACACAGGATTTGAATGGAAATCCTCTGATATTTAGATGTGCATGAAAATGTGGTTCAGAGGAATGTTTGCGGCAGAAACCATATTTATGTTACCCTACACATTCCCTTCACACAATGCCAAGAACTTTGAGATTCCAAGCCGGCAACATCTGCGCACGAAGTGGGATTAAAACCAACTGGCACTGTTGTTTTGACATCAAAATAGTGTTGTAGGTATTTCTGATAGGCCGCAGCGACAGCATCAAACTATGAGACACCAACTATCAAACGTAAGTTGTTTGTATTTTTCTGATTTCTCAACCCATCGAAGTTATTACAACTTCCGTATAATATACGTTTTGGTACGACTTCTATCAAGCCACCAGATTTCTGGGTCAAAAAAGGATAATTACCCCGATATAAATGAATGCTTAATAATCTGGTTGGTGGTTTCAACCCCTCTGAACAATATGAAAGTCAGTTGGGATTATTATTCCCAATAATCCAAACCACCAGCCAGTAATCCTTAGCCCTTTAATAAATCAAGCCCCAGAAACCGATTTTAAAAACACGTGGCCCAGTTCACCAGGTCCACAGGTTATCGAAGTTGAGTATTGATGTAGAATACCCGACCTGGTAAACTTACAAAAAACGATGGAACATCACCATTTTTAATGGGACAATCCACTATTTCTATGGCCATTTTCAATAGCTTTTTGTATGTTTACCAGAGGGTAAATAGACAAGACACGTATGATACTGGTTGGTGGTTTCAAACCCTCTGAAAAATATGAGTTCGTCAGTTGGGATTATGAAATTCCCAAGATATAGAAAATATAATTCATGTTCCAAAACCACCAACCACCAAGAGTAAACAAGTATGATAAATCCCATATTCCATCATATTCCCATTCATTATTTTCAGATATCCCCATTAATGATCAGATATTTCCGTGACATATCCCCATGAAGTTTCCAAAACATCTCGCAACGATTCCGAAACGTTTCCTACGCGCACAACTTGACCCACACGATCAAAAATCTATATAATTCCATATGCCCTCTGGTAAATTAACATAGACCCTGGCAGATAGAGGTTGGAAGATGAGTTTCCATTAAAACTAGGCTATGTTAATTTACCAGAGGGTAAATCATATAACTCCACCATTCTTGGTACATGTTCCTTGGTGAAACCACCTGATGTCCACCATGTTACTTGCTGGAGCAAATCTCTTGGGAAGTAAGGCCACAGGTCAGAACCTCCGCATCCTGCCATGTTCGGGTTCGGGTGGTGACCGAAGGATGAAATTCACATCCCCTAATATCAATGGCCATTTCAGGAACCTAAATTGGAGGTACCTAGCATATATAAGGCCTATATAAGGCATATATAAGGGGATATCCCTAGAACATATGCCCTTATATGGTACAGTACCTCCATTTTAGGATCCTGAAATTCCCATTGATAATATGGTAGATATATAAAATGACATTAGATACGATTTAAATCGATTTAAGATATCATGATATATCATGATGTATATATATCTTATGATATGTTGATATATCCTCTCTCTCTCTCGCTGGGTGTAGCTGTCTATCCGACCGCCATCTGAGTATCTAAATCACACACGCATATAGATATATGACAAGTATGTACATATATATATATATATGCAAACATATCATGCAAGAATAATTGGATGAGTATATTATATCCAATGTCATAGTTCATAATGTAGTTCAATTATCTAACAAGCAAATGATAGCAAATGTAATATGATATAATGTGCACATTTTTCTACAAACTTGAGCCCCCCTCCAGTTGTAAGTTGGCAAGAAAATCAAACTAGACGACGGATGGCCCGAGAGCGTAGAGGAGCAGGGTCTTCTCTTGTTAGTATGGAGACGCAATATTAGAAACGATATATGAAAGCTGTGTTATAGGCAGTCGAGAAGAGGAGTATCAAGACAAAATAGTGAGAAGTGCAAGACAATAGTTTGCATCGCAAACACTTTTACACACAGACGCTTTTACACACAGACGCTTTTACACACAGAAGCTTTTACACACAGAAGCTTTTACATACAGAAGCTTTTACCCACAGAAGCTTTTACACACAGAAGCTTTTACACAGACACTTTTACACACAGAAGCTTTTACACACAGACACTTTTACACACAGAAGCCTTTTACACCCAGACGCCTTTACACACAGACACTTTTACACACAGACGCTTTTGACACACAGACGCTTTTTACACACAGACGCTTTGACACACAAACACATTTACACACAGACGCTTTTACACACAGACGCTTTTTACACACAAACGATTTTTACACACAGACGCTTTGACACACGAATACATTTACACACAGAGGCTTTTACACACAAACGCTTTTACACAAACACTTTTACACACAGACGCTTTGACACACAGACGCTTTGACACACAGACGCTTTTACACACAGCCACTTTTACACACAGACACGCTTTTACACACAGACGCTTTTACACACAGACGCTTTTACACACAGACGCTTTTACACTTTGCCGATCGACCCTCATTTGCTGCGAAAGGGTTGCTCCGGAGCAAGTAAAATCGCAATTTTACCTCAGTTTTTCCCGATCGACCTTCATTTCGTGCGAAAGGGTTGCCGTAGCACAAGTAAAATCGCAATTTTACCTCAGTTTTTGCCGATCGACCCTCATTTCGTGCGAAAGGGTTGCTCCGGGACAAGTCAAATCGCAAATTTTCCTCAGTTTTTGCCGATCGACCCTCATTTCGTGCGAAAGGGTTGCTCCGGGACAAGTCAAATCGCAATTTTACCTCAGTTTTTGCCGATCGACCCTCATTTCGTGCGAAAGGGTTGCTCCGGCACAAGTATAATCGCAATTTTACCTCAGTTTTTGCCGATCGACCTTCATTTCGTGCGAAAGGGTTGCTCCGGGGCAAGTCAAATCGCAATTTTACCGCAGTTTTTGCCGATCGACCCTCATTTCGTGCGAAAGGGTTGCTCCAGGGCAAGTCAAATCGCAATTTTACCTCAGTTTTTGCCGATCGACCCTCATTTCGTGCGAAAGGGTTGCTCCGGACAAGTCAAATCGCAATTTTACCTCAGTTTTTGCCGATCGACCCTCATTTCGTGCGAAAGGGTTGACGTTTCGTGACTCGCCGCCGGCACCACCCTCGGCCTTAAGAGAGAAAGATAAAAAGAAGGCGTGAGAGAGAAGGTGAGCAGGTGTGAAGATAAGAAGATGTGAAGATGAGCAGATGTGAAGATGAGCAGATGTGAAGATGAGCAGATGCGAAGATGAGCAGATGTGAAGATGAGCAGATGTGAAGATGAGCAGGTGTGAAGATGAGCAGATGTGAAGATGAGAAGATGTGAAGAGAAGGTGTGAAGATGAGCAGATGTGAAGATGAGCAGATGTGAAGATGAGCAGATGTGAAGATGAGCAGATGTGAAGATGAGAAGATGAAGATGTGAAGATGAGCAGATGTGAAGATGAGCAGATGTGAAGATGAGAAGATGTGAAGATGAGCAGATGTGAAGATGAGCAGATGTGAAGATGAGCAGATGTGAAGATGAGAAGGTGTGAAGATGGGAAGGTGTGAAGATGAGCAGATGTGAAGATGAGAGGATGTGAAGATGAGAGGATGTGAAGATGAGCAGATGTGAAGATGAGAGGATGTGAAGATGAGAGGATGTAAAGATGAAAAGATGTGAAGATGAGAGGATGTGAAGATGAGAGGATGTAAAGATAAAAAGATGTGAAGATGAGAGGATGTGAAGATGAGATGTGAAGATGAGAGGATGTGAAGATGAGATGTGAAGATGAGAGGATGTGAAGATGAGATGTGAAGATGAGAAGATGTTTGACAGACCCACACTATTGGAAGAACCCTGCGCTCAGACGCGCTCGGGAAAAAGAAAGTAATTTTAGTAGAGCAATATTTTTACATATATATATATATATATTTATGTTTTATATATATATATAATACTATATGTCAAACCAACCAGAAATTTTGATGCTTCATATTACCCATCAAAAAAATGTGACCATTTTGGGGATGTCTCGTCCCGCCGTCCTTGTTCCGCACGGCACAGACATCCACGCAGAGTGCGGTGCAGTCCAAACACAGGGCCTGGGACGGGCTTGGAGGCATCGCAATCGAAGTTGGCAATGAACAGCACTTATAACACTCAAATGGGACATGTATAACGCTCAAATGGGGCTCAGTAATCATGGTTAATAATGGTTAATAATGGTTAGTAATCATGGTTAATCATGTACAGTAATAATGGTTACCCCCTGGTAAATTAACTTGTGGACCCTGTAAATCACCATTTGTTTAATGGAAACTAGTCTTCCAACCCCATGAATGCCAGGGTCTATGTTAATTTACCAGAGGGTATATAGTATCAACACCATCATAGCCAGTCATAGCCATTATCATTGGACATCTATAATCTATAATCAAATGGGACAAGTATGTGTTATATCAACACCATCATACTGGTTGGTGGTATACCTACCCCTCTGAAAAATATGAGTTCGTCAGTTGGGATGATTTTTCCCAATATATGGGAACATAAAAATTCATGTTTGAAACCACCAACCAGATATAGTATCAACACCATCATAGCCATTATCGAAATCTATAATCTATAATCAAATGGGACTTACCCTCTGGTAAACTAACGTAGCTATAGAAAATCACCATTATTAATGGGTAAATCCACTATAAATGGCACATAAGGGTAAATGGATGATTTTCTGGATGTTCCATTCCAAAGTGGCATGGATTACCAAAAGGTGAGCCCCCAAAAAATGCAGAAAACTGGAAATTCTCTCCTCCAACGTGGGAGCAGGGTCCGCTGAACAAGCGTCACCCTGAAAAGATAAATGTTTCACGCCAGGAGGGGACCAAACACCATGTTCCATTTGAAACAAATGTTGTGACTTAGGGGTTGGTTTTCTATTTCCAGCACAGTTTTTTCGCAACAGTTGCAAATCAATGTCCGGCTTGGCTTTCCCAAACTTCTGCATGTCTTGTGGCACTCCCATAGTAAAGCAATAATAAACATCCGCAATGTTATTACCACACGCAATTTTTATGACCATAAATGGGTGGTTAATAACCGTTACCCATCAAAAAATCTTTACCAAACAGCTAAGAGCTAACACTCTCTGCACCCCAACGGCGCCCAGGGGCGAGTTCAAAGGTGCACCATGTCCGCGTGAACAGGGCCGCAGGCATCGCCACCTCGGGAGAGGCGTCGGTGATCAGCAGCATGCGGAAGTGCGCAGCCTGCGTCGTGGCATGGCACCGGTGGCTGTTGCGACTCGGGAATCAACAAAATCTAGTGTATAGATAGACAAATAGATAACTAGGAAGCAGCTGGATAACTGGATAGCGTGATATAGAGATAGAGATAGAGAAATAGAGATAGAGAGAGAAATAGAGATGCAAATAGAGATACAAATAGAGAAGAGACAGCTGAAGATCAAAATAAAATAGAATCAAATAGAGAAACACTACACACAGTATCTGATTGAGCGTTTAATAATTGAATCAACACGGATTGTTCCTGATGAGCAAAACACCATTTCTTCTTTTTCGGGTGGCGCCAAACGTGGGACCCAGAGATGCATATCCAACTGATTTTGTCTCAATCCGAATTCCACGTGTCAAATTTGCATTGTTTGGTCAACAACCCACGCATCTATGATCGGTTGTGCCTTAAAACTTTAAACCTTTAAACCCCAATTTTCATATACCCTCTGGTTATTTAACATAGCCATGGAAAATTGCCCATTTATAGATGGTTTACCTATAAAAAATGGTGATTTTCTATGGTTATGTTAAGTTACCAGAGGGTATATTTTTTGCTCTTGGTTCAATCCTGTCAAGACCGTCAATTCTAGTTGTACGATGTTGTACAAATCGCGTGACACCAATGCTTCATGAAACAACCATCCTAGACCTTCCAACGTTCAATAACTTCTGTACTTTTGGGCGCAAATGGCCGCAAATGACCGCAAAAAAACGCAAATTGGACCGCACATAGTTCAAATTGGACCAATCGTTCACAACCATATCTAGTATTATCTAGTTGGTGGTTTCAACCATCTCTTGAAAATCTTGAAAAATATGAGTTCGTCAGATTGGATCATCATCCCAACTATTGATTATTGGGGAAAATAAAAATCATGTTCCAAACCACCAACCAGTAAATGATGTTCATTGATTTTTCCATTTAAATTGCCATTTCTAGGGGATTTTCCCATTTAATGATGGTGAATAGTGGTTAATAGTGGTTTAAAACCACCAACCAGATATGTGGGCCCACAGGCCCGTGGGATCCCGCGGGCCCGGCCTCCGCCACCTTGGCCAAGGGTGTGGTGCTCATCTCACCCAGCTCCGCTGTGGCAAAGTCCTGGCCCGGGCAAAGTATATATATATATATATCATTATATATCTATCTATCTTATCTATTTTATCTATCTGTGTATATATATATATAGAGTCATTATATCTATCTATCTATCTGTCTGTCTATCTATCTATCTATCCATCTATCCATCCATCCATCTATCCATCCATCCATCCATCCATCTATCTATTTGGGCAAAGTATAATAAATCACTAACCTGCAAAAAGGCCATTTGGGGATAGCTGATCCTTACTAATCAGTATTCCAGTGAGGTCGCAGTGAGGTCGTTATAATTCATATATATATATGTATAACTAATGTAGGTAAAACAATAATACTAATAAACCATTCCCATTCACTATAGATAGGTATACAAATATAGATGAGATATAAGAATATAAAGTAAACGTGGCAAGCTGGAAAATCCCCTAAACATGGATGGGTTTATTGCGAGATTCAAACTATATGAGCTATTTCCTATTGCCATGTTTGATTACCGGAGGGTAATTAAACAACAAAAAATATCACACCAGATTTAAGTTACATACAAGTATACATGTATATATATATATTAATATATATATTAATATATATATATATATATTTATTTATTAATAGATATATATATATATTATATATATTATATATATATATTATGATGCGATTACTCTACGTACCCTGGTTGAGTCTTGGATATATTGAGAGGTTGAATTCAGGGGAATACTCATATGATCCAAGTCATGGGAGTCACGTCCCGGAGTCATGAACCGAGAGACCAGTGCAGCAATTGGCGGAGTTGCCCTCAAAAAATAGAGATACACAATTGATACACATAGATACACTGATGCCACCGTTTTGTAACCTGATTACTATCAAAATTGGTACCCCGTTAATTCATACCTTGAAGATTTAACAAACTATTGGGTTCACATTCGCATGACAACTAATAGGATGAATGAACCCAGGATCAACAAAGGTATCATCGTGGGGTAGCATTGACCTGGAACAGATTCACATTATCGTTTCACCATTCCACACACTTTCCCCGTTCATCTTCGACTCCCCGGGCTGAAAAAAACTCAGCTCGTCCAGATATGGCTTGGGAAATGGTCCCCGTCTCATCACAACACATGGGCAAGTTGTGGCAATGGGACCCCACGGGTCACCAATTTCCGAGTTCAAGATGTTCAAGAACCGCTCGTTCCAAGTCCGCGCGCTTCTGGTGACGGCTGCATCCAAACCAACCAATGTAACTGCAAATGCCAATATGGTGACGGGTAGATGCGCCCCAAAACTCCAAATACTGGCGTCAACCACACTCCTGATACCTTGGTCACAAGATGTCACAAGTACCACCTGATAGTGGATTTTCCCATTAAAAATAGTGATTTTCCATAGTTTTTTGTAAGTTTACCAGATGGAACTTAGTATCCAAACAGTTGTGGAGATCCAATGATACCCGTACGGCGAAGGTTGGTGGAAACTTCGATGGGTCGATGGGGATGGTGTATCTGAAGCCTTGACCTTCGGAAGTTCGACATGTGCAGCTTTATACCATCTGGTTATTTAACATAGTCATGGGAAATAACCATTTTTTAATAGGTAAACCATCTATAAATGGGCCATTTCCCATGGCTATGTTAAATAACCAGAGGGTATATGGAAGTCCAAATGCCGATGTTCCAAGTTGACCGACTCTACGCCCCTTGAAATCAGAAACCATCAGAAACCATGATGCCGCGGATGGAATCACATAGTCGGGACCATAGAATGAAGCGTGTTAAAAACTCACACCCTTGATGGAATTATGGCCATTTGATATTCCCAATCTAATTCTCAGTGTCCCAATTATAATCCCCAATTGAACGGTGGTCAAAACCCTCTGTTGTCCCTTTATATTGGCTAAAGGGATTTCCCAAAAGGTTTTCCCCAAAACATATTGGGTGATATAACCTCCCGTAGCAATTAATCAACCAACAGGGGTTTCGAACACTTCGCATACATTCCACCAAGAGGGTATATTATGTCCCAAAAACAATTCCCATTAATTATATGTATCCCGATTGCATCCTATTTAATAAATGGCCAAGAACTACAAACCGTCTTTTTTAGGTTGAATCTACGTTTTTCAAGGGGGTTTCCTTAGCACTGATGATTACCATCTGGTAAACAAACAGTTTGCTATGGAAACTTGCCAGTTTCAATAGGCAAATCAACCATAAATGAACATTGTCAATAGCAAACTGTTAAATTACCAGATGGATCCAGAGGGTATATCCCATTCATATCCCCATATGAATAGCGGACAAAAATACTTGTTCATTTTCATGCCATGCGCAAATTAGGGTTGTCCCTTATCGGTATCGAGGATTCTGCGTTCTGTGACTTTGAGGCGACTCATGCAAAACTGCGGTATTGGTATAGGGTCGTCCCGTATCGGTACTGAAAGTTTTGCACACACCTTAGCAAGGCCAAGGCGAGGTTAGAATCATTAAATTAATATTACAATAATTTCGTCGGTTACTCATATAGTTCTTACTTCAATCCCTATGAATCACCATAACATCCTACACAATTCCATGAAATCGCCATATCATCCTATTTAATCCCCATTTGAAATTATCGTTATTTTCCCATGATTACAAGTAGTTATCGATGATGTTTTCCATCATTATATGTGAACATATTAACCAATGAATATCCATTATTCAATTTATTTCATGGTTATCTTCCCATGAAAACCATCATTAGTTAACAGTTAACCATTATTAACCACTATTGACCACTATTTTCCCCATTAATTAAACCAGTTAAATGCCCATTATTGGTGATTTTCCCATGATTGCAGTAGTTAGATATTACTCATGGGAAAATCACCATGTTACTGGGATTGCATTATTCACCATGATTAAAAGCCACCAGTTTTCCCATGGAAATCCCAGCAGAACTTGCGGGCAGCGCATGGTGTCGCGCCTGGTGTCGCGACGCGAAGGCACCGATCCAGTAGCCCGTGCGACCGCTCAGGTTCCGCACCGTCAGGTGCTGCCTAAAACGTGCCGTCCAGGCATGGTGGCTGATGGCTGGGGAAAGCCCTAGTTCTATGGAGAACTAGAGGGATAGGAGATGGACTATAATATACATCCCGGCGGGTTGTTTATCGAACCCGCGTTTTCAACGTTTGCAGTGTTCGACATTGATTTTATACCACAAATCACATTGTTTTTGCATTTCCCTGAAAGTGCAATTTCCTTAAAAAGTACGCGCGTACTTTTGACTGGAAATGTAAAAAACCTCAGCGGCACTCTCTTTTTTTCTGCGCTAAGTGTTCTTGACAATCTGTGCAGTGAGCTTGGACAGGTTTTTGTGGGAACTGTTTTCCCATCGCCACTGCCAAGCGCGAACATGCGTCCAAATCTTGCCATTGAGCAAGGTTGGATTCCTAGCACTCTTCGTATGAAGATTCTTAGGCAAGGATCCTTTGATCAGCCGCCAAACAATGTCAATTGTGCCCGTATGGACATCAATGGTGAGCATCATATATGTGAGGAAGTGCAAGACGAATTACAGCAGCGTAGCATCATATATGTGAAGAAGTGCAAGACGAATTACAGTAGCGTAGCTTCATATATGTGAAGAAGTGCAAGACGAATTACAGCAGCGTAGCATCATATATGTGAAGAAGTGCAAGACAAATTACAGTAGCGTAGCATCATATATGTGAAGAAGTGCAAGACGAATTACAGTAGCGTAGCATCATATATGTGAGGAAGTGCAAGACGAATTACAATAACGTAGCATCATAACATATATGTGAAGAAGTGCAAGGCGACATACAATAACGTAGCATCATGTTTGTGAGGAAGTGCAAGACGAATTACAGTAGCGTAGCATCATATATGTGAAGAAATGCAAGACGAATTACAATAGCGTAGCAAGACGAATTACAGTAGCGTAGCATCATATATGTGAAGAAATGCAAGACGAATTACAATAGCGTAGCATCATATATGTGAAGAAGCGCAAGACGAATTACAGTAGCGTAGCATCATATATGTGAAGAAGTGCAAGACGAATTGCAGTAGCGTAGCATCATATATGTGAGGAAGTGCCAATGAACGTGATTACCCCACCCCACCCCACCCCACACAATAACGTAGCATCATATATAAAAAGATGCAAAACGCTGGTTCGGTTTTCAACCCGTAGGCATATACATGTATTTATATACATATATATAAGTGTATTATAATGATTATATGGATTATATGATGTATGATTATATAGGGATACAGTATCATTTACACTCCGAAGAATGTCCATTATCGGGATGTGACTCCAGCTCAGCCGGTGGGCAATAAGCACAAGCATATAACATAAAGCAGTTCTATGTGGAGTATACCCCAGAAAACACAAGTTCTTCAAGGACTTTCATTTGTTTGAGATAAGATCTAGAAACCGCAAACGAAACGCAAACAAACTAAAAACACAAAACACAACTGAAACTTCAATCCTCCCGCTTGACCATGTCTCGCTTCCGATCTCAAACGCACTCCCTTTTCATCTGCTGGATGGTTTGTCCCACCGTTGGATCAGGTTTGGATTCGACCATACTTCAATCGAAACCATTTGACCAGATGGTATCAACAACCCATTCGGGTCAGATGACATCAGCGATGCACCATTGTGCATTGTCATAGATTCAGGCACAATATTGAACGTGACATCACGTCACTCCGCTCTGAAGTGCAACGCACTGTAATGAAACATGAGCACAAAGGCTTCATAGACGAAACAGAATTCGGAGCACCAATAGAAGAAATAGGGTGAAACTGCGAGATCAAACTGTTGATACAACATTGGGAAAGAATTGAGAACAAGGTGAGGGAGGGAGGGAAACGAAAAATGTATACGCACAAATGAAAGTCCTTGAGCCAAAATGGAATAGAAACACAAAGAAGTTCCTTGCAAAACACAATGAACAAGTACATTAAACGTTCTTCAAGGACTTTCATTTGTTTGAGATAAGATCTAGAAACCGCAAACGAAACGCAAACAAACTAAAAACACAAAACACAACTGAAACTTCAATCCTCCCGCTTGACCATGTCTCGCTTCCGATCTCAGACGCACTCCCTTTTCATCTGCTGGATGGTTTGTCCCACCGTTGGATCAGGTTTGGATTCGACCATACTTCAATCGAAACCATTTGGACCAGATGGCATCAACAACCCAAACAACAACTATCTGGTATAATGGTTATCGCCCAAACACGCCCAAACCAGAAGTGAGAACCATTCCAGCAGATCACATCGCAAGAGGATGTGGGAGTTTCCAAAGGAGTTTCGAATCAGGAGGATGCAATGTTGGGTGAGGTGAACAACGAAATAATTGATTGAGTGAAAGATGAATCCTTTCACTTGGTTGAAAATCATGTGGAATGGGAGTGGAAAAATCCCATCGGCTCAGATCATCCGCTATGACATTGTCCGCGCCAGGAATATGGCTCACATCCAATTCAATACCCGTTGTCGAAGCCAGGCACGTGAGGATCTCGACAAAGAGACATAGAGGATGAGTCGTAGTGAATAATTTGTTGCTCACGCTCTCTGCGCCCGTATTGTCGCTCAAAGATTTCACGCAAATGGGAATACGAAAACCAGGAAAAGATGTGGCCACCAGCCAAACTAAAGCAATTTGGGCTAAAGTTTCAAATGAAGCAATGCTTCGTTGCATATTTGGGTCTAAATGAATTGACAAAATGTCAAAATCGGCATGGGAAAATTTTTCAGAAAACCAAAATTGGACGCCTGAATGATGACGGATGAAACCTCCAATTTGGCAGTAGGAACCCGATGCACATGCATCGGCTGCCGCAATGCCATTCCAATATGGCTTCGCTCTCATTGGTCGAGATGGAGAAACACCCATCAGCCAATGGTCAAATAACTTCAAAATTCGAAGAGAATCAGGACGAAGCTTGCGTTTGGAGGAATTCGGATTGATAATCCGTAACCAAATCCTGTTCTCTGTTTTGATATGTAACGACGTCAGATCCGCCAATGAGGATACTGCTTGATGTCGAACTGCGATGAGCTTACCTGAAATAGGTATAGCGGAGCCCAAAGGTGCTGTATGAAAAGTCAAAGTAGGGGTTAAATATTGATGAATGCGAGGCCATGTACCAGCATCAATACTGAAATGTGTCGCCGGGATGGTGTAGAGGTCGTGGTACCAATAGTGGATCCAGATCCGCATGAGTGGAAATAATTGAGTAATCCACATTGCCAGGCCAATGAGTTTCTCCAAAGACTTACGAGTAGTTCGTGGCTGGGAAACAAGATGTTCGATGCACCCTCGGAGTTTGAGGATCTTTTCAATGGGGATTGTCACAATACCTGCATTGAAATTGAATTTCCAGCCAATATAGTCGATGGAAGAGTGCATGGCCGTCTTCGTCCAGCTGATAGGTATTTCCAAAAGCTGGCAGAAAATACACAGCAATGTGGCCGACAGCGGCATCATGTTGGCTTCCATAAAAAATAAGAAGTCATCCACATATAAAAATCCAGCGTGACTCAACCAGATCAAGTGGTGAAATATACGGAGAAGGAGTCCACCCAATCTCGCCCACCAAAAGGCAGAGAAAACTGCACCAAATGGGGTAACTCTATAGAAGAAAAGCTGCCCTTCTAGCGAAAAGCCAACCAGTCCGCATTCGTCTGGATGTAGAACTATTCTTTTATGAGCGGCTTTAACGTCTAAAGAGAAGCCCATCAGATTTCTCTGACACTGACGTAGAGGGTAGCTACGTAACACCTCCTTGGCAGTCGGGAGGGTGGACCTCTCCGGAATGATACACCGACCATTGAGGCCGCATACGCTGGAGTCCACAACTAATCGGGGGGCTCGACTATCCGATCGAGCCACTCCCAATTTTCCAATAGCAACACCGGCCGGATATTCTTGTTGCGCTTCTTCCAAAGAACCTTTATACGCAAAAACCCAACCCTTGTCAATTTCCTCCTGAACCAGTTCTCGTGTTAATGGTAGATCTTCTTCAGCGCTCTGCCAGTTGGAGAGGTGAGCTGACAATGGATCGGGTTCTATATCCGCACGTTCTTTGGGTGGAAAAATACCCGACGGAGGAATCGCCGTGGAAAAACCGGTTCGGACACCTTCTAATAGACTGGGTAATAATGTAAAATCGACGTCGTGCATAATCTTCTGTAAAGAATGTAAAATATGAAGATGTATTGGCTGATGTTGTCGAACTGACCAATCTGGTGGATGTCCATGTGCCTCCAAGAATTTCTCCAGATCATCCTTGAATGGGGTCAGAATCTCCATCGAAAACGGTGGTGAAGGGTTGCCCGACGCCACATGAGCCAGTAGGATCTTATCCAATCGCTCAGAGATGATCCTGTTCATCCACGAAGTACGGAGCGTCTTGAACCAGTCATGTTCTTGACGATTATCCTGACTCCAGTCCGGGTGGGAAAAAGCTCCACCCCCATCTATTTGTGCAAATGGATAATCCGACAGGTGCTTGGTGGGCATGAGGGCATCCAGAGAGGACCATTGTAGGTCCAACGCTGATGTGTCCAGTAATGGGGCCACAAGATTTGCAAATAACTGTGCCAGTTTCTGTGGGTATTGTGCCGTCGCCCTACTGGCAAAAGCACCAGAATCGTCTCGGAGACCTTGAAGACGAATATGAGAATTAGGGGGATGTTGACAAATGCAGCCTAATGGTCGAAGACCTGTAAAACTCGAGGCAAACATCCAAGCTTTGTAAACATCCATTTCGTAGGCGCAAGCTGCCACGTTGATACAGGAAGCCCCAATCAATTGCAGAAATTGGCGTACTACCTTCTCTAACCATGACATGGCGTTCAAGGGTTGTTCAAGGTGGACATGCCCGCCTGCTTGAAAAACCAGGGTGAGGACCTCCACGCAGCGAGAGAGCATCATAAAGCTCTCTTGGACCCGTTGCAGTTCCCAGGGTGTAAGATTAGGCAGACCGGACAAGTGTTCCGGTGATCGTAGAGCTTTGGGACCGTCATCATCTCGAAGTTTGAGTCTGCTGTATTCACAGCAGGAAGGGCTGGCCGCTCCATAACCTACCTGACCACTGGATGCAACACGCAATAAGTCCTCATAGGCCGCATCTGATAAAATATCCATAGAAGAATCCAATAAAACATCAAAAGAAAGAACTGAATGGCCATGCTCCAATACAGCTGTCGATAACGGACGTGTAACACCTGAACATACATCGAGAAAGAAGTTGCCTGATGGAACTGCTTTTAAAACTGAAGTTGAAACGGTGGGTGGAATTGACGTAGAGGAAACCAAGGGTTCCGCTGTGACATGGATGGTGGCAGTGATATCTGTTTCCGCATTCGCCTGCTCGGGTTGGGGCAAACGGCCCGGGGTAAAACTATCAATAGGTGGAGCGAAGTCTTGAACTGGGTCCACATCATGCACTGGGAGGGTCTCCACGGAGTCAACCTCATTGAATGGATCATGCATGGTGAAACCTGGATCACGATCCCCTTCGGGGAGTCAGTGAGGGGTGGCAAAGTGGGACATCGCCCCATGATTTTTGCCACAGGCTTTTCCATCAACTGGGTACGCACACAAATGCTGAAAGCCACAGTTGGGATTCTGACACTTGCCCACCTGATATCGCATGCATAGTTGCTTGAAGCCACCATCCCGTTGAATCTCCGTGAGCCATTGAACCTTGCCCTTGGATTTCCCGGAATTCTGCTTGCCCTTTGACTTCCCTTGGCCTTTGCCTTTCGGTCCATCCCCACGAGGGGAAGCTGTCTGTGAAGATGGTGATGGGAGTGGCTTGAACACGCGAGGTCGTGGCTGAAGGAGACTTGGCAGGTCATGACGTAAATTCGTCATTTCATGCAAGCAATCATCCATGTTCCATCCTCGTTCCATGAGCTCGGCAATGACTGTCCAAATTTTTTGGTCCGCATGTTGAGCCTCTAATACACTGGGGTTACGTAGATCTCCATCATACTTGGCGGTCAAAAACCCGATGAATTTGTGGGTATAGGCCTTGAGATTGGCTAGGTGAGCTCCTTGGCACAAGGCGATGGCCCGATCATGAACCTCGAGCATATTGCGAATTGAGTTCACCCCCATGGCGTTGTTGGACACGTCAATTGAAGGAGGATCATCAAACAACAAGGAGTGGAGCCCCAAGTGGTCAATTTTTGACATCTTCTGAGCTCGATTGCTAGAGATCTCTTCTGACCTGGTGAGCGAGATGCGATACTTCCATGGCACCCACTTCCAAACCTTCTTGGAGAGCTGGTCATGAACCAGGCTCACTAATCTGGTCGACGGAAAAAGGTCCGCATGGATCAACTCGGATGGATAGTTGGCCATGAATTTTTGTTTCATCGCCTGCAACACGGCATTCTCCAATTTGGGAGGAAAGGCTTCTGCCCAAGACCCTGCTGGCGTGGTAGTGCTCAATGTCGGGGTTGAGAGAGCCGATGCACTGGGTCCTTGTTGAGGTTGGAGTGACTGAAATGCCGTGCGGAGGCAAGCCTTTTGGAATACCGACAAAGGAGTAGAAGATGACCATTCCTGGAGAACGTCTTCAAATCCTTGAATGTCAGCTGCTGCCATGCGAAACGATTGACAGGTCCACCCCTCCATCATGAGTGAGCTCGTGAGGGCCGAGTCCACCCCACTCTGTATCAGAACATCTTCCAAGTTGTCAGACGCCATGGCACCACCACGTAAACGAAGGAGAAAATCGCGTAGGATCAACGAACCCCAAACAATATCCCATATGTTGGGGGAAAAATAGAAAATTGAAAGAAAACAAAATCGTGACAGCGCCAGTGAATAATTGACCAAAATTGAAGGGGTGGAAACGCCATAGCTAAGCCCCTAGACTCCGTGCGTGAGTCGCACAACTGATTTTTAACCCACCGGGTTCACTGGAGCCATCACCGACGGCAACCATGACAATATGTCACGTCACTCACACCGTGAGTGCAGCTTCAACCACCGGTTGAAAAAACGATGAACTGACCACCGGTCAGTTTAAGGCTCACACCGTGAGCTAATAACCTCAACCACCGGTTGAGACGCTGAATGACCACCGGTCATTGTGATACTCACACCGTGAGTCTATAGTCAACCACCGGTTGAATATAACATGACAACCTGTCATTTCAACTCACACCGTGAGTAACCCTTCAACCACCGGTTGAAATGTGATGCCAACACCGTTGACATGTTAGGGGATACCATCCCCTATTGTAAAAAGAATCTGAATCCCTCCCCGAGTAAAAAGAGGGGAAAAAATCTCAAAACGTACACAACATGAACAACTCGGTAAACCCTACCAGGGAAAACCGACTGCACCTAACAGGTCACCGACCCGTTGGGAACAACTCCAAGCGCAAAACTTTTCATACCGCTTGGAATGGGACCTATCCAGATCCTTGCAGGAGCTGACAATTGTGCCAAACCTTCCTGCACGCTGCATGCTGGCAGAACGGCATAGTAGAATCGAGTCTATCCAAGATCTCGGCTTCCACACCACGCATTTGCCTACCACAGGCAGGTTTGAGAGGCTGTCCTTGCCACCGAGGACGCCAATCTTCATCATCGCCGGCACGCACTAATGCATGAACAACTGCCCGATATCGTCCCACCAGGACTTCATCGACGTCCAAAGGTACAACGTCCACCTTGGAAGTCTTGGGTCGAGGCTCCATAACCTCGTCATCCGACGATGAATCCGATGAACTCTCAGAACTGCTGGTTGAGGACTCCAAAAAATCAGGAGGTTGTGTCTCAGATGACTCATTGAATTGAAACCACTGAAAATCAAACTGTGGGAGAGATTTAACAAATTTCTCCAAAACAACCTTGGGTTCGACCATAGGAGCCTGACTCCCCCGATGCTGTGCAATGGCTGGACGCCATCCACCCTGAACCTCTTGTATCATCTTGCGCTGATACGTCAAGGACGTCCACACCACGTCACGTGAGTATGTGTCCAAACTGCTATTGGGATCCGAATGGTGTCCCTGAGACAAACGCTGTTCCGGGGTAACCTTCTCATGCAGCTGTGGTCCCCACGACAATAGCGTCGCTTTGAGGGAGTGTAACCAGTTGTGGGAGCCTTTGCTGAGGAAACCCTCCGCCACTGCTAGGGGCATGCCGCTGACTGCTGTCTTGGAGCGCCATATCACCCCTCGCATGGTACCATCGTGATAGATGATCTTTTGGAGGTCTAACCTTTGCGCGTCGGAAAAACGAAGGGATCCCCATGCCATCAATAAAAATGTACCCAGTAGAATGATTTCTAATACGGTGCAGTTGGACATGAGCACACGACGCTCCCACTGCACCAATGCCCACAGAGGCAGAGGAGGTGCTTGTTTCCTGTCCCTGGGCACCTTCTGGTTCAGAAAGGTTCCAATAAGAACTGAATGCACCACCTGTAAACATCCGACCTCTGCTGATTTCAACAGCCATCGAAGCGCTTTGATGACCGAACTGCAAGAACTACTGCCATGAGATGTAGATCTCGACAGTGACATTGTGATTAAAATGTCTGCCAATTGAACCTCAGTAATGGATACCAAATCCACCTGTAACGCTTTGCAGGTCTTGAAAAAGGACTTGCAACTGGAAATATACTTCATAGCTGTGCCCGGTGCCACATTGTCCAAAATTCGGTTCAAATGCATACGTTGATGCTGCGACATACTCGTCTCTTGCCAAATTCTGGATAGTGGGCCCAGCTGTGATAACAATTCGAACCACATCTGACAGAGCACCGGTGAAGCACTGGAAAAAAGCACTGGAAAAACGAACTCTGCTAATAGCCCCTGGGTGACGTCTGGGAGGATGCAGTAACGCTGGAGAGGGCCGATTAGGCACAAAATCAACTGGTACTGACTCTGAATAACCCAAACATCCTTGAGGCTGAGGTAGTGCAACTCTCTGTTGCAACGTCGTCCAGCTCCGAATGACAGGTAAATTCTGTGGGGGAATTTGCAAAGGGGTAACCCCAGGTACAATGCGAATGGAATCAACAGGAAATGGTTGGGGGGGAGGAACATTACCCACCTGGTTTAATTCGGAAACCCTCAAAATACCTGGATGTCGCTGAGCTGAAGACTGTCCCGAGCCCCCCATAGCGCTCGTGACCACCGGATGCAATGCAGACACTTGGAATGGAGACAAGGACCTTGATGTAGAGGTGCACGCTGCAATGGAGCAGATTTCGGCCTGGATTGCAACGGCGGTGAAATCACTGAACTCGTGTCCCATGAACCCTCAACACTCTGTACCAATGACCAACCATCCATGGAATTATCCATCACGCCAATGCCGATGTGTATAGCAACTATGCCCCGTATGACCAGGCTTTGCACGTCCACAGGGTAAATCACACCAGCGACACTTTGCACCACACGATCCACGTTCGGGGATGGGTGACCCTGAAGGATTTTCCAAATCAGGTGTAGTTTGTAATGGTACAGATGATGCTGAAGATAAAGGGATACGAAATCGATGGCACAACTCGTTGACAATGAGGAGAAGTGCCGTAATCAACTGTTCTAGTGATAACACCGAGACCGTCGCTCCGTCCATGCCGCCCGGGACCGCCCGGTGTCTGTGAATCAAACCGAAAAAACATGAAACTCTGAAAATATCTGCATGACAGGAAAAACGCAACTGATCAGTGTCAATGCCTGCTACCGATGTCCAAAAGAAAACTGTTGGCTGAGCAGACAAAAACGAAAAATGTATACGCACAAATGAAAGTCCTTGAGCCAAAATGGAATAGAAACACAAAGAAGTTCCTTGCAAAACACAATGAACAAGTACATTAAACAACACACACACACATATATATATATATGCACACGTAAAACACATGCCAAATCATACCAACCATGGCGAATCCGAGATACTCTGTATTCTGGTGTTGCATTTGCTAGCTGATCACGTCCCATTCATGGCATTTGCGGATGCAAAGGGTTACAGTTTTCCACATGGAGTCAACCAGCTACCCGAGATCGGTGGAGAATCGACAAGGTTGAGGTGAATACCGGGAGCATCCTAATTCGGAGGTACCCTCAGGTAAACTAACATAGCTATGGAAAATAACCATTTTTTAATAGGTAAATCAACTATAAATGTGCCATTTATAAATATATACTGCATTACAGTATGCATAAGTTTGATTTTGTTGTGGAGTCAAAAAGAGAAAACATCAGAAAACACGAATCGAAAAATGGCACCTTCGCATTAACTTCTCCTGGTGCGGTGTTCATCTGCCAGGAACGGTGCCCTTGGTGCCCATCGAGCCATCCAAGTTTCTTCAAGCCATCCAAAAACTTCTCCAAATTCTCGCCCCAATAGTGGCTCACAAACCTCAGCGGTTTGTCACCCAAAAAAAACACTCAGTAAATCACCACAAAAATATCAACAGCAACAACAGCTGTACCTATTGGGCACAGCTAAGGGCACCAGCGAGGAACTGATAAAAATTGGAGGTACCTATCATTTGTTTAAGGTTTATTTAATAAAGGGCTAGTTGTATGGCTTTATATGGTACTAACGTACCTCCATATTAGGTACCTGAAATGGCCTTTGACCAGAAGTATTTTCCAAGAAACCCAAGTAGTTTGATGATACTTTGACATCAACCCTACGTGAAACAAAACAGAACAGTAAAAAACTAAACTAGTTTTTTTGGTGGCCTTACTGCTACACCTGGACCCTCCAAATACCACCAAAAAATGGCAAAGTACTTAAACAATATGAGGTGAACTACCCTTTTTAGAGGTATAAACGTATATATATATATATATATATATATATATAGAAAGAGAGAGAGAGTCGTTCGATAGCAAAGAAAGGTCGAGGTGGCAACCCCTTTTGTTTCCATAGTCGAAGACATCAAGAATATATGACTATATGTATATACATATATAAGTATGTATACATCTTATATATATATATATTACGACCAGTTTGGTGACTTTGATTGTCTCCGCAACAGCTGAGGTACCAGTTGGGCACCAGTTTCTTGGGCGACAAGTGTTCCATCATGGAGCTGTTCAGCTCCCTGGCGAAAAAGATGCCGCTGGGGAATCACCGGGGCAGAAGATAGGGTAAGCTCCATGGTAAAACCATGTCATAAACCACCCATGAATGGGAAATATATGTCTATATATATATGTATATCATGGTAAAATGATATATTTTTATAGTTCTATATAATTCTATGATATTAAATGGGCCATCTATACCATAGCTATGTGAAATAACCAACAATACCAAAGAGTATACTATAATATGGGACATATTGTGGACCCATAGAACTATTTTCGTACAAGTTCTTGGGAAATCTTGGGAATAACCAGTTGCTAAAGGCAACTAATCGAGTTGCACACGGAATACCTCCATGATGTACCCTCTGGTTATTTGTTACATAGCCATGGTATAGATGGCCCATAGGGATAGATGGTTTACCTATTAATAGCATGGTGATTTTCCATGGCTATGTTAAATAACCAAATGGTAATTACCCTCTGGTAAACATACACAAAACTATAGAAAATCACCATTTTGAATAGGTAAATCAAGTATAAATAGGTAAATGCAACAGTTCTGTACAGAAACCAACCGGGCCCCGCGGCCCCGAGTTGAATGTTGGAGATGCAGGGGATGTCCTGATTCTAAGATTTCTGGCGATTTTGAAAGGTGACGTTCTGCTACAACTCGTAACATCCTATATAAAATCTAATATACAACATACATAATAATATACGCGTAGGATATGTATATATATATATATACACAGATTATAGAAACATAGCCACAAGATCAATTCATCAGGGGTTTACACTCAAAATGAGACCCCTCTGGCAATTTGAGGCGCTGGGACATCACCCAGCGATTTCAAAAAAGACCGGGGCCTGGTGGCAGGACGCACCACCCACTCGTGGATGTGGTAGAAGTTCAAGGTGGACGCTGGGATGCTCCAGTTGTAGCAATTCACCACCTAAGAGGTTTGGCCCTTCCACAGTTATGGCCATTTATCAGTTATAAGTACTTATAACCCCATTTATAGAATGTATAATCCCATTTATAACCAGTTATAACTGGTAAATGGCCATAACTGCAGGGAGATTCAATCCAATTTCCGGCCATTTTGGGAGCAAATTTCGGCCCAGGGACTGCGTAGTTCTTAATCTGCATCACCTGTTCGGCCATGACGCTGCGCAGTTCCAGCTCCGGCACGTAGCCTGCGGTGATCTGCCGCGGATGCGGGAAATCGTGGTGGAAAAGAGGGGGAAGAATGCGGAAGAATTTACCGGGTAACTTCGAAGAATTCGCATCACCTATTAATCTGAAATGTTGGGTGATTTTTGTGGATTCCCTAAATCAGGGTAACTTCGAAGGCTAAAACTTGAAATCTTAAGGATTATTTGGTGGTTTTTCAAACATGGCAAGCTGCGAAATCCACGAACTAAATGGAGGATTAGTTCGCTGGAAAAATCATTGAACTACAGGCTTTTTATTTTAGCAAGCCATGCTTTGATTATGTTTGATTACCACAGGGTATAATAAACTGTAGTTCAATGATTTTTCCAGCGAACTAATCCTCCCCATCATGCAATATCATGAAATGCGCTATACCTTGGTATACTTCAATTTATAGCATGCTTTGATCGGGAAATTCATGCATGATTAATATTTCATGATTCACATTTGATGAAAACCATGGGGATTCATGGTATAAGTGGGGTATACACATGCAATGTGGGGCCCCCCAGTTATAAGTTGGTTTATAAGCCCCAGCAACTATAGTTATAAGTACCATAAACCATAGTTATTGGAGTTATAAACCAACTTAGCTATCTTGGGGGCCTCACATTGTGGTACAAGATTTTCGGAGAAACCATCCTTTTTCAACAAATCACACGGAATGAGTAGATCTGTTGATTTCAGGGTCAACGAGGGGGCCATCAAGCGCTTGCTGTTAAGGGATGAGGCCAAGAATCGATTATCCGATTACCCAATCCATGGGAATTGGCGGTGCACCATTTTCAAACACACACACACACACACCAAAAATATCAAAAATGTCAGTGTTGGCTGTTTTCTGATCACATAATATATATATATATATATACACATATCATTATACATACACTTTTTGTACTCATCCATCATTAGAATCCGCATAAAAACACCGAATTACACCATGATTTTTTGGGAAAAACCGTCCCAATCTGACAAAAGAAACATACCTAACACCTCCCTGCGGAGAAGTCGCCGTAGAACTTAAAATTCTTAGTGACCTGAGCTTCAGGACGTTTTCTTTTTTGGCCTTCTGATGGGTACATGTTGAAATCCACACCGATTTATCATTTTTCTATGTGTATCATTGTTGAATCTATTTACATCTCCAAAATGCCAAATTGGAGAATTCACCATTGGAGAATCAATTTTGGAGAATCGTTAGTCACCTATTTTGTCTCCTTAAGAAATGGATCTCCTGACCTTTGATTCTCCAACGTAACGAAAAAGTGGCCGTGAAGGCCCAGCACCAAGGCTGCGACTTGCTTAACATTGATTCCTGAGGCCAGGGCCGTGGAAGATATCTGGACAAGACTCTGTCGCTTTACACGGCTTGAAAGAGATTTGGGGATGGGTCAAAACCCTGGTACCTTTTGTTCACCCCAAGTCATAGCTGGGATTTATGGATGTGAATAACCCACTAAAAATGTATCTATAGGTATTGATCCATAGCCATTTACCAAAAACAATACCAAAACAGTATCTCAGAGAGGAATCATCAGAAACCGAGAGAACACCAACATGAGCAAAGAACATCAGTGTGATCATTATCGCTTGTGGCGAGTTATGTAAAAAGAAACCCAATTACGTTTATTCAAGTATGTTTCCTGTGGATCTTCGCTACACTATTGTATGTGATGCTTTGAAAGCAAGCAGTTTTTCTTGGATCAACTGCCCAAGTCGCTAAGTCACTTTCCGTCCCTTTCCAAACCGTCCAAACCAGCAACGACCACAAATAGACAAACCTCTCTTGGTATCTTCCCATAACTGCCATAACTTCCCAACTCTTCATCGGCATCTTGGGGCGACCAAGTGGCTCCCCATAGGACCTTTCAATGGCGTGGAGTAGCGAAAGAATTCCTGGGACGGGGCCGGGCTTGTCACTTTGAGCCCTGGGGAGCACAACCCCTTTTTCATCCTTTTTCTGAAGGGCATTCTTTTAATGATATTGATGATATTGATATATTTTGATGATATTGATATATTTTTGATATAATATGTGTTTAATGGCAACTTTTTTTGTTTGGATATTGATGATAAAGTTATGGCAAGCTATGCAAAATGGCTAGACTTGAGCCACAATTTTCAGGTACCAAAGCCGTGCCAGGCATCTAGCCGAACGGCCGCAGGCATCTGCCTCAGGTGATTGACATCGGATTTTCACGTCGATCCGTGGGAAAAAAATGGCTGGATATACTGCAGCAAAACGGGTGCAAGGTCGTGAAATAATGGAAAGTGCATGAATCATTACATTCCCAACATTTGGAAACAAGAACCACTATCTTGTTTTCTTGGTTTGAAAGGGCACGAAAACAGTTCCAGAATTCCAGAGAGCCCATGATTTGGGATTGAGGCGGCTTTCCCACAAATCTATCCATTGGGGTCGCGAGCTTCCCAGGGATGGAGATTTTGGGGTGTACCCCACTTTGGGGTGTACCCCATATCAGATTATCAGTTCAATTCCCATTTTTTCTATCTCCCCCCCCAAAAAAAATGCCAGGAAGGTCGTTTCTACTTTAGTTACAGGATGTTTTCTATTTTTGTACTTAGTTTCAATGGGAATTCCAGGATCCTAAAATGGAGGTACTATACCATATTTTGGGTCATATTTTGTGGAGATATTCCCTGAAATTTAGGCCTAACAAATAGGCCAAAAATATATGGAATCGGTAGCTCCAATAAAACGGATCCTGAAACGGCCATTGAAATGATCCAAAGTCTAGCTACTAAATCTGAAGTCAAATCGGGCCTTACATGGTACAGTATCTCCATTTCAGGATCCTGAAATTCCCATTGATTAGTTGGTTTTCAATTTTTCTACCACTAGGCAACTCCTACTGGTTGCGTAGCTCTATTTTTGCCCTTGGGTCATGGGGAAGATATCCCAGCTCCGAACCGCAGGCCTTCCTTTCACCACTGGATAGCAAAGCTATGTTAGGTATGAACCAACTTTGCTATAGCTATGTTATAAGTGATATGTTATGATAAGTTAGGTCATGTTATAAGTATTTTTAAGTTATATACATTTATAAACCAATCAGTGTACCCTCTGGTAAACTAACATAGCTATTGAACATCACCAATTTTAATAGGTAAATCAACAAACTAAATGATTCATGTTCAATAGCCATGTTAAATTGCCAAAGGGTATATCCTGAATAGTGGCTATTAATCATTATTAATCATCACTGTTAACCACTATTAACCACTACTAATCACTATTAAAATCACTATTAAAGTCACTATTAATCACTGTTAATCGCTATTAATTAATCACTATTGATGATTTTCCCGGCTATTTATAAACCTTATATCCATTGGTTGTTGATCCCAAGCCGCGCTAGGGATTCGCTTCGATGCAGCGCACTGCAACCTGGTTCGACGGACGTTTCACATCACAAGGTGGGGCCCCAGACGATCGCTCAGTTGGTCCATCACTATGGTTTATGGGAGATATAACATGACATAACTATATATCATATATATAGTTATGTTATGTTCTATCTCCCATAAATCATAGTGATTTATATCTAATATATATATATATATATGGGTAAATTACAATATTTCACTAACCTGAATTAAGGCCATTTCGGGATAATTTACCCAGATATCTCTAATAAGATAAGACTTGAGAATTAATCACATCGAACTATGAGCAACAATTATTCACATCAACACGTGGATTTAATATCAACGATTTGATGATGGTGATGTTTCGGAAACAACCGTTGTGGTTTGGTGCTTCATAGATCTTGATACTATAAATTGTAGAACATCATCGGCAAATGCAAATATAATGGAGCATATGAACCCAAACATATTTCCTAGTTTTCATGCAAAAAGTGCAGTAATTCCCCCTTCATAAAACACATGTTTTTAGATTCTAGTTTAACATCTCAAAAAAAAAACACATACCAACAAATCGGGTTGGGTATTAAACTCGGTGCTCCAATCTCCATCCCTTGCTGAAGACATGTGCGCCAGGGAAATGCAGCTGAAACCCTCACAAATACCAAAAAATGCCTCACTATTGTCATCACAATGCCTTACAAATAGTGATGAAACGCTCAGAAATGCTTGAACATGAAGACAAATGAACAACATATGCATCAGAATCACTATTATCATCACTATGTCATGGCCTTTTGGGATAAATTTTGGTTAGTATTTACTATCACTTATGTAACATATGTATTGGTTGTTGAATGGGGATGGGCCTCTATATCCATTAATCAACCATGGGGAACAAAACATCTATGATGTGCATGACTACTCTAAAACATGTTGGCCCATGTTGATCCGTCATCCTTTTGACGTGAGGATGGCCACGCAATGACCAAGAATCATGCGCCTTTCGATGTCTTTTGCATGCCACCCCATCGGTTGACACCACACACACGCCCCTTAAATTAGGCCCCTCAAAGCTCACATGGAACCTTGAAAAAATAAATACAGTAGAAAACACTGGTGTTTGGAGTGGAAACAAGTGTTTACTGTAGTGTGGCTCGGCTCTTCTGTTTGGGTGTTTCTTTGGGTATTTCATGCAATCTTTAAGAGCAGCATCCCCTGGCTCACTCTTTCGTGGTTATCTCTGGTAAATTAGTGTAGCCATGGAATGTGGCCGGTTTAGTTCAATGATATACCAAACAAAATTGTGTTTTTCCGTTGCTATTGCACAAATTACCAGAAACTAAATCGTGATTTTTTCACCCCATTTTGATGGGAAGACTCCATAAATAAAGCATTGAATGGATTAATTATGTTTATCCCCATCACCAGTTTGATGCATCAATTCCCTCAGTTTCCCAAAGCTTACGGTTTCATCTTGGAGTTGCTGGTCCGGACCCCTCCCCCAAAAAAAATGATATTTCCTATATATTTCCCAAATAGCAAATTCCCGTTCGGAAAATACGGCCAGTGAGGCCCCCTGTCTATGGCTAAGTTGACTTCCATAACTTGATTGACGTCTGGGTTGATTGGGGGGAAATTTTACATATTATTAGAATATAAGCAATTATGTTATTCGGATTGTTTTTTGTACTCTGGGAGTATGGCTGTTATTGGCTGTTATTATACATACAATTATGCTGTTATTGATGTACCAACGAAGCAATGATCGACTCAACAAATCCCAAGATATGTTGGGATGATGACATTCCCAAGATTTTTCGAAAGTCATATAGCAGCCATGTTCCAGTCACCACCAACCAGATATATGATATAACTGATATATATATATATATGTTGTATAAGCACTATGAGTGGCAATCATTCAGAATCATTCACTATCAATCGTTATTAATGCGGGAAACCCAATCGTAGTAATTATGTAAAAGAAAATGTCGCCAATGGAGGTTTGTGAAATTAGGTATGCCCCTACTCAGGATGATACAACTGATGCCCAAATGGTTGAGTTGATTAGTGGGATGGTTAACGGCATTGGGTTTACCACACTAGTCCCATTACATGGATGTAAAGATAGTCTGTCCCTAATGCATCACAATGATCCAATGCATGGAAGCGAAAATAGTACCTACCATCTGGTTATTTGTTACATAGCCATGGAAAATGGCCCATTTATAGATGGTTTACCTAGGTTTACCTATTAAAAATTGTGATTTTCCATGGCTATGTTAAATAACCAGAGGGTAGTTAGACTTCAATCATTGATATTCAATATTCACAATAAATCTGTTAAAAATCATTACCATTCGCTATCGTTATATTCACTATTCTTCACTAGTAATCACTATTGGTCCCATTACATCCATTATAATACCAGCAGAAGTAGAGGGACTATTGATGATATTATGACTATTCCTATTCAATATTCCTATTGGCCCATCAGTATTCTGCCAGCAATTCTATTCCTAGTTTATGTTATATTCCATTATATTCCTTATCAATCACTACTAATCACTATCAAATTCAATCAATTACCATTGTTCAGTACATCCATCTGGGTAAATTTTAATAATTCATTAACCTGAATCTTGCGGCCATTTGGGGATGATTCCCCCTACTAACCATGATTTCCAGTGAGGTCGCAGTGGTCGTTATAATTTACCCATATATATAAATGTATATATATATTGTTGCCATCTCTACACGAGTCCAGGCAGAGCTGTAGCGGAAAAATCATGACAAAGAGCTGACCACAAGCATCACAAGATGTCAGTTATGTCATTTTTCTTCAGCGACCAGGCTCAAAAGCGCAACTGGTCGATTGCGGACAATACGTCCCCGCTCCGCTCCGCCCCCTGTGGGACGTTGCCGAGCAACCCCACGATTCCTCCTGCCAGCTTCGCTTTGATTCCTATGCTGAGCTCCTCCGTGGAGGATGTTTCTTTCACTTGCTTCAATGCGGCCACAACCGCGTGGGTTTGGTCCGCATCTAGAGGAGCCCCTGCGAAGCTTCCCCGTTCAGTTGGCACATAACTTGGTGAACTAGAGTCTATGGGTGATATACCCTGATATACATCTGGGTAAAACATATTTCACTGACCTGAATTAATTATAACAAATTCCAGCAATCCTTCAGCAAATTCCAGGTCACGAGGACCCTACAGCTGAGCCGCTGTTGGAGGCGGCCACTTTCTTGCCCTTTGCCAGCGCTCCACCCGAAGCGGGTCGTTGCAGGTTGTGCCGCCCCGGTTGCGGGGGACCTCATGGGATTTCATGGGATTTTATGGGGATTCATGGAATTTAGAGGATTTAATTCTATGGGATTTCATCGAAATTTATGGAATTTCATTGGAATTTATTGGAATTTTATGGTGATAAATAGGGATTGAACCAACAATATAGGATATGAATGGGAAATACCCTCTGGTACACTAAGAGTTTGCTATGGGAAGTGGCCCAAAATATGTCGATGATTTACTATGATTTACTTTATTAGAGATGGCGATTTTCCATCAAGTATATTACACATCATATGCATATATGGATTATATGGTTATAAATGGTCATAAGAACTTTATAGGACACCGATGGACAATCATCTATGAATGTTCACTATTTTTTTTGGTATAATGGGCGATATAATGGCGATACAATGAAGGAAATAGAAACCAGCGATATGATACACTATGACTTTCCCATTTTAAAGGGATGGCATGGAACGAACACATGGATTCCATGAGGGCCACATGGATTCGATGAATAAATGGCTCAAAGAAGAGTGATATAGTAGGGAGACAATATGGAATAAACAACTGCTTGGTGGTTGAGCCACTCCTCTGAAAACAATGACTGAGTAACAGTTGGGATTATTATTTATTCCCAAGATATGAAAAGTCATAAAAGCCATGTTCCAAACCACCAACCAGATATATGATATAACTGATACATATATATATATGTATATGTTGTATAACCACTATTCGTGGCAATCATTCAGAATCAACTATCAATCACTATTTTTAGTGGGTAAATCCACTATTTCGACTGGGCCATTTTCAATAGCAAACTGTAAACGTTTAACAGAGGGTATATGGAAAGTCATAAAAGCCATGTTCCAAACCACCAACCAGATATATGATATAACTGATATATGTATATATATATATATATGTATGTTGTATAACCACTATTCGTGGCAATCATTCAGAATCAACTATCAATCACTATTTTTAGTGGGTAAATCCACTATTTCGACTGGGCCATTTTCAATAGCAAACTGAAAACGTTTACCAGAGGGTATATGGAAAGTCATAAAAGCCATGTTCCAAACCACCAACCAGACAATCATGAAACAATCATTCTGTTGCACCTAGTCTGATGCTGAATTCTGAGCTCTGGCCTTGAACGATGATACGATGATCTGACGATCAGCGACGAGCGACGAGAACCTACTGTTTTGTGTAAATGAAATCGGTACCACCAGCCAGCCCTGTAGCAACCCCCAGGAGGAATGGGATGATGTTTATTATGACCTCTCCTTTTATGGTTGGTGAATGGGATGGTGTCTATAGGGTAAATCCCGTATGATCCACATTGACCAAAATTCTTTGATTGGCATATCTTCCTTCGCAAACTTCCAGATATCAGTCCGATTTAAGCCCTTCCCACACCCGCCGTTCTGGGCCGTTATCAGTTTCCTATTTCGCCAAGTCACCCACTTTGGGCATACTTTGGGAGCGTCCCATCGGCATGGCGTCGCGAAGAAGGGAGTCTTAAGATGTTTTTTAGCGGTCACAACCCGCTGGCCAGTGTGCCTCAAACAAATCCTCATGTGGTAAACCCAATAGCAAACTATCCATAATAGAGGCTTATTATTGGGTATACCAGTATGCCACTATTTGGGATGATGTTTCTGAGATTACAGAAACATGGTCGTTGTTTTCCGACGTGGTTGTTTTTCATTTGATATGTGCTCAACTTTCTGAGGTTGCGTCAATAATTTGATGGAGGATTGTTGATTTCACCCTTGTAGCCTCAAGGCAACACCAGTATATTCATACCACAATATTGGTTGATTTGACATTGCCCAGCAGAATGCAGCAGCACGCAGTTTTGCCTGAAAAAACCGTTGACAGCTGTGAATTGTGCCCTTACCATTTTCCAACTTAAACTGCACGCTGAAAGTATTAATAGATCTCTCAAAATCCCCTCCTTTTGAGCAGCAAACGCCAGCAAACCGACAGCCAAAAATAACATGCACACCTTTTCCGCGTGGAAAAACTTATCTTTCCATGTTTTTCTCAACACAATCCTTTGCCAATCATTGCAAATCATGGAGAGGTTAGCCCAGATGCACACAGCATGGGTACATCCCATCTGAGTTGAAGCTGGTTTCCTGGAGCCACCTTCGTCCCCCAGTTTCATGGCAACCCTTCCCCCCTTTGTTTGGTCACTTTCTCATTTTTTCACATGATGCAGCAATGCCTGAAAATGAGCTAGTTAGATCTAGTTACTCTAGTTGTACTAGCCAATATCACCATTACATCCACTGACTGCAAAGGATTACAGTATGATCCATATGATCACCATTGATCAATCACTTTTATCACCATTTACATCCATATGATTCAAGTGTTTAAGTGCGTTCCATCCAGTTGGCCGTTCTTTGGTTAATCCCTGGCCGCCACCCGAGTCGAAGAACGCCGGAACTGAGGCCACAAGCCAGCAAGGACCGCAACAGGGCGGCCACCCTGGGGCCCCATGGCAGCCCCAACAAACAAAAAAGGTTTTCTGATCATCTACCCTCTGGTAAACTAACATAGCTATGGAAAATCACCATTTTTAATGGGAAAATCCACTATAAATGGCAATTTTCAATAGCCATGTTAAATTACCAAAGAACAATAATCATTCGTTTCAAAGAAATGTCATATATTTCAAGCCACAAAAACACCAACGATGTTTTCTTCTTACGTTCAAATTTGCCAATTGTAGATAGTTGAAGATAGAACCTGCCAACAAAGAATGGCGTGTGGCTGGCGAGCAAATCACATACAGGGCAAGGACCGAACTGAAACATCTTAAAATGGTCGGTTGGTAGGATTCTTACATGTGGATCGTAATAACCCCCATTTACATTTACCCCGTCAACATCAGTTAGCCTAGGGCCTAGGGTAATCTATCATAGATGTGGCAAACCAATGGTTTCCCTAGGAAAATGATCTACACATGGTGAGTTTTCAACATCTATGTTAGTTCACAGTAGGGTAACCCACTCAAACACGCACATGTCAGTTGTTTTCACAATTTCAAGTAATATTATCACAAGTGTGACCCGTATTTATGAAGTTATAATCAATGCTATGACATATTAATCAATACTTATCAATACATATCAATAGCATCATCGGAAAGTGTCCCCCAAGATTATCCACCCGCAGCGGGTCTGCTGCAGCACTGAGCCGCCGGGCAATCTTGGCAGTTTGCCTTCCTGAGATCGGCGACCAGCAGGATCCAACTGCAGAATTCCCTGCTGGATTTGGATTTTTGGCAGGGGCAGTTTGCGACAAAACAACATAGACTTAGAATATTCTGAAGATCTATGTGGCGTATATTCAATGGATGCTCATTTATTCCAAGACTATACAAATGGCTGGTTAGGCACCACTGAATTCTAAGGACTGGTTTTCTCAAAAACCTCTGGAAACTTCCAAGTCCTTGGTGCGACCATGGGAGGATAGGAACATTGGCCCATTTCAACAACCAATAGGAAGGTGACTCCATGGAACCTCCATGGAACATCCTGCTGAAAGTTTCTGAACAACACATCCTTTTCCAGGGTTTTCATGGTTGCACATCCCATGATAAGCCAATTCTGTTGGACCGATGATCCCGTTTCCCACCTGAAAAAAAGTGAGGTCCCCAGGTCGTGCCTGAGACACTGCTCCTGTGAGCGATTGTCAGCCGATTTTTCAGCCTGTTTTTCCATACAAAAACGATGTGGACAAGCCATGGCGAAAGGAACATGATGTTCATTTACCCTCTGGTAAACTAACAAAAAGCTACTGAAAAAGGCCATAGAAATAGTGGATTTACCCATTGAAAATGGTGATTTTCCATAGTTTTGTGTAAGTTTTCCAAAGGGTATTTGGTTTTCCCACATCTTTTTGTATGCTTTCAGGAGGATCACTATTGAAAAAACAATGCAACATGCATCAACATGCAATAAACTGGTTGCGAAACTGAAGAGTTTGTATCGGAAAATTTCTCGGTTGCATTTTGAAACAAATGATACTGGCTAGCCTTAGCTAATCTCGTGTAATTTACGTGCGTTCTCGCACGGCGCACGGTCCTCCATCAACATGACCTCCATGTCGCTGCAGCACTCGGAGCCTCCAGGCTTGCGGCCAATCCATTGATGATAGAATTGGTTATTATATGGTTAATGATATTTAATGATGGTTAATAATAATCTGGTTGGTGGTATACCTACCCCTGTGAAAAATATGAGTTCGTTAGTTGGGATTATTATTCCCAATACATGGGAAAATATAAAAAAAATCCAAACCACCAACCAGATATAGAATTGTTAAAAGAAAAAACACAAACGCAGTAGGCTTATGATGGCTTATGTAGGGCTCATGTGGGTATAAAAATGTATGGCTAAGGCCGTTGGGGTTCCAACGGCGCTGGCAAGACTTACAAGTTGGGCATTGTACCATCCATGTTTTGGAACCAATCCTCTGGACGTCAAGCACCCGGTATCTGAATAAATCATAACATGTAGCAAACCTGAAAGGTGTGAAGTTTGTGGTTTTCCCTTTGTATTAACCATTCTTTGTTGTGTTTGACTGTATGAAATCGCTGGAAATCCGACTATAATACTTACCAAGGTTAATGATAGAATTCTGCGGAATAAGTTCAGCCAGCTATTGCATGTACAAAACACATGTAAAGTCATAGCAACAGTCACAAAAAAACACAACAATATGTGGTAAGAACTTCAGTACGATGCGTTCTAGCACAAATCTTGAGTAAACACATAACGGAACTATAATGTTCATAGCACAAAAACCCTGCTATGAACCATTATTAAGCATTTTCAACAATTATTACAGTAACCATTCTTACCATGAGATCCTTTTATATATCCATTGTTGGTGGTTCCATAGTATTCCCATCATATTCCCAGCCCTTTCCATGATTAAAACCCATTGAACCACCATGATTTATCCCATGAAATCACTATTAAACCACTAAATCCCTTTAAATCACCATTGAAATTCCATGAAATCACCATTCAAAGCCACTGAACCACCATGAAGTCCGCCTGCCGAAGGCTTGCAAGGCGAGGGCCAAACCTCATGGCCATCATGGTCAAGACATGGACCACTGATGGAAGATCTTGCAGGATATCCATGATTAATAATGGCTAATAATGATGATTAATATTGGTTAATACTGGCTGCATAATAGCATAACTGCAAAAATCATGGTTATATAGTAACGGTATGATTAGTACATGATTTTTGCAGTTAGGTCTAAAATATAACCATGATTTTTGCAGTTATTAGTTATTCACAGTACTCACCATTACTGCAAAAATCATTGGCTAAAATCATGGTTAGTACTGTGAATTTCATGGTGAATTTCATGGATTTTTTTCTCATGGTGACATCATGGAGGATACCTGGGGTTTTTACATACCATGGCGGCTTTCCCACATCTATGCTATATAGTTTGTCCAAATAAAGGCAAATAATTGCTACTGATGATTAATAGTGATTAACGCTGGTCAATAACGGTTCGTAATGGTTAATAATGGATACTTAATGTATTTACATATATATATATATATATACATGTGTTACTAATGGCTCAATCACTGTATAGTGCTGAGTTAGTTTTTGTAATATACCCTCCGGTAATTTAACATAGCTATTAAAAATGACCATTTAGTTCGTGGATTTACCCATTGAAGATGGTGATTTTCCATCGTTTTTTGTATGTTTACCAGGTCGGGTGCATTAGTACTCTGGCGAAGCCCAGGGCCCCAGCCGGATTCTACCCATGTTCGGTCCAGTTGGGGCACCCCAAGATCCATATTTTTGCGGTGGCGCCCAGGGCAATTGGAATGATATCCCCAAACATCTATAGAAATGGGATATCTATAGATATGGGTATCATTCCAATCCTAGGGAATATCATTTGCAATCAAGAATTACATCCTTCTGTGGAACATATTTTGCAAAGCAATGAATCAGGATATCTATAGAAATCTCATACAGGATAAGTATTCAATATGGTTCAGTACAGTGTAATATCTCGCGGGAGTAAACATCAGATATATTGCCATATATTGCCTATCTGCGCAATCTGCGCAATCTGCGCAATCTGCGCAATCTGGGCAATGCACCTACATCTATGCATTGATTCATATGACGAAAATCTATAAACGCCAATGTATATGTCAATATGCAAATCATGCTATATCCATATGCTAGGATGATTAGATGCTTGTACATAATACATACATGTCCGTGTCGGAAAACATTTTGCGGATTTCAGCAGGTGCAAAACTGCGATTTCCTGAGCAACCCAAACCAGCTCCTCCCAACACCTGCAACCGCATATGGCAAGGCACCGGTCATGGATGGAGGTACCCAAGCATAGTATCCCGCTACAACATGAGCTTACGACTATGTGTCACAACAACTCCCCTTCACCTTGAAATGACAAACGCCTGCAGCTGGTTGAACATGATTATATAATGATTAGTTAATCATTATAACGCAGGATTATCCCCATACGCGTGGCTTAATCGTTGATAATTTACATGCCATTAACCTTTATATCACCACATAATCATTACAAACCACTAATCATAATATACCGTTACCAAAAATCAGTATAAATGATACTTATAGTACATTTAATCATTATATAAATATATATATATATATATATGTGTATTTATATTTGATAATATAATATTACATATATAATTAATCAATATATATATAGATTATATATACAAATATATAGGCCATCGGCGACTACCTGCTGCCCTGGTGCGCCTGTGACTGGGCCAGCAGCTCGCTGGCCAGTATGGTCAGCAGTTCCAAACCTTGGGTTAAACCCACCGGGGAAAATGAGGCGACTTGCCCTGTTTCGCTGCAAATAGCTGGCTATTGTTCTAGACGATCCACGAGGTATATATATATCTCTCTCTCTCTCATATTATATATATTTAAATATATATATATGTACATAAAAAAAATAAATACATATATATATATATATATACATATATATATATGTATATATATATATCTCTTTCTATGTTTATCTCCTCACTAGTAAATAAGTAAAAAACAACTAAAATGGGAATTCCTTTGAAACTCCTGTATTATTTCTACTTCAAGTTGTAAATACATTCACTATCTATCCAGGGATCAAGTTTGACACGGAACATTTGCAAGAGCTGCATGAGGGTCGAGATTTCCCAACACCCTGAATATCAGGTGTTGTTTTTTTCTCTGACTAAAGAAACAAACATATCTGGTTGGTGGTTTTAACCATCTTGAAAAATATTAGTCAATGGGACAGATTATCCCATATATATATTATGGAACATAAAATTCATGATTGAAACCACCAACCAGATCTCAATTTCCAGAGGTTGAACAACTCTGTATCATCAAAGGTATCCATGCCCCACTGGGAAGTTTCACCAGCTGAGTTTGGGGAATCTTTCATCATTGGATCAGTGGCAAATCCCATGGAAACCACATGGCCAATGGTTGAAAAATGTCCGATTTCCCGAAAATTGACCCGACCTGGTAGACAAAGAAAAAGCTATTGAAAATGGCCATGGAGATAGTGAGTTGTCCCATTACACATGGTGATTTTCCATAGTTTTTTGTATGTTTACCAGAGGGTATCTGAAAAAAACACGCAGTCCAAACTTGGAAAAGTGTAAGAAGCACCTTAAAAAAAGCCCATGATGATGGGATTTTCTCTGCAAAGTCAATCTGTTCCCATGTCTTCAATGCATCGTAGCTCTGTCACCAAGGAACTGCAGTACTCCGTGGCTCCGCGAGACATGGATAAGGTCTGGCGTGGCGCAGAAACGTCAAAGTAATGATGATATTTACCTGCTGACATTTGAACGTTGAAAAGTTACCCTCTGGTTATTTAACATAGCCATGGTATAGATGACCCATTTATAGATGGTTTACCTATTAAAAAATTGCCATTTTCCACGGCTATGTTAAATAATCAGAGGGTAGCCCTTGATATGTTCGTATCATTCAGAATCATCTGAGACTTTGTCTGATGATACTTGCGTGCTGGGCATTGCCAGTTATAAATACAGTACACCTCTCAAAACCCGCATGCATACTTGAAAAAATGTTCAATATTGATGCCAATTTGGGTTGCACGTTAAACAAAAATCTGTCAGGCAATGTATGTTATATCCAAACATTAACATGTAATTGTTGATTCTCCCCACTGAATGTTCTTCCAAATCAAAAAACAACACTGGTTAGTTGTTTCAAAGCCAGGCCCCCACGTGCTTGAAAGGTGACAAGCAACCATGTTACGGCTCATGTTTCATCTTGAAGACACAGCCATCTGCGTCAGAGTCAAACCTTGGCCTTTGTGCTAGACAGCGGCAGACAGTACCAAAGGAAACACAATCGGAAAATCCACTACAGTAGGATCTCGGCTGAGTTTACAACCATTTGTTTATGGATGTTCATCCCACCAAATATGGTGAGCCAATGGGGTTCCCATAGTGGGATTATGAAATGCCATAGTTCCCCATACATTGGGAAGTATAACTCCCAACCAGTCATCAACGATCCATCATTTCCGGATGAAATCACCATGCAAAATGCAACATGCGCAAACCTCTGTCTGCGGCAAATTCTCACACTGAAATCACATGAAATCAATGAAATCGGATCATTTCCCATTAAATAGATCTTAGATAATTACACATCATTCCATGTTGAATCCCCCAGAATTCCCATGAATTCCCCCACTGCGAATCCATGGGAACCCCAAGGCAACCCGACTCCCCAAGGCCAGGCAGGCGCCACATGCAGCAGTTCCAACAACTTCCCCGGCTTTGTGGAGGAGACCGATGCACAGAGCCAGCCTTGCAGCTGCACCTTGCAGCTCCGTGCGAAAAAGGGGAGTCTAAGCGTCGAAAAATCATGGAAAAAGGATGTCAAAAAACACGGAAAAGATGGAAATTGATGGAAACATATGGAGTAAATAGGAATAAACATATAGGTGTTCAGTATGTCAAAGACCGAGAATCATGTGTATATATCCAACAGAATCTCTTGCAAGGTACCGCACAATACGCTTCAAGTGTGCAGTGTCATGCTATTTTCTGAATCATATTTTCACACATCAAGCCCAACATGCAAGACTGCAATAATGGAGTGTGCTGCGCTTGTGTTACACCAGGAATCTTCACGGCTGATCAAAGATGTTTTCCGGCTATGGAAACTTATGGCTAATTACCTGATCATATTCAGAATTATTTCTTGGTATTTATAATTACCCATTTATGGTTGGTTAAAACCCTTACTCAATCACCGTTTCTGGTGAAATCACTATTTTCTAAACTCGAAAAGAAATCTGCATTTTTGCACGGGGGTTTGTCGTTTATCCCATTCACAAAAGTGTAACTTTGGTTGGGACATATGGTGCCCATCATCATTGGTGAACCCAACCTTAACCATCCCCAAAATGCTAGGGTTATATCGGGTTTCCCACAATAATACTAATACTAATACCAATACTAATACTTATGCTAATACTATTACCACCTAATACTAGTTGATCAATAGCACTGATCAGTTTCTTTGTATTCATTATCTACTATTGATTGACCATTTAATCATTCTTAATTCTTACTATATTTCCACTATTGAGCATTCATTGTTTGTACAGGGTGGTGCCCCATACTTAGCTAAGTAATTCCAAGAACTTGGCTTTATGATGCATAATGATGCATATATATTTCTTTTTTTTTGTGGGGCCGGCGAGCTGTACACAGTGTGGTGCTGGCAATCACTTGGCCCTCCGCTGCGCTGCAACGAGGGCCAGCAGACCCGCGCTCATCGCCAGGACCGTGAGGACTGGCCAGCCAACGCTCAAGCGCGAGCCGCGCTTACCACCACGAGGCTCCGGAGCCTTCTTGACCAAGTCCTTGGGGGTTTCTTCCTCCTCCTCTTCGCCATCTTCCTTCTTTACCTGTGCCTTCGCCTTTGGAGCTGGCTCATCGTCATTGCTTGCAGCCTTAGCCTTTGTTTTCGCTTTTGCTTTGGCCTTTGGCGCCTTCTTTGCCTCTGTTTTCGCCTTTGGAGCTGGCCCATCGTCATTGCTTGCAGCCTTAGCCTTTGCTTTCGCTTTGGTCTTTGGCGCCTTCTTGGTCTTGATCAAATCGTCCAAATCGTCCAAATCGTCCATCAACGCACACCAATCATGTCTTTTTTCAACAACTTTCCTGGGACATGGGTCCCATGCGGTTGCAAGCATGAAGCTTGCGGCGCCCTCCCCTGGTTCGCTGCGGCTTTTTGACCTTGCTGGGAACTGGTCGAGGGGGCTGCTACGCGTCACCGCCTGAAGGCGGATAGACAGGGCGACAAAGCCACTGACTCATTTGCTTGCTGGACTTCTCGGTCTGGGCTTGCAGCGCCGCTGCCTTGCTCTGCTGCCGAGGGAGAGTTCACCTCCAGGCCCTTGACATCCGTCTCTCTCAGAGCTGGTTTGCCAGCATGTCTTTTGGGCTCCTCGTTGTCCAGAGAATTTCCCAAAGAGCGCCTCCAGGCGTTTTCCTCCGGAGTTTTTTCAGCGGCTGCATCTTTGATTTCACTCTCCTTGACATCCTTTGCTGCCAGGCGAGCATACAACTCTGCTTTGTCAGGGTCAGAATCACCTTGAACCTCTGCCACGAAACCAATCAAACCGAAGCCCATGTACTCTGACCCGCAATCGAAATCCTCGGCATAGAGGGGAAGACCTGACGGGCAGATCAAAAGTGGTCTCGCCGCCAGCTTCCTGATCCACTTCTTTGGCATGGCGGATCACAACAACGATTTTTTTTTGTTCTCACGCCTTTTTCGGTGCAGAAGCGCGCGGTGAGACTGGGTGCCGTGACCCCCCTTGCGTGGCTCAGGGCGGCGCCGGCCGGGCGCAGCCGGGGAAGGGGAAGGAGAAGGCCGCGGAGAGGTCGGCCGCGCCGGCGGGGGTGGTAGCGGTCGCCCGGCGGAGGGGACGGGGGTGCAGCTGCCGGGCGCAAGGTGACGCCGAGGCGCTGCAGGGAGGGAACGGTGACGACCACGAGGTCACCGTTCTGCTGTGCCTGGACTTGGGTGTCGCCTAAGGCCAGGAGCACAGCCGGCATGGAAGCGCCCCCCCCTCAAGCCAAAACGGCTTGAGCCAAAATGGCTTGAGCCAAAATGGCTACGGCATTCATCACATCACATATCTATAGTTGATTGGGGGTGATCAACCAACATTCACATCACTGGGGGCACCAGTTTGTAAAGTTGCTTCGTAGCTCCAACAGCTTCGCTTTATGATACACACACACATACATACATTACATTACATTACATTACATTACATTTCATTTCATTTCATTACATACATACATACATTACATACATACATACATTACATACATACATATATCATTATGTATAACTATACGTTTAATTATATTTATACATATATATAGTTATACAACATAATATCTATAGCTAATGGAGGTACCCAACCAACATAACTTGCGCTGGGCACCAGGTCCCCCAGCAACGCACTGGCGCGGAAACTTGGAGCTCCACGGCTCCAGGGCCTCGACGTGGATCCCGGGGTGTCTCGTGGAAAATGCCCATAACACTTGGAGATATTCATGGTTAATGTTGGCTAATAATGGTTAATATATATATATATATTAATGGTGGTCAATAGTGATTTTAATAGTGATTTTAATGGTGATTTTAATAGTGGTTAATGATGGTTAATGATGGTTAATAATGGTTATCTCCTATTTCCCATTAATAATGGTGTTGGGATTCTAATTATTTGGGATATGAATGGGAGATAGGAGATACTAATTGTTAATAATGGTTAATAATGGTTCATAATATGAGATCATATGGCTAATTAAATGTTATTAGCCATGATTTTTGGTTATCATTTTGTGTAATGTTTAAAGGAATGTATGGTATTTTATATGCATCTTGTAGGATTTTAGGGGTTTCACTTGGGATTTTAGTTAATGGTGACTGAATGGGATTGAACCAATAATCATCTAATTCTTTGGGATATGAATGGGAATAATGGGATACACCAATGGTTCATAATGGTCAATAATGGAACATAGCCAACAACCATGGATAAACAATGGATAAATGTATAAAATAGTCTCTGGTAAACTAACATAGCTATTGAACATGGCCCATTTGTAGATGGTTTACCTATTTGATTTTCTATAGCTATGTAACAAATTACCAGAGGGTATTCATGGGGATTTTATTGAATTGGAGATATGATAGGAATATATGAGTAGTTGATATTAGTTGATATATCCAGTAAAATGGAGGTATTTAGAACCATTGGGAATATATTTGTTGATATAGTAAGGCTACTGATTACCAATGGGCTTATGATTCATATTACACTCCAGGAAGGGTAATTGATTTCCAACCCCATTGGCTATGTAATTGAGGACCAGTAAGGGTATTGACCCATTGCTGTACCAATCTAGGTTATATAATTAATCATCTACTACTGGCTGGGGATCGAGCGATCATTGAAAATGGATGAAAATGGGACATCCACCACTTATAGTTAATTGTCCCATGAATTTCTCCATTTACAAGGGATTTATTTCTCAGCCAACTACGTTTGATTACTTGGAGGATCATACCAAGGTAAAAATATCTGGTTAGTAAACCCTGATCGGGGCAGTCCCGGATTCCTTAACGCTTATCTCATGTAGCGGGCCACCTAAAATGAGCAAATCCAGGCATTGCTTCGGGTTGGCTGCTTATGGCTGGTGAATCTTAGATATCTGCCATATATATAAATATATTTGTAGATATATTAAATTATATATGGAGATGTGGGATGATTGTCACGTGTTAGTTATTGCTATATATTTATTTTTATCTGGGTAAATTATAACGACCGAACCCTGTTCTCCCGAACCCTGTTCTCCCGAACCCTGGAATCATGGTTAGTAAGGGGAATCATCCCCAAATGGCCGAACTATTCAGGTTAGTCAAATATTATAATTTACCCAGATATATATATATATATATAGAGGGCGGCACCCCGTGGGGGAGTGAATTTTCATTAACAATGATGATAAAACACTGTAAATACCGATGTTTTATGCATTTGGAGGGTCTAAAACCCTAGTAAAACACACTTTTTGCATCATGATCTTGACATGAGATATACAAAAACATTGACAGGCACCAAAAAAACCAAAAAAAACAAACCACTAGATGCACCAAACATCGACAGGCACCAAAAAAACCAAAAAAAACAAAAATTCCAGCAACTACTCAGAAGTGGACCCATAGTTCCTGGAAATTTTAGTTTTTTTGTTTTTTTTGGTGCCTGTGCAGGTTTGGTGCATCTAGTGGTTTGGTTTTTTTGGTGCCTGTGCAGGTTTGGTGACTCTGACTTCACAAAACATTGACAGGCACCAAAAAAACCAAAAAAACAAAACCACTAGATGCACCAAACATCGACAGGCACCAAAAAAACCAAAAAAAACAAAAATTCCAGCAACTACTCAGAAGTGGACCCATAGTTCCCGGAAATTTTAGTTTTTTTGGGTTTTTTGGTGCCTGTGCAGGTTTGGTGCATCTAGTGGTTTGTTTTTTTTGTTTTTTTTGGTGCCTGTGCAGGTTTGGTGACTCTGACTTCACAAAACATTGACAGGCACCAAAAAAACCAAAAAAACAAACCACTAGATGCACCAAACATCGACAGGCACCAACAAAAACCAAAAAAGCCAAAAATTCCAGCAACTACTCAGAAGTGGACCCATAGTTCCTGGAAATTTTAGTTTTTTTGTTTTTTTTGGTGCCTGTGCAGGTTTGGTGCATCTAGTGGTTTGGTTTTTTTGGTGCCTGTGCAGGTTTGGTGACTCTGACTTCACAAAACATTGACAGGCACCAACAAAAACCAAAAAAACCAAACCACTAGATGCACCAAACATCGACAGGCACCAAAAAAACCAAAAAAACCAAAAATTCCAGCAACTACTCAGAAGTGGACCCCCCATAGTTCCTGGAAATTTTAGTTTTTTTGTTTTTTTTGGTGCCTGTGCAGGTTTGGTGCATCTAGTGGTTTGTTTTTTTTGTTTTTTTTGGTGCCTGTGCAGGTTTGGTGACTCTGACTTCACAAAACATTGACAGGCACCAAAAAAAACAAAAATTCCAGCAACTACTCAGAAGTGGACCCATAGTTCCTGGAAATTTTAGTTTTTTTTTTTTTATTATTTTTTTTGGTGCCTTTGCAGGTTTGATGCATCTAGTGGTTTGTTTTTTTTGTTTTTTGGTGCTTGTGCAGGTTTGGTGCATCTATTGGTTTGTTTGTTTTTTTGATGCCTGTGCAGGTTTTGGTGATTATAGATTGTGTATGTTTGGATCTTGGCCATCTTTTAAACTTATGTTTCAAAGAAGCAAACATACCGTTATCTTTGAATAGCTATGCCACCACACAGGTTGCCTGACCTTAATATTCAACAGCTTGACACACGTCTTTGTCTCTTAGGCTTTCTCTCTCTCTCTCTGTCTAACTATTGAAATGAGACTGCTGACAAGACTCTGCAAGATAACAATGATAAACGAGATATGTACCTACTTCTTGAGTTGTAACATTCCCACCATCCTTCTTATCCAGAGTGTTAGATGTGCTTGTGTTATATCCACCTATATAATGTATGCCCTTCCCACCATACTTCTTATGTAGCGCAAATGCTTCTATATACAATATATGTTAAGATGATATCAATCTAACAAGTTCATGAAGAAACACCTATATCATATCAATTGCTTTTAACAATAGAATTTCTCCATCACCTCCATCACACTAGTCACCTATTGCTACTGTATATTCTGTTCCAAGATGTGCAGCTACCCATTCTTATGGCATGTTGTGCAGCTGATGTTTTCTGTTATGTGCTGATTGTTTGTACTTCTTTGCAAGCCTCACAGGAAAAATTGAATCCTGCCACAAGAGTCTGTAAATGCCAGTGATTTATGAAAGCATATGAGAGCCTTTGGAGGTGAACTCTATTTTTTGCTCTAAAATAACGGTTTTAAGCCCACTTTGGTCACAAAACACTGTAAATACCAGTATTTTTGACAATTTTTAGAGCAAAAATCACTCCCCCATGAGGGGCCGTTCTGTATATATATAGATATATTAAATTATATAAAGATATAAAATAGCTGGTTAGGACCAAAAAAATACCGTTGATAGCAAAATATTTTTAAAAGTACTATAGTTCGTATCTAACCAAGGTTGACCCAGTTATATACATCCACATTGTTTCAAAACCAACAACCTGCTGGCTGGATTTCTTCCCATAGAGCCGCCCCCAAGGGACATAGAGCAAGTCCGTGACATCGTCGAAGCCACAGCCCTCTGAGAGATTTTCAGCCTGCAAAGCCAAAGCGATGGCTTGAGATGGCTTGAGGTCCACACAAAAATTGGTCAAAAGGGCTTGGTGATACTTTGATTTCCGAAGATGCTGAAATGTTCAACTATTAATTATATTTAATTATCGTTGGGCCAATTTATTGGAATTTACTGTTACTGAACATATTCTTGTTTTTCTTTGTTTTGCGCGCAAGCGCGATCCCTTCTCTGATAAAACAAGACACACACGCAGCATTTTGGACGTTTTTGGAGGTCCGCCATTGATTTACCTGTTGTTCAAGGGGTAAACCTTCAAACCTCTCTTTTTTTATCAACCAACCAATGGGGATTTGGGACATCTATCAATCTTATCAAAGGATTCCCCATTTCAACAGTTCTCTCTCTCTCTCTATATCTAGATATACCATGATATACCCTCTGGTCAGCCACGTTGGACTCAACAGCCATGCCTCCATCATGGCTGACTGCAGCAGGGCAGTCATCCGAGATGCCTGGTGATGGGCTTTTTTGGGAGCCCCAAAAAAGCCTCGGAATGTTGGAATAATGTGGGTAAAACAATTTCATATCCCCAAAATCACCATAAATGGGTGGTATAAACCCTCAAAAATTGGCTAGTTTATTGTTGCTTTACCATGTTTTACCCACATTATATTGGAATGCTTCAATTCTTCAGATGAACATTTCACCAGAAAAAAGTGTCTATTCACTACATATGAAATGGACATGGGATAAAACGATTCTGATTGGACTTTAATAACTTGGGACATACAGTACTTCTGCCTGGTTCCAGTGGCTACCCCAAAGATATGTAGCTATGGTATGCTATGGTTATAGCCGCTAGCTGACATTCCATTGCAATGCTCCTCGTGGAATTATTTTCCAGCCCGAGCTACAAGTTGCAATCATCTACCCTTCGGTAGTCAAACATGCTGGAAACCCCTCATTTACCCTCTGGTAAACATACAAAAAGCTATTGAAAATGGCCATAGAAATAGTGGATTTTCCCATGAAGAATGGTGATTTTCCCATCAGTTTTTTGTATATTTACCAGAGGGTAAATCCATGAATGTTCCAGCAATAAACCTCCATGTAGTTCTGGGACTTTCCAGCGGCACCTGGTGTGAGCTTTGCACGTCCAGAGCCGCCTCGTGGGATTTCGGGAGAAATCGGTCATCAGAGATTCGCCATCCTCAAATGGGAGTGGTTTATTCCCAAAAAATGATTTTTATGGTGCTAAAAAATGGGTTCTTTTTTAGCCCTAAAGAGGGCTAACTGAAATAGCTAAAACATATCTTTCACTGGTCATGGGAGGCCCAAGTCATCATCCGATTCTTCATTTTTAATAAGGAAAGCCATGCATGGTTAAGGGGTGCCCTCCAGTAATCAAACGTGGCAATGAACCAACAAATGGATGTTTTAATCGGAAAACAATCTATCAATGAATGCGGAATTGTCCATTGCCATGTTTGATTACCACAGGGTAACTCAATTCTGAGGGAGAAACAGCCAAAGATCAAATATGGGCCAAGGTATGAACATAGTGCCAGCAAAAAAAAGCCGTAACATGCATATTCTGTGGTACTTTAAGATTCAAAGCGCAGAAGCATGACTGCATATGCTATGAGGATAAAGAAGTCAATGAAAATTTAAATGAACAGCAGGTATTGCACACAGGACCCGTTGGGAATGGAATCCAAAGAAGAAACCGCAATGAATAGGGGATGACAAATCCTACCAAGAAACTTCAAGGGATCCCACAAACATGAACATTTGACACTGACCACTGAAAGGGGAGGGGCCTTCAGTGCCCTTCCTACTTCATATTCCTGCACGAGATATATGTTTTTTTTAGAAAATCTCTGTAGATGCAATGTAATATATATATATATACATATATACACATACAGTTACTGATACAGTTTAGGTAAAGTGCATACACCTGGGACAATGGCAATATTTGTCATGTGGTTCCCTACTCACCAGGTAGTTGACCGTTGGGCCCATCCAGCTGCATCGCTTGCGTGTCATTTCGGCTGCGCACGTTTGACGCATCTGAAGCGAATCATAATGCTGACATCTCTCAACGGCAATGCCAGCCTGTTGCTACTATAACGGAGCCTGCATTACGCCTGACGCCAGGCGTCATAAGGCAAACCTGGGGGTGCATACCACTCAGTGAAGAGGTTGTACACCCAATTACATATGGAATCTCCCCCCTTATGTATGGGATTATAATGGTGATATATGGATTAGAAGCCACTTACTAAGTGGGATGCACATCCAAGAAGGAACATGTTTATACATTTTTTGTATCAACAGAGCCGTTCTGCCTTCCTCTCAGGGTTTTAGTTTTCAATGGGGCACCCGGGCACCCGGGCCGTTGCGAAACTTCATGTCGGGTATAGAATCCACCAATTTTTGGCTAAAGCCTGTGGAAAAAAAAACACCCGACATGCACTCCCAATCCATGAAGGTTCATTGAAATAACAAAAGACATGACAAAATTATGCAAGTTCACTATCAAGTTACCAAAAATAGCACATGATTGTGGAAAACATATCACACCCCATCATTCTGTCCCAACAAAATCCTTTGAACATCCCGGTCATGTGGCAAATACAGTATGAACCATTTGGGCGATGTTGGGGATCATTTTGCAATTTCTCAGTTATAAGGATATTTAACAAAAAAGGGAGATGCGTTCATCATGATTACCTCTTTTACCCTGCATTATCCCTATCATTATTCGATAATTTGCGCAATATTGTCTAAAATTATCTCATACTTTCCTGTGATTTTTCAATTGTTGAGCTTATCGTTTTACCTCATTAACTGCTGTAGTTTTGTGCTCCAACGACCTCATTAACTTCTGTAGTTTTGTGCTCCAACGACTGTCTCGATTTCGGAAGGCTCTGCGGCTCTGCGGCAATGGCAACGTCATTTGTTTGAGGCCTCTATGGCATGGGAACAGCTGCGCTGCATGCCCTAAGCATCCATGATCAAACAAATCATCTCTTCAGTTTCAGTTTCATTTTTTTTAAAGTCTATGTTCAACATCAAACATTCATGAACGTTTCATTCAGATTTATGTAGCAGTGTTCAACTATAACCTGACACGAATATCAAAAACACGTTAACTCTATATTTGATTAAACGTATACAAAATGTTTTCGTCCATGAAGTGGTCTGAATCAGCCACCATGGCAGTCGAACCATATTTATCACTGGTTGCCACCATTTTCCAGTCGACTCAGCTGAGCGGTTCGATTCCCCAGCCACCCAGCCACATATTAAGAAGGTTACGTATCATACGGTTCGTTCGCTGAAGAAATATTGCTTGTAAATGGAGAAATACAATGTTATACAGTTATATACCCATTCTATCCCAATTTTTTGCTGATTGATGTGACATTTGAGACAAAACATGCCGTTTTGTCCCCAAGTTTTGGGCCATTTTTTCCAGCTGCATCCATGATGGCCTCATACCGCCAATCACGCGCGATCCCAAGGCGATGGTCTGGGCCAATCACTGGGTGTTGGTATATGGTTTTGGGGTTTTGGGATGGGGGTTTGCCCAGGTAGTTCTCTTTTTCCAACATTTTCCAATGTGTTCTTCACCATTTTTTGGATGTTTTGGAGCTTTGCCCAACATGCTGAAGGCTTCTCTCCAAATCCCAATGGCCCAATGGATTCCCCATTCCCCTGGTGGATTTACCAATGGGAAAGTAAGAAATCACCGACGCAAAGCAGTGCTTTGCTCAACAAGTCACCATGAAAATTAATGATTTTAATTAGCATGATGAATTAGACTCGAAGTAATCGTCTGAGTAATAATAGTTAGTAATCAGTTATCTGGGTAAATTATCATATTTCACGAACCTGAATTAAGATGAATTCAGGCCATTTGGGGATGATTCCTCTTATTAACATTTATTAACCATGATTCCAGGGTTCGGTCGTAGTGAGGTCGTTATAATTTACCCAGAATTATTGATAGATGATTGTCCCAGCTATAAACCTGCAGACTGTCACCTTCCGCTGTCGATCGATTCTGCTGTCCACTGAGCTGCGGGGAGAGTACCCTGAGCTAAACGAACATGGATATTGAAAGCATCTGAAAGCATTTGAAAGCCGAAATTGTCACAATGGACATTGTCATGGGATCATCTATATATGGTGGATGTCACGGATGTCCATAGTTTTTGTTTAGATGGTGGATATGAGAAAATCACATTGAATTCATATATCCATTGAAAAATAGATGGTGGATATACCCTTCAGATTTGTATCATCTATATCCATTGAAAACATCTGAAGGATATCGTGACATCTGGGGTGCTATCAATCCTGAGTTCCAAGAGCCAGGTCAGTCATCTCATTCCCTTAAGTGTTCAAAATAAGTAGGGTGTAATTCAAGGTACCTAGTTCAGAGGTATCACTCTTGGGGGAATACCCCTCTAATTAACAAACATAGTTTATTAATCTGGGGTTGACATGAATGATGAGTAACTACATTGCAACTACATTGTAACTAATGTACCCTGTTGTGTTTGAAGATTCTTTCACTGTCCCCTCTTTTCCATAAGAGCTATGTTTAACAAAAAACAAGCAACGCAACCTATCTGAACAAAGCAATTCCTAGCGGGAACACATGGAGAAATTTCATGGCGACTAACCTTGGTCATGGGGTCTATGAAATACCATCCGCATCCATCAAACATGGTTTGCTGGACATTTCCCCAAGCTACATTTAGTTCGGGGATTTCACATGGTCATATTTTTTAATTGCTGATGACATAGGCTGGCAAAGACATTCAGGTGGATGATAAAAACAGCTGGGATGTTCTGAGAAGAAGCTGTCGACATCTCTCTTCGGCGCCTTCGATCAAAGTCACATCTTTTGGGGGCTAAAAACGATGAATTTCAAACAGCTGATGGCTGATCCATGCTGATCCCCCCACAAGTTGGAAGACAATGGTGCAGGTCGCAAGCATTGCTATGCCATCACTTGTAACTTGACCCTCAGCCCATCAAAAATGCTATGAATCATGGATTTTAATATATATTTTAATGGCATTTTAATGTGAGTAAAGCAATAGTAGACCATCCCCACAAATGGGTGGTATACATACTATAAAGCATCAAAATATGGGCTCTTTGATGACCTTATGATATTCTTTTCTCAACATTCTACCGTGGTTTTCACCACATTCCACCATTTTTTTACGGGTACCGGGTAGGGTCAAGGTGTGATGCTTCAGGTCATCCTGAGGCCCCACCATCGGATGTGTGGCTCCGCGCGTAACGTACGACCTGGGGGAAGACTTAAAAAAACCACCAGGTCGGCAACCACGATCTAGGCTGATATGGGCTGATTGTGCTTAGCCCCGGAGAAACAACAACTGTTTGGGGAAAAAAATAGTCTGCATGGAAAAAAATACATGCTATAGTGTCATCAAACATGGTTTGCTGGAAAATCATCCATGTCTAGTGAATGTCCCAATTAAAACCTCCATTTAAAGGGGAGTTTGAGATTCTTTGAAGGTTGCGCCGGAATTCGCCAAGCACGAATCATCTGCCCTGTGAGCCGAACAACGCCTGAAGTGGCGAAATTTCTGATCGGCTCACATGGCTAATTTCATGGACTTTTTGGTGGCAAGTGCCACCTAAGTGGATTGCAATAAAGCTGTACAAGAAAATGGCGCCCGTGGGAAGGATCTAGAAACCAGTCACAAATTGTTGGCTGTGACGTAGTCAAGGGCTGATTAAACTGTAGTGTTTCTGTTGGGTAGTGTCTCTGTTGGGCCTTTGACTGGTGCCACAGAGATGTGCAAACCTGAAATATCAATGAATATCAAAGTTTCATCCAGTTTTATCCATCCAGCATTTATCAAAATTCCGACCACAACTAACAAATGATCGAACCTTTCACCACTTTGTTGCTTCAAACTCTTTGATTTCCTTCCCAAGAGGCCATGGAACGCATCTCAGCGATGTGATTCGTATACGTCTACTTCAAAGCTTCGCACGGCGGACACGACACGCCGGTGCTGGGGGCCTAAGTCAGGAAGGATGAAGGATTGCTTGGCTATCTTCTATGTATCTGTCAACGGGTCTTATTTGTATTTAACAAATGTTGATGCACCTGATTCAACATGTTAATTATTGTTGTTCAAGTCAATGGCCATTTCAGGAACCTAAATTGGAGGTACCTACCATATATAAGGCCTATGTAAGGGAATATCCCCTCCATTTTAGGATCCTGGAATTCCCATTGTTCAAGCTATATTTGGCAGTTTCAGAAAGTTTTTGTCGCATCATTGATGGTGAAACCGCTCGAGGTCGCGCCGCATTGCATGAAGGAAAATCTTGCCGGGAACCCCGATATATCCTGTCATAATATGTATATATATACATATATATATAATCAATGTATATATATATACGCATATATAATCAAATATATGTATATATATATCTCATCCCGACTTTGGATGATTTGGGTAGATTTGGGGAGGTATCAATCGAAGTTTCCTGTCCAATTCTGTTAATTCTGGTGAGGGCTCAAGGGCTTAATTGGAGGACCATCAGACCATCATGCTTAATAAGTCTTCGCTTCGTGGAGTTATATACCCCCCCTGTGGAAGAGTGCCAGAACTTTGCTTACTAAGTTGACATTGTGATGGACTAGATCACATCCATTTGTGTAGGCTTAAAGTATATAATAGGCTTATTTTACGCATTTTACCTCCATCCCATATCAACTAATCCCCAGTACCTTTGGCCAGCCAAGCTGGCGGTATACAGTTGTGGTGTGAAGCGAAAAAATGAAAGAACCAGAGCCGAGTATAGTTATACAAACACTGGCCAAATGGAAGTAGACGTGCTTCAGGATGAGGCCGCAAGGTTTTTTTCCCCTATCCCACTGGTTGCAGTTGGATCTCGAAACACGGTATTTCAAAGGACACAGACCTCCGGAGCAAAGAACTTTGCGACTGGATGACCACCTCATGTTTGTTTCTACCCAGCAATCAAATGTGGCAATTAAAAATCACCCATTTAGTTCGATGATTTCAATGATTTCCCCATTAGATCCCATTAGAACATCCATTGAGTTCAGGCGTTGTTTCTTATTGCCGCCCAGCGACCGTTTTTACTCAAACACGGCAGGCGAATCTCACGCCTGGGGGCAGGGCACAGGGTGTGTCGCGCTGGTGCAGTTTGGGGCCCTGATATGTTTTCTGCTCTACTGGTTGGTGGTTGACCTGCCCCTCTGAAAAATATGAGTCAGTTGGGATGATTAATTATTCCCAATCTATCTATCTATCTATCTATCAAATCAAATCAAATCAAATCAAATCAAATCAAATCAAATCAACCTATCTACCTATCTATCTATCTATCTATCTATCTATCTATCTATCTATCTATCTATCTATCTATATATCTCTCTCTGTATATATATATATATATCAATATATGTACGTATTATGTGCAAATCTGTGCAAATATACGCTGCAAATATCAGCCGCTGCATCCCAGCCGGTTACCCGTCGAGCCCATGACTTTCCCAGCTTTCGTTCCAAGGTTTCCCAGCGTTCCCAGCTGGGGCCCTGCAGGCCCAAAGGATATCTAAGTTGGTTAACTCCACTAACAATAGATATACCAAAAACTATAGAAAAAACGATGGAAAATCACCATTTTGAATAGGTAAATCAAGTATCAATGGGGTGTTTTCAATAGCTATGTTAAATTACCAGAGGGTAATACATATACAGCATCTACAATATAATACAATATACTATAGACATACAAGGTGGTTCCCCAGTGAGGCAAATCGCTAAGTTGGTAAACATATCTCCAATTTCACTATGGTTTATGATAGATATATCTATCCTATCTATTGTTTATAAACTAACTTATAACTGGGGGGCACCACCTTGTGGTAATTCCACATAGCTATTGAAAATGGCCAGTTATAGGTAATATACCAACTATGGTGGATGTAACTATGGTCAGACTTTATAGTATATATATATAAGGGTGGGGTTTATAGACCAACTTATAAATGGGAACCCTACCTTGTAGCTACGTTTCATTCCATAAACCATGGTTCATCAAAGTCATGTGCGTCAACTTAGCTATCATAAATCAGCCAGAAATCTCATGAGAACCCAGCTATAGCATTTGGTTAGAACCCTGCTGGTAGCTCCTTAGCTCCCCCTTTAAAATCTTTAAAGGGCTATATGGGTACCCCTGGCTCCTTAGCTCCCTTCCAACCAACAGCCAGCTACTATGGTTCTATGGTTTGTCTATGGTTTTCCGGCAGCTTTTCCGGCATCTTTCTATGCAAAAATCGCAGCACCAAGACACAAAGTCCAAGGGAGAGCCATGACAACGGTAGGGGCACGAGGCACACCTCTTCAGGTTCTGCCGTTGTTGGCTTGAAATCGGCATTCTTGACATTGGTTTAATGGGTTTTAATGGTGATTTAATGGTGGTTTAATGGGTTTTAACCTACAAAAATTGGTGATTTAATGGGATACAATGGGAATCTAACGGGAATAATAGGGGTATAAAACTGTAAACCAACAGTTCATATATGGGAATATACTCGGATAATAAATATAGCAAGCAACCAGCTTGCTAATCATATTTGGGTGTGTCTGAAAATAGGGTTTTTTGGACTGTCAACGGGGAACATGTTTGGAGGAACCAATGGATTTACGGGTACCCGGGTACCCCATTTTCAAACAAACCCACATGACTAAGCTGACTTGGGTGCAGCAACGGCAGCAACCCCAAAAAAACTAAAAACAAGTTTCATTGGCCATCACTATGGTAGGAATTTGCCACCCCAATCTTTTTGTTTATGACACAATATGTACACAAGACAAGTATTATTATGTCCGCCAATTATTGGTTGTCATGTGAATACATGTGTACACGCAGAGCAAACACATTTGTACAGTATAAGTGTGTGTAGAGTCGTGAGCATATAATTACACGAATACACATATTAATGTGTATTCGTGTATGTATGTTGAAAAACAATGTAGCTTCTCACTGCATAAATGCAACACTCCGTTTTCATGTAACAGTGTAACAAGTGAAACCTACATACCCTCTGGTAATTTAACATAGCTATTGAAAATGACCATTTATAGTGGATTTACCCATTGAAAATGGTGATTTTCCATAGTTATGTTAGTTTACCAGAGGGTATCTGTTGTTTTTTTTTGCCGGATCCACCAAACCAAAGCCCATAGGAATCATGGCTCCGCTTGGATGCACGATATATCTTGGGAGAAATCTCTACCCGACCTGCTAAACATACAAACAACTGATGGGAAAAAAATCACGATTTGTAATGGGAAAATCAACTATATATTTCTATGGCCATTTTCAATAGCTTTTTGTATGCTTACCAGAGGGTAAAAATCATTCACATCCGATTCACATCCGTCATCCATAAGACCCTTCGAAATTTCCAATGATTTTCCCAGCACCGATCCAACTCCGCATAGTCGGAACCGCCGGGGCGCTTCTTGCCAGACAACCAAATCTTGATACAATTTGCCTCAGGCGGGCACAACAACTCCGAGCTGTTCGCTGTTCAGCCGGAAGTGGAGGATCATTTGGATGATTTTTCAGGTCGGAATGTGTCGATTTCAATATGTTCTATTTATGACGTCTAACTTCTAACTTCAATGGCTACTCAAAAGATATGAACCAACCCATCATGCACCGGAGCATCAAAAAAAACATAGACGACATGTATGAGTCGAATGCCCATCATACGTAAGTTCATAATCTACAGGTTTATCCTCAGGGAATCACCAACCTTCAGTGGCACACAAGTGCGGTGCATCCAACATTAAAACAAAAAACGCCCTTCAGCAACCAGGCAGTGCTCAAAACCCGCAACGTCATTCCACTTGACCCCTCGTTAATAATGGCGAATATTGCAATCCGCAAAAAAAAAAAGAAGTTGGTAAAATCCTACTGAAAATCGAAACCATAATCCCCTGTAAATCATTTTGATGTAAAAACAACGGTTTCCTGCATCTGTTTTCCTTAAGCCGGCCATTAAATGTTAGTTAATATCGAATTGCGTCCCTACCGTATCCTCATATTCCATTGTATCATCATTATACTCCCACTATACCGTCATAAATTTGACTATATTCTATATTCCCATAAAATGGATTATAATGGTAGAGGTCCCCTCTGGAAATCCCATTACAACCTCCATGTGGTGCGGGGGTTTCCCAGGCTGCCGCGTTTGATGACATTTTTTGATAGGGTAAATTTTAGTGCCCCAAGGAGAAGACCCTCCACCATCCTCCACGGAAAAGAAACGTGAAAAACATGGCCGCAAGCCAACTGTGAGACCTGCATGTGGATCCCCAGTGGTCCCCCAGAATCATCATCGGCTTGGAGGGAGAACCTACAGGAAACCCCCATACTGGATGCTAAGCCGCTAAGCACCATGGTTTTCAGCAGATTTTCACTTCAACCGATCACTTGATATAAATAAACGATTGATACCGGGAAGTATCATTATACCATATTATACCTATAGAACAGGGTTCAGGGTATCAATAACTGATAAATGGGGTCCCAGTTTGAATCAAGGTACCTTTAACCCAGGATTAGTAAAGTACTACGGTTTAATAAATGAGAATGATTTTTGATACCTTTTCGGATGCAGGGTTACAGTAAGTCACCCTATCAGGTACTATTCTAATGATAACCCGGGATTAATAACCCCGCTTATTCGGTGACATTTAGAACAGTACATCCCAATTTGGGGTAAACAGCCAATTAGTAGTGGGGCTTTATCAATCCGGGGTTGGCATTGTATCTATGTCATCCGATTTGAACATGTTTGAACACATATCCTAGAATCTAGAATCTAGACATAGGGATATTGCATCTATAATTCAAACATATTCAAACATTACATAGTTCTAAGTTAATCTATAGACTAATTAGTGTCGCATCATAGTGTAAATTTATGTTCCATCCTGTTACATCTGCGTGGATGTCTTTAAAATTTTAAAGTCGTTTCAACAAGTTATCTGAACATCTAAAACATATACCCTCTGGTAATTTAACGTAGCTATTGAAAATGACCATTAATAGTGGATTTTCCCATTAAAAATGGTGATTTTCAATAGCTATGTTAAATTACCAGAGGGTACTGTGTCTCATTCAGCAACTGAGAATCGCGAATGGACTGTCGGACTTTGCCACTCCAAATGCTGCCATCCTCAACTGGATACACAATCAGACAACTTGTCACTTGCCTTAATCCACACAGTGGCAATCTATCAATTTCCTCATTTACGCATGATGTTCCTGTATGTTCCTGTTCGAAACGTAGATTTAACAGCGAGTCAGGCATAGCCGCATAGCCAAGTTCTACATAACAAATAAAAACAACATATTACACTTGACCAAGCTCAGATTCCAATTATTTACACCAACTGCAACGTCACCACTCAACATGTTTCACCTTCCAATCGGTCAGCAAAAAACAGGTCTCTAAAACTCTCCCCCGCCTGGCTCGAATCTTCAAAGTCCGTCAGGCAGATGATGCAATTCTCCTGGCACCTGAGGTGGGTTCATCGATCCATCATCCGTGGCTGACCTTTGAGGGCCATTGATTTCACACCCTGTTCCGGTGATGGGGGTACCCCAAAATGGATAGTTTATAATGGAACAAATCCCATCTATACATGGATGAATTAGGGGTACCAGCAAATACCCGCAAAGGTATTCATTCTTCCTTCGGCTTGGTTTCACAGTCTTTGCGAAACATGTTGAAGTTCAATTTCACCTACAAGTCACCAATGTCCCAATAATAAAGTCCTATGTCCTATGTAAAAATGGTGTTAATTAACGCCATTCCATGGCAAATTTGGTACAGTAAACGGTGCAACTATCAGCAATCATAGGTTATTGTTTGGGAGTTGCAATCTTATTCCTTCAGTTACCCATATAGGATCCATGTATGGTATATATGCTAACATTGGGGGTATATTGATGGTAAATGTTACCATATATAGCATACATGGATCCTATGGGTTATGCAATGTTTTTGCATCAAAGTAAATCCCCCCCCAAAAAAATGCCAACAAAACAGGGCGAGCTTGCATTTGGCCAGTTATCCAAAATACACCCTATAGGGATATGCTACTCCCAATAAAAAAGGCACATCCGATTAGCAATCGCCACAAAAAAAGTACGTCAAATCTCGGGACCGACTATAAGTTTCATTCTGGCATTCTTTCTGACGTTCTATTCTGACATTCTATCATATTCTATCTGGCATCTATCTGGATATCTACACGAGATCTGGAGCTCGCGATTGAGGTCCGGCAGTGCCCACTGCGACTCGCGGTTGGGAGGAGGAAGGAAGGAGGAAGTAACTCTGATAAAATGACTTTTGCCCGAGATCTGCCAGCCCCTCCGCCACGGATTCCGCCACGGCACGCCACAGCTCCGCACGCTTCTGAGCGCAGCTCTTGGAAACAGAGCTCGGGTAGGCGCTGGAGACCTGAAGCCAGGCAACTGGCTGGGTTTGGTTTGGATTTCATGATGATTTCATGATGATTTCATGGGAGTTCATTGGGATTTCATTGGGATTTAATGGGGTTTAAATGGGATTTGATGGTGATTTCAAATATGATGATTTATTGGGAATACTAATGGGAAATTTTGTCTACCCTCCAGCCCTCCATGGATTGTTGCTATTTAACTAACCAAAATGGGGATCAACAGCTGGACCGTGCTATGTTTATGGAGTGTTTTTTTTTAAGGTGGGGAAAATGATTATTGACAGTAGATCTTATTTTTTGAAACTATCAGCATTAGGAAAACAAATGGCTTCATCATCTTCAGCTCAGGTTCGTGAAGGACTACTTAAGTGTGCCAAGTGGTTAGTAACCATATAGCAAAACATAGCAAAACTATGGGCTATATATTATATATATACTATATACAAAAATATAATATGTATATATAAAAATATAATATGTATATACGATAGATATGAAATATATATAATATTATATATAATATATATAATATAATATATAATATAATATATAATATATATATATATAATATATATAATATATATAATATATATAATATATATAATATATATCTAATATATAAATACACTATATAATGTATATGGGTTATTAACCACTTACGATTCCGGAGATGCATCCCCACTGTTTTTTGACAGAGCACCGGGTTTTCTCCCATGGAATCATGCTGGATTCATGTTGTAGATTTAGTCAAATCAAATACTAGGTTTTAACCATCTTGAAACATATTAGTCAATGGGAAGGATTATCCCACCTATTATGGAAAATAAAAAAATGTTTGAAACCACCAACCAGAATAGTTTTGCCCATGACGGTTATGGTTGCAACCTGGGATCCACAATTATCGAAGGAAGTTTAGAAGTCAAACTTCCGACAATATGGAGAGATGAAAAGCAGAGCAGGGAAGAGGCAGAGAGAAGAGAAAGATTAGAAGAAAGAAGAGTAGAAGAGAAAGAGTAAGAAGACAGAAGATGCAGATGCGCGAAAAGGTAGGAAAGTCGCGAAACACTGTGTTTTTCCAATAATTTGTGGCTCCGGAGGGTCGAAAAGTAGGCTCGCTAAAGCGGCGGGTGCGGAGCCAGCTGGCCAGAGGAGAGATGAAAAATTGCACGCCGTTGTGGCGCGAAGCACATTTCGAAGTGAAAAGGTACAAAACACCTCAGCGTCGGACCACTTTTGGAAGTTGAGATGTTGAAAAAGTGCACGCCGTTGTGGCGCGAAGCACATTTCCAAGTCAAAATGTACAAAACACCTCAGCTCCGGACCACTTTTGGAAGTTGAGATGTTGAAAAAGTGCACGCCATTGTGCCGCGAAGCACATTTCCAAGTCAAAATGTACAAAACACACCATTCTCGGACCACTTTGGAGGTTCAGATGTCGAAAAAGTGTCGAAAAAGTGCACGCCGTTGTGGCGCGAAGCACATTTCGAAGTCAAAAGTGTAAAAAACTGAGGGTTTTGAGCCTTTTTTGACGTGAAGATGTCGAAAAGGTAGACACTAATTAACTCAACTAACTTGACTAACTTAACTAACTTAACTAACTTAACTACCCTAACTTCGACGACAACAGCAACAGCAACAGCAACAACAACAACAACAACAGCAACAACAACAACAACAACACCAACACCAACCACAACAACTACAACTACAACAACTACAACAACAACAACTACACAACAACTACAACTACAACTAGAACTACAACAACTACAACAACAGCAACAACAACAACAGCAACAACAACAACAACAACTACTACAACAACAACTACTACACAACTACTACAACAACTACACTACACAACAACTACAACCACACAACAACTACAGCTACAACTACAACTACAACAACAACAACAACTACTACTACTACAACTACTACTACAACTACAACTACAACAACAAAACAACTACAGCTACAACTATATGACTGCAACTACACTACACTAATTACATTACACCACAACTACAACTCCACTACGCTACAACTACAGTTGAAGTACATCACACTACATCCAGCAGTTGTGGGTGAGGTGACCACTGCAACCATTGCAACCACTCCAGCAAACACAACTCCAACCACTTTTCGGTCGATCAGTGGCTTCGCCCTGCCATCCCTGATTCACAACAACCAACCTCTCCTATAGGTTTCCTGTTTTTGAAACTTCCGCCACCGCCTTGTGCGGTACTACTGGTAAAGAACACACATCATGAATAAATGATGTTGCAAAACTACTATACAATGATTCGACTATAGTTGGTATGCTAACCATTATGATGTATAGTTATGAAACAGGGATATAACATCTTTGACATGATCTACCCTCTGGTTATTTAACAGTTTGCCATGGAAAATCACCATTTTTAAGAACGGTAAACCATCTATTTCTATGGGCCATGGCTTCCATGGCAAACTGTTAAGTAGCCAGAGGGTAATTACATGTAATTACCGTCTGTCCCTGTTCTATTCGTGCCTGTTTAACCTGCCTGTTGGACTGTGGTAGATTAAACTCATGGATCAAATGGTTTTTTTTTATCCTCTGCAAAACGATTTTCTTGTGAATATGACAATAACTAGAGAGTTTATTCATGACAAGTGGTAGTTTGTTCATGGATAAGTGGTAGTTAGCTTCTGTGTCTGTTCTCTTACACGTTTCAGTGATTCAACTCGTATTTGCTGGTCACATAATTGCTGCAAAGCAATTCTTTACATGAAAAGGACTGCTGGACTGCTGCGAAGCAATTCTTTGATAAAACATAAATGGCTCATTCTTAAACTGATCATTCATAATGATTACAACGATGGGTTTGGATAACTAGAAATGGAGCCGTGAAACAATCATCAACCACTAACAAAAGGGGGCATACCATGGCATACCTATGGATGAGTATGTATTAATGCTAAGTAAAATAACTGGGCCTGTAAATCCCTCATGAAGGTAATTTCCATTCATGTTGACCCAGTTGCAACGGCCGAAAAGTTAAGATTTCCATGATATACTGATCTGGTTGGTGGTATACTTACCCCTCTGAAAAATATGAGTTCGTCAGATTGGATCATCATCCCAACTATTGGAAAAAACAAATTAAACGCCATGTTCCAAACCACCAAGCAGTGATATACATGGTACTGGTTGGTGGGTTTAACCATCTTGAAAAATATTAGTCAATGGGAAGCTCACATATATTATGGAAAATAAAAAAATGTTTGAAACCACCAACCAGAATAGTTTTGCCCATGACGGTTATGGTTGCAACCTAGGATCCACAATTATAAAGAACACCACCAACCAGTGGTAGTATGAATAACTATCCCCCATGAGATTCTCAGCACTTAAAACGAGCAGCGCAAGTTCGTCCAGGTCAGCTCTTCGCTCTCCTCTGGGACTTCGCCGAGAAACGACCCAAGTGAAATTCATAGGATCTAACGGATCTAATGATATGGCAGTGTGTCAAAACCAATAGTACCCCTTCTGTTCACATCAAAATAGCTGGGATTTATGGATGTGAATAACCCACTAAAAATGGTATTAATAGGTATTGATCCATAGCCATATCTTTATAAGAATCGCTGGTTGGTGGTATACCTACCCCTCTGAAAAATCATGGAGTTCGTCAGTTGGGGTTACTATTCCCAATATAATGGAACAATAAAAAATCGTCCAAACCACCAACCAGATCAAATGTTGGATCTAATGATATCTTATAGAATCTACTGTGGATGTGGATCTGATAAGAGATCTAATCTAATCTATTCAACTTGTTTTTTGTTGTTTTAAACTCTGAGGATTGAAATGGATTTCACCAAGAATAAATGGATAATTTGGCTGGAAAGCACCTGCTTTGATGGGAACTTGAAGAACATTCACTGGTTGGTGGTTGACCTACCCCTCTGAAACATATGAAAGTCAACGGGAAGGATTATCCCATATATTGTGGAAAAATAAAATTCATATTCCAAACCACCGATCAGTTCATTATCCATTGCCAGATTGGACTGCCAAAGATTGGACTGCCTGAAATTTCCAGAAATCAAACGTGGCAACTGAAATTCCACCATGTATAAATGATTTTCTGATGAATACCTCCATTTATAGGGAGATTTGCTATTGCCACGTTTGATTGCCAAAGGGTCTTTCCCATTTTTGGTGCTTTTTGGTAGCAGATTTGGGTTTGACCGTCTATCAATGATATCCCCCATGTCTGATCACTTAGATCCCATTTCAATCATCATAGGACCCATGAAACAAAACAAAACAGAACCGAAAACACCATTTCTGGACAAACCTGTTCATGAACTTGCATGATATTCCCATCATCTTCCAATGTTTTCTGGTTACCATATGGTTATTTAGCAGTTTGCCATGGAAAATCACCATTTTTTATAGGTAAACCATCTATTTCTATGAGCCATGGCTTCCATAGCTATGTAACAAATAACCAGAGGGTATACCTTTACGTTTGCTGCTTCAGTTCTCCATGTTGGTGCACCGGAGTTCTCAAGAACCGAGCTTCAGTACAGACTTGTTGCATCTGCAACAGTTTCAGCCAGATCCAGCCGGAGATCAAGATCTGCGGTGCGCACAAAAGGAGCGTTTTGCTACGAGGGCCCAAAACGCGGCGGTTCCTGTACACTTCTTGGTGAATACTTAGAATACCACTTATAGTAACTGGTTAGTAAACATGGTTAGTAAGCATGCTTTGTTCACCCATATTATGGGATACGTCAGTGAATAAATTCAGTACGGTACGATCACCAGCTTGATTCACCAGTTACAGCAGCAGGATGATCCTCCAACAATGGGATTCCCAGTGGCTGATGATGATCCCTAGGGTAGCTCTGGAACGTTGCTCAATCATCATGAAACTGTTTAACTGGTTGGTGGCTGAGCCTACCCCTTTGAAAAATAGAAGTTCGTCAGTTAGGATTATGTTTCCCAATATATGGGACAATTTGAAAAATGTTCCAAACCACCAACCAGTTAACCTGCAATTGACCTAGTCATTGTTCTGGTTATGTACGCGTAAACACGTGCAATTAGATCGGGGATCCCTCGTGGGAGGCCCATGACCACCTCTTAAAAAAAAAATCTTCACCAGCAGAACATGGGGTTCAATGTAAAACAGAGCTGTATATAACCAAAAACCGGAAATTAATGGGAACATATTATATCCAATACAATTACCCTCTGGTAAATAAACATAGACCTTTGAAAATAGCCAATTTTTTAATGGAAACTAGTCTTCCAACCCCTATCTGCCAGGGTCTATGTCAATTTACCAGAAGGTAAATACCACCAAAAAGGGTTGAAACGTCAACCTTTGCGATCCAATATGTTCCACCGTGGTGATCATTTCTCGGGGGCGGAATGAATCAACGAATCAAAGCTTGGCCATCAACGATTTCAACGCAATGACAAGGCATCAAATGCCTTTGGAATCGGAGTTGTATAGCCTAGCTACATCCATCCCCCTGTTGGGGGAAGAATTTTTCGTATGGCATTGATTAAAAGCATGCTGAATTGATGTAGCGTTATTTTAAGAACACCGGGCCATCCCAAGATTCTATCTATCTAAATATTGGGATAGAAAAATGAGTTCGCCATTTTTATCCAACATAATTCACCATAAAAACCATTCTGTTAATTTGAAGTAACATAATTTCAATGAAACATGAAAAATGAAAATGTGTATCAATAAAAATGAATCCATTCACAATATTCTCAATACAACTAGTTCAAATGATGGGTTAAAGATCAAAAAATATTATTGGTATCAAAGAAAATATCCAAAAGGATCAAAAAACTATTATTGGTATCAAAAAAAATACCCCCAGAAACCTATACCCTAATCAACCATTGCGCACCACTTCCCCACCTTCCTTCCTTCCTTCCCTCCTTCCCTCTCCCAGAATAGTTTTTTGATCCTGATAATATGTTTGTTTTGATGCGTATCCCTAAAATGATAGTGTATTATGTTCAATTTATAGATATTTATAGTGTATCACCATAAATTTAAAATATTGGGATCGAAAAATAGTAGAACATACATTTTTTTCATGTAAACTCTCCCATTTTCTATCCCAATATTTTATTTTAAACAAATGGTCACCACAAATTTCTCCCAGGACAGGGTGGCGCCTGCGTGAGATCAGCACCGAGCAGCGCGAAGCCCAACATGCGCGTGTCCTAAGCACAGCTACGGACTTGAAGTGAAGATATCACCGAGGATTTTGTATATATATATATAAATATATATATATATATATACACAGTGTATATACAACATAATACGGCACACACATCTATCTATCTAATCTAATCTAATCTAATCTAATGTAATCCTATCTATCTATCTATCTATCTATCTATACTGTATGTAATTATATATATATATATATGTAACAGAAGATCATAATCATCACTGAAGTAAATATAGCTATATTACATTTCACCAACCTGCGTCGCCTGAGTTAAGACCATTAGGGGATGGTTACCCCTCCTTCTAACCATCATTCCAGTGAAGTGAGGTCGCAGTGAGGGCCTTATAATTTAACCGTATATATATAATATCATGCATATAAAACATATGTATATATGTATATGTGTATGTATATATATATGTATATATAAATATGTATATATATATATATGTATACATACATATGTATACATACATATGTATATAGCATAATATTACATACGTTTCTGTTTACGATTAAAGTCATCCTGAAGGAATAATAGGTAATTTCAAAAGCCTCCTCTCTGAATGGGAATGATTGTGAAACTTCTAAATCCATCCAAATTCTATTTTCTTACTCCAGGATGACTCTGCATGTGCATTTATAATATATATATATATACGTATCGACCTAGCCCTTGATTTTCAAGCAATCATCCAAAAGAAGACAGGAAGACAAAAACATCGACTGGGGCTTCAACTGGGGCTACAGTTGCCCATATTGCTGCGCAACTTAGATCCCCGTCATTGTCAAGCTAAGACCTGTTTGTTACATTGGCTCTCTCGAAGTCACTGGATGTTGCTCACATCACCCCAAAATCTTTGAGCCGTCATCCATTGCAGTTCGTCCTTTAAATATCTTTAAACCATGACTGATCTTAGCTGGGCATCAAATTCTACCACTCACGGGCACATCAACAATTGACCCATTCTCAATGTACAGCGCCCAATTTTCACATGGTTTCCCCCCAATTCAACATATCCGGAAAATGATGTTCCTATTAAGTATTGCCAGTTCGGGGTTCCGCGTTAAATCGAGGGGCTGTTTTTTTATTTGCACAATCAAGGCATACATGCAAGCTTCACCGTCTCGCCTTGCAGGGTTCCTTCAATTTCTTAGCAAAGATTGAGCCCAAATCGACCTTGGCCTGGAAAATGATGATTCAAAATTCAGCTATAAATCCAGCAATATTTGTAGCAGCCACAAAAAATAGAAGAGGTAGAATCCAACCTAAAATAGTGGTCACCATGTTTCACAATGTTTCACCTTTTCTGCATCTTGACTTGGTTGTTACTAAGGTCCCATTTTATCCAAATATATCTAATACATACATTCAAATTCTGTATCTTACATCAAACCCAGTTATCATCACATCTCTTGATCAAAAAAACCTTTAAGACATGATTCATCCACCATTCATGCAAACATTGACTTACTGGTGCTAAACGTAGGGAATGGATAGGTGGCTGGGAGTTGCTGGGATGATGACATTACTAGTGATTATTAGGATCATTCCCGATGTCATTCCCTGCGTAAAACGCACCAGTAAGTTTAGATTAGGTAGTTAATAATTCCCTATATTAACCATCAGTCATTAATAACCAATATAATTCCAGGTAGTTAATTATGGATCATTCCAGGTTTGATTATTACTAGTGATGACATGGATCATTCCCTCAAATTCCCTGCGTTTAGCACCAGTAAGTTGATCAAGCCGCACCGTTCACCAAGTCACCGTGAGTTCAGAGTACCAAGTCATCGCCTCATCGCCGTCCGGACTGCCAAGGACCATGTTTTAGTTTTTTTTTTTTGGCGGGTATATATATATGCATATATATATATGTATATATATATAGGGATGAACTACTTGGATTTTCTGAACCAGCAAAAGTCAGCTGGTGTTTTTTTAAAATAGGGATAAACTACTTGGATACTTGGATTTTCTGAAACACCAAAAGAATAAAGAATAATCATGCAAGTTCAACTGCACAAATTGTGGATTAACATGGGTTCACCAATGCAAAAATCAACACCTTCAAATCCAAAACTGAAATCACATATGACTGGGACCGTAGACTACGGGTGTGTTGATTTTTTGAACGGGGAATGGGGTTTTCCAAGGCGTTTTTTCAGCACGCGGGCGCACACACACAGTACAAAATATAGTGATTTGATTCTATGATTCGAAGTACTCAGTTGGGTTAATATTAATGATTTATAACCATAAGTAAACCCAGTTGGGTTTATAACTTATAACCCAGCTACTGGCTGGCACCACCTTGCGCTGGCTATTTGCAGGCTCAGCATCACCAGGATACGTAAAAATATTCAGCATTCGTCAGTGGCCAAACTATTCAAAGCTTGTTCTCATTTGGTTAGAAAAAAGCACGGTAACTTCCTGTAGCTTCTATTCCCAAAAAGAGTATTTAAGTTGAACCAACAGCCGACGAAGAAATCCTGAAGAGTGTCCACTTCCACTTGCTTCACCGAGTGTCGATGAACATACCATGAAGACACATAAATGTCACCTGGCCGTGTCCGTGTCCGCGCTCGGAAGTCTGGTCTTCAGGGGACCTGTATATCCAGTGATATCCGGCAAGTATTGCACGTATTACCAACAACAAGCATACATACAAAATCATACAGTCATAGCTTTCCAACAACCACTAATACACAATGAACATCTACCAGCATCTATGAACATCTACTTGGTGGCTCACCTCAGTTAGCAAGTGGGTATAATGCCAGTTATAAGTGGACATTGCCCCTACTTTCCCTACTTGTAACTGGGGTTATAAGGCACTTACTGACTGGGGTGAGCCACCAAGTATGAACACCTACTGTGGTGGATGGAAGAAATCCTGCACCCCCTTGGATGGTTGAAACCCAACAAAAATAATAGGATACACCAGCTATCAACCGGTCCCGGATTTCGCAACCATCCACAGTATCAACCAATATCAACCAATAATGTCCTAAAATGGTAAAAATACCATCTATCTATCGGGGGTAAACCTTCAAACCCCTCTTTTTTAATCAACCAACCAACGGGAATTTGGGACATCTATGGTATCAACATCCATCACGTTTTCCGATGCCTTGATCACGCTGAAGATCACCAACATGGTGGAGATGTCCTGGGTGAAACCACCCGTGATTGAAACGTGCTTTTTTTTCTTATCCCCTCTGGTAAACTTAACTAATAGCTACTGAACTTGGCCATGTCTAGTTGATTTACCTGTGAAAATGGGTGATGTTCAATAGTTATGCTGGATTATGCTACTTTACCAGAGGGTATGTCTTGAAATTATGTTCAAGATACTGTATCTGGGAAATGATGTGAACATCTTTTTCAGGGGAGAAGGGAAGCAAGAGCAGGAGCTCACTTGTTATTTTTGGGGTTCTCTGACTCAATTTTGGAAGGGCATCGCGATATCCCAAGACTTTGTGTGGCCTGAAACATCTCTTGAGACAACCTGAGCGATGGTTTTTCAATGAACTGAAACCTTGCAGTTTGCCGTTCCAGGGAAAACTCATTGCATTGGTTTAAGGGAAACTTGAAACCGGAAACCCTCATTCTTCGTGGCAAAACCCATGGTTTCCGGTTAAGATGTTTCCCTGAAATCCTCCGAAAAATGAAGTCACGCGCGTCTTCGCTCGCCAAGCAGCATGCACTGCGCGACAGGGATTGTTGTCCACCAAGTGTACAGCGATCCACAGCAAACTCGCCAGGGTGGCCTTGGTATATGTTCCAGCCCTTCCGTTGAAAGGTCTTAGAGCCAGGGTTGAAAACAGGCTTGATCTGGCTTGATGGTTCAGGGTTGATATGGTTTGATGGTGCCAAAAACCATCTTTTGTCCCAGATTGTGGAAAACCGCCTGGAAGGACCTCCCTAGCTACACTGCTGCTACACTGGTGGCCACCAAATTCCAGCCCAAACTTCATATGGAAACGCTCCAAACCACTTTATACTCAGTAGCACTGTAACTCCGACATCGCTTTTTAGTTTCCAAGGCGGGCCCCTCAAACGATAGCTAATTGAGTTGGTGAACATAACTCCAACAACATCCAATCAACTTGAATTTTTTGGGCAATAGAATCATGGCATTTCATAGGGTTAAAAAACCACCTAAACATATAGAAAAATCACAACTGGGGGCCCTAGCCCTAGCCCATATATTTGCTTTCCCTCATCCCACTTGACAGCGCCGAGGTTCAAAGCATAGCACTGTCGAGATGAGCACAACGGTGGGAAAGGAAACCACCATACCTCACTGGATGTCTCCAAGGTGGTGTTTTGCCCAGGTCTGTGAGTTGGTTTATAAAACCCATTAACATCCATTTGCTATAGATAGATGAATAAATAGAGAAAGATATAGATAGATAGATAGATAGATAGAAAGATAGATAAGATAAGATAAGATAAGATTAGATAAGATAAGATTAGATAGATAGATCGATAGGATAGGATAGGATAGGATAGGATAGGATAGGGTAGGGTAGGGTAGGGTAGGGTAGGGTAGGATAGGATAGGATAGGGTAGATAGATATATAGTTAGTTAGTTAGTTAGTTAGTTAGTTAGTTAGGTAGTTAGGTAGTTAGGTAGTTAGGTAGTTAGGTAGTTAGGTAGTTAGTTAGTTAGTTAGATAGATGGATAGATAGATAGTTATATAGTTAGTTAGTTAGCTAGTTAGTTAGTTAGTTAGATAGATAGATAGATAGTAAGATAAGATAAGATAAGATCAGATCAGGTCAGATAAGATAAGATAAAGATAAATATAAAGATAAAGACAAGATAAGTTAATATAGATAAGATAATATAAGACAAGACAAGATAAGATAAGATAGAAAACATAGATAGATAGATATATTGATACATAGATAGATATATACGATAGATAAACAAGATAAGATAGATAAGATAGATACGATAGATAAAATAAATAATATAAATAAGATTTTTACGATAGACATATAAGATAGATACGATAGATAAGATAGATAAGATAGATAAGATAAATAAGATAGATACGGTAAATAAGATCGATACGATAGATAACATAAATAATATAGATACGATAGGTAAGATAGATAGATAAGATAGATGTATAAGATAGATATATAAGATAGATATACAGGTAAATAATTAGATAGATAAATGGATAGGTAAATAGATAGACAAACAAGGCAACCGGTTGACTCGGCGCCCTTGTAAGGGTGACGAATTTGAAATTGTCATTTTTGAGGGTAAGAGAGAAAATGCTGGTATTTGCAGGAGTCGTCAAAAAATGTGTACAACATGGACATTCATTTCGATTGGCAGGCGTGTGACTCAAGGGTGAAAATTTGAATTTCGCCTGCGCGGTGACTCGATTTTTCTCTTCAAGGGTGAAAAAAAACATTAGAATTTTATGATTTTAAGTCATCCAAATCACATCAATCAAGGCGGTATTCAATCCTCTTTTTTTTCCACTGTTCGAGGTTAGCGGTGCCAGAGTGCTTGTGGCAGTGCTGATGCTACAGTCTGTAACAAGGCAGCGTTGTGACGCCAAGTCCAGCTGTAAGCATAACTGTACCGTTTTTGGTACACCTGTTGTTTCTTTTGTGGAGCATGGATTGAGGTCGCCATTTTTTTAAGTGTTTCCAAGTTCCATCAAGTTGTTGAGTTCCAGCAATAATGGTTCTAGAGGAAATCCAACCACGACCAACATAGGTTCACGCAGGAAATCCGCAAAAAGCGCGTCAGACAATGCAAGATGTCAGCAACGGCAACCTCTTCTGTAACGTAAAGGAAGTGCTCGATACGAACGTTAACATCCCCCCCCACCCCCCCTGACGATCATACGACAACAAATGCAACATGTGCCTCTTCCGTACCGTGAGGGAAGCGCTCGACACGAACGTTAACATCCCCCCCCACCCCCCCCTGACGATCATACGACAACATATGCAACCTGTGCCTCTTCCATGTGCAACACGTTAAAAAATCGAAAATTTCAAATCCTATACCCCCATTTCGGAAAACCTCATTTTTGAAATTTGCAACCCTTCCACGGGATCGTAAATGGCACATCTCAAAATCGACAACCCTTCCAAGGGCGCCGTATCAGCCGCATGCCACAAACAACTATCTACTAGGCTGAACCCACTTATCATAGGCTGAAACCCACTTGACGAACTGGTTTCAACCCCGCTAGTGTCAAATGGATCGACCAGCCATGGAAGCCATGGCCCTAATCGAAATAGATGGTTTACCGTTCTTGAAAATGGTGATTTTCCATGGCGAACTGTTAAATAACCAGATGGTATATTCCATGGATGGAATACCATTTTGGGGGATGATAGATATGGTAAATGTTGATAGATATTCCGAATATCTATCAACATTTACCATATCTATCATCCCCCAAAATGATCCGGTAAACAAAAAGAGAACATGGCGCTAAACAGGGCTGGAGTCACATCATTGCAGCTCTGTGGAAATCCAGCCCGGTTAACCCCAGGAAAGCAATGATGGATTCCTATCATGATCTGGGTATGGAAATGCAGAACTTCATACGATTCATACCCAGGTGGCCCAGCTGTGTAAAGCTAAGGTCACAAATTTGCGATTCAGTATCTTGCTATTTGATGTGAAAATCCTTTGTCTCAGTCCTCCCCATGTGAAAGGGTCATCACAAACATTGTTCCTCTGCTTCGACAATTGCATCATGCAAACCCAACAATACAGTAATAGATTCCTGTACTAAAGGTTTCTATCAAAAAGACTGCGTCATCATATTCCCACATTAGTCACATTAGTATAGGAAAACCGAGGTGTTTCCCACAGGTGTTTCCGAGATGCCATTGCAGTCGGAAGGGTTGTCACGATGAAAGTCGTTGTTCACACACCTGGAGCCACTGGAGCGGTGTTTTTTGTTCAGTTCAGCCGGGTTTACCCGGCTCTCGCCCAAGCCTGTTGTTCATAGGATTTACATGGGTTAAGTAAAACTTCTTAAAAGGATTTTCATAGGATTTACATAGGATTTTCATAAACTTCTTGCAAGCAATCATGAGTGAAGTTTGGCCAGAAATTGTGAGCTTCCGCCAGTCATGTCCCATTCATTCTGCCAACAAAAACGCCAGGTAATCCAGACACTGGTGCCCAAGCTGCCCAAGCAGCACCATTTTCCCTGGCCATCACCAAAACCCATATTTTCCATGGAATATTGATCTACATTTACCCCAATCACCCAAATCCATGGAGCGTCTGGGAAAGGGTATGTTCTTGGCAGTTCTTGGTTTGCTTAGTTTGTGTATCTCATGTTTCAGTGAAGGAAGGCCACTGTGAGAAAAAAAACAAAATGAACGGCTCAGTGAAGGAGTCTGAGGTCGCAAACTTTGCAAATTACGTTTCTTGGGAAAACAGTGTTTGATAATGGTTGATGATGGGTTATTCTATATATACATCTCTCTCTCCCTCTCTCTCTCTCTCTCCATTGCTATAAATTTATTTATTTTAACTTTGTAATATAACAAAAACAATGATAAATATGGACATTATGAACCGCACATATATATATACAAATATAGCTGGACACATGGGGATTGAACCACCAACACTGGTGGTATTTCCTGGGTACAGTGGATGTAGGTGCACAGAGTTAGGGACCCCACCGCGAGGCTGCTGCTGCTGTTGATGACGACGATGGCTGAAATAGTATGAATATACATATGTATCTTTCTCGACTGTCAATTTCAACAATAAGCAAAAGCATGTCGAGTCTCCTATGGGGTCACCCCATCGCATAACAAAGCATTCACATCCTGCGTTCCTACAATTCCAGAGATGAACATGCAAACATGAACTTACATGGACTCAAGGAAGTACATTACTGGGTCAAACGCAAACAAAAAACACATGGTATGTGAGATTGGCCATTGTTCAATCACTGATCTTCTCCGATAGTATCAGCACCGTGGAGCTTGGCTCCATGGCCAGTAACCAATTACCATATGGGACGGGCTGTTTTTTTTCAAATAGCAAACCTCAAAAAACATAGAGACAAATCACATCCCAATGCACAAACTACTGCTAAATCAACTTAATCATGTTCAATTCTGTTCTACCTTGCAGGATGGTGCCCCCCACGTATAAATGGGTTATAATTGGTTGATAAACCCCATGAATACTAGTTCGTTATATCTAGTTTAATAAACCATATAACGACTAGTTCATTCAGCCACAGCCATATCGGTGGCCCCGTATCTTGGCGCTGGACCCCCGGATGCCAACCTGGCGGCCCGCAGGTGAGTGTTCACCAATGTGCCATCCGCCATCATCGTTGCAAAGCTGCCAATCGACAAGGCCTTGGCATCGTATACAAATGCATACGACTTGTTCAGGGCTTGATCCTTGATCATTGGAAAATAGATCGCTACCAAATATAGATTGGCTTATATATATATATATATACATTGAAGTTATGTTGATATACCTGATATACCCCCCAAAATCCTCAATTAATTTGAGGTAATCAATCTGCTAATCCAGGTCTAGGGGGTTCATGCAAATTGCTCCCCAAAGGCTTGGACATCTCACGAACCGTTGCGGTGAGCATGCGTGTCTCAAATCCAATGCACCACAAGTGAAAAAAAGGCAAACGTGAGTCGAAAGAAATTATGTTCAACTTAATTTGTTCCCTTAATTGTAGGGTTTCTTTAAGCATACTCCCCTGCCCCTCCAAAGAAATGAAGCCACACAAAATGCGCTTGGAATATGTTCCGAATGGAATTGGCGCTTCTTGAGTCTATACCAGTTTCATTCCATGCGCTGACAGTGTCGGCCGTGATTGGGGAAATAAAAAACACATTCTGAAGAGAAGCCAGAAGTCATGGTTTACATCATGAAAACGTGATCCTTTCTCCCGAATTGAAAATACTTCCTTGCTTAGTACTGTTCAATTGGGATCCCACATTCCTGGGCTATACTATGATCATTCAGGGCATGAGAGCAAAAATTCCTCACCACGGCTGGCAGTCGAGTTTCAATGAGGAGGACGGTGCAACATCTAATATGAAACAAGTATCTCCTCCCGCGCTTGCAACCGGAAGGACCATGACTCTGGATGAGTTGTGATAATTCACTGAGCTGAAAAGTGAGGTCATTAATGGGGTAGATACCCCTAGTAAGCACCATTCCATTGATGTCGCAGTGAGGCCGTCATGGCATTTTGACGGAGGTCGACAATGGGTTAAGATTTACCCTGGTTGATGAAGGACTGGGGGGTCCCCAAAATACTGTCAAATACTGATATGCACACTCTGATAACTCAAAATAGCTTTGGAAAATCACCGTTTTTGAGAGGTAAAAGCATCTATGTGTAGGCAATTGTCATCCATTTTCCAAAGTTATGCTAAAAGACCGGATGGTAATCTGCATGTATCTGCTACAAAAAAAAAGTAAATTTTCCCACTTTGTTGCAAAGTCGATCGAGAAATGAAACATGGTCCAGTGGCAGGCTGTGTACCCTCCGCTGATTTACTGTAAGATTTTGCTATGTTAGTGCAATGATTTACCTATATATCTATTACCTAGTCAAACCTATCTAGTAATTCTGATTTGCCTATAGCAAAGTGTTAAATCACCACATTGGGCAACCATGTGTCCAGCATTTTTACAGCACCTCCCAAGCTATCAATTTGCCCCACATAGCAAAGTCCCGGCGCTGGCATCAGGGCATTTTCAGGCCCCCTCGAAATCAGGAGAACCGGCACTTCTCAAGTCTGGGCATCCTTCAATCCAATAGGTTTGAAACGATTTATGTTGGTTGGATAATATACTGTTCATATACTGTTAATAATTGTTAATATATGGTTATTATGTGGTTAATCATGATTAACAATAATACTGGTTGGTGGTTTTTCGCCACCCCTCTGAAAAATCATGGAGTGAAAGTCAGTTGGGATGATGACATTCCAAACTGAATGGAAAGTCAGAATCCAAATGTTCCAAACCACCAACCATCAATAGGTTTGAAACCTCAATTTTTCCTAATTTTTTCCGTGTGGGGAATCATTCCATCAATTTCACAAACACGCCGATGCCTGGCGTGTTTTTGATGAAATTGGCTACCCCAAGATGTTCCAAATATCAGATATCTATCTCCATGAAGTATATATATATATCTATCTATCTATCCCAATTGTCCCAATTATGCCCCAATGATATGCCAATGGAATCCCGGAAAAAGAGAGGTTTATAGGTGATATGCCTCTCATAACCATCCAACTTATAAGATTCCCATTCCAAACCATGCAGCAAACCAAAGCTCTGGCCCAGCCCCCCCAACCCCCCACTCCTAACTCGAGTCCTCTGCCTGCAAAGATTGGATACGCTTGAATTTGCAAATGCAACATGTTTTGACTTTTTGGAAGATGCAGGGAACCATACCTCAGAAGTTAATTACTTGATCATGTTGAGTGAACCTCCCGCTTCATGGGTACAGTTGTCGGGTTCCTTGTCTGCTCATATGTCACATATATCCGATGTCTCTATTTTCTCAAAATTGGGACCCCTTGTCAACTGCCGCAATTGCGAAACTAACATTTTTTTAACCTCAAGAACCATCTCAATGACGTTGGATGGCTTGTACTGCTTGAAGACGCAAATTTCGCTTGGTTGAACTGTTGGGGCCCAAACACCCCAACAAAACCTGCCTCAAATACGGTTTCTTATCATTTCCACATCACCAGTGGGTCAACTATCATCCACCCTACACACCTGGCGTTTGAACAAAGTCGGATCATCCCAGGGAAAGAACCAATCCCATCCCAACACCCACAGCCCCAATCTTTTGAGGTCTCAATGGGGACATGTCCTACTAAACCATGGCTTCGTTTGGGGATGTTTAATATTAGGGCCTAGGGGGAAGGGATTACAGTACTTGAAACCACCAATCAAATCGTTTCTTAGTTACAACAAACGATTACATTGTTGTAAAATACTCATCCGCAGTTCAACCAAAATGTCGCATACCTCAATACTATAATACTCCCATTAGATTCCTATTGGTGTTATATATATATACATACCCATGATCATTTTCATGGACAACTCTCATGAAAACTCTGCAAGACCAAGAGTTGGTTCTACCCCCGTGTTTGATTCCTAAACCCACGTGATTTCTGATGACAAAATCCACATCAAATCTGTTAGGCCAATCGGCGAAACCCGCCTGTTGCTCGAGGAGGGCCATGCCTCCGCGACGTTTCGTGTCAGCATCATGGCGGCGCGATCGGCTGTTCTGAAGTGCTGGGTGGAGCAAATGTGGATGTCATGTGGATGTCCATAATGTTTTAAACATACGAAGAAATATATGCAGAAATCCATGATTTACATAAACGTACATGCATATACTATACGAAATATTAGATAAATGGTTTGTAAAAAATGTTTTACAACGGGAGACCTGATGGTTATTTACTGTTGAGCACAGATTGATTCCATGTCTCTCGAGACATGTTGCAAATTGGATGTGGTTGAACAGTTGCTTGATTCCACTAGTTTGAAGTGACACTTTCTTAACTACTGAACTTAAGTTTAACTATTTAATGAATCTAATGTTTATATTTCACTATAGTTCATTTATGTTCATATTTCACTTTAGATGTTTTCACTAAATTTGGCCGTGGGTAAACCAATAAACCATCCCCCAGTCATCACCATGTTTATAGGTGGTATGGTTACCATTCCCAGTCGTGGGTGGTGCAAATGGCATTGTTTTAACCACATTCGTTGCGCAGTTCGGATCCCAGGTGTAACCACATCAGCTGGGGCGTGAGCCGAGAAACTGTGGCAAGTCTGACATGGACTGGGGAAAAACGGCTGAAAAAACCACGCCATGAATATTGCATGTCTAAATGTGATATACTGTGATACATATATATATATATATATGTATGTTAGAAAAATATGATGTATATTGAGGTTCAATTTGATATAATGAATATACTATCATACCAGTCTGGGCTTTCGGAGTGGCACCACGTCAGAGTGGTTCAAATTTTGGGGGGAATATCCATGAAAACATGTGAACAACTTGAGCACTTTGGGGTTGTTCCACTTCCTCCTTCTTGTAAGGTGAGGTTGTTTTGAGGTCATAACTTACGCTAGCAGCTGTTATACAATGATGCAGTGCTGCACCTAGAAGTAGAGGGCCACGGGTATAGTCAAATACAGTGGGAGATGGGAGAACTCTGTGACAAGCGCCTTGTTATCCAGTGAGCCTGAAGGGGAGGGTCATCCACGTCAGTGTTGAATGTGGAATAGTCAGCAAAAATGGCCCCAGCGTTGACTCACCAGCGTCTCCCTGGCCTACATGAACTCGTTCACCAAATTCCGACTGTGTTTTGGTTTGTTCAAAAACCCCTTGTTGTTGGTTTGATTTTGTTTGATGCCATATTGTTGTCTGCATGTCCCTATCCTATCTAGCTGCTAGCTGGATCGGTGCTTGCGTTGTTTGGATCCGGATGCACTGGGTCACGCCTGGACCCGAACACTATATCGCCATGTTAGCAGCCTGTGGCAGATAGAATGCCATAGAGAATGTCAGAATATATGCCAGAAAGTATGTCAAAATAGATGCCAAATAGGATTCGAGAAAGAATGTCGGATAGTTTGGCAACATATACAAAAATGTATATATGCCATATGGGTCATATATATATATATATACTTCCAAATGGTGTCAGAAACTATGTCAGAATAGTGTGCCGGGGCGGGGATCACTCGAAGTGAAGTCTTTTTTTTGGGCTGCTTACATCCCAATTTCTTTCTTGCAAGACATGTCCCATGCACTATCCACTCAGCCAGGTCTCCCCATCCTTTTGATGGCAGTTCTGCCCATATTTTGTCGCCGGGATTCCAAAGTTTGCTGCTTAATTCACCAAGGTGTGCCCAAACAAATACCCAACAAAAATCATGTAAAAGGTGTGCAAACACAGACAAATATACATATATATAATTAAATATACACATATATATATATATATAATTATAAATATTTATAGATACGTCTGTCGCTCTCTCGCTCTCTCTCTCTCTCTCTCCCATCGCCATCTGATATCTTTTGGCTGGTGAGGTCCCGTTTTCTTGGTCATCCCCCCTATGTTCATTGCTTACCCAAAGCTGTACCAAGGTTTCATGTGGATTCACCCCCATACATATGATCCTCCCAGTACCGCTGTAGTCCCATTGAAACAACATCAAATCATGTAAAACCATGTAAAAAAAAACATGTAAAACAACAATTACAACATGGTTTTACATGGTTTTACAACAATTTTGGTGAGTAAAACCAGGTGAAACCCTTGGTGGGTCACCGGCCAAAAAAATCCTGGGACGCCGCGCCAGCAGCCGCGCA